CCAGTGCCAGAAGTGCACCTTCCCTACGCACTACGCTTACAATGCTGCAATTGCCACGAATCGGAGTGCAAGTAACTCTCCGAGCAACATGCCACCACGAGCTGCAACCCAGTCACCAGCAATTCAGAGAGATCGTCTGATACAGCAACGGACCGCTGCAGAGTTGGCGAACGCAAATAACGAGTTCCACAACAGTGCGATGCGTCGCGATCCAAACTACCCAAACATGCCCCGCACCATGACGCCGGCATCGTCATTCGAGCGGAGCCTAACACCAGCTTCAATGGACTCACGAAACATGTCACCGCCACTTGGCTCCGACTCAAACATACCCACCCAACTCAAAGTCAAGGTACATTGTCCCTCGGCAGGCAGCTCCATGGTCTTGGTTGTTAGCACAAACATCAGCTTCCAGTCTCTCAAAGACAGAATCGATGCAAAACTACAACGATCGACATCCGTCTCACTTGGGTCTGGCCAAGTCAAGCTGAAATATCTGGACAGCAGCGATGGCACATATGTTAGCATACAGTGTGACGACGACGTCCAAGAAGCGTTTGAAAACTGGAAAGAGCAACAGAGCAACCTCAACCCCGGCGGTGGTCTCGGTGAGATTGAGCTCTTCTGCCAACGATAATCTCATCCTCGTCCCAGAAGAATTTGTTATACGCTGGCCATATTACTGCGGCTGCTGCACCTGGGATTACCGGTTTCTCTCACCAAACGGCATCGGGTCTGGAGTTCTATGGCGATCGACATATACGGGGTTGTCTTTTTTCTTTCTTCTCTTTTACTACTTCTTCATGACCATTCTCCCCCCTTCTTCCTCTATTGTCCCGATTGGGGGCTAAAGAGGGCATGGACATCATAATCATGTTCTGTTTTTCCACATTCTCCGGCGAAACATTTGCGACCATCACAAGATACCACATCCCTCCTATCGAACATTATCCATGGTGGGGGCAGGGCACGGACTAAACCTGGTTGGTTTATTCACCCCCCAATCCTCGACTACTCCTCCCTTCTTCCTGTCGGTGAAGCATGACATGCTCGCTTTTGCGCTTCTTTTTGTGTGTTTTTTTGGGAAGGGGATGGGTTTGTTGAGAATCGATTATCTACTATACCACGTCGTTTGGACTGCCGCGTGTGCAGTCTTACGAATTTTTTGTCTTCAGAGTTTGTTATTTGGTAGTGGGGAAGAGGTTTTTGTAAGAGAAGGGAAAGAGAAGGGAAAGAGAAGGGGCATGTTCCTATTTGCTTGGTGGATAGTGGGGGTGCGGGTAAAGGTGGAGGACTGGACTGGATGGCTAGTGCGGCGTGGTATGATTGAATGACGGAATGAATTATCATCTTATACTCTTTTGTTCGCTTTACTTTCTCTCTCGCCCTCTCCTCTCTGTGTGTATATATACGTGTGTGTACGAGGAACTCGGCACACGACTGAGACTTTTTCCACGTAACATAATATCGTTTCATATCCTTGTAAGTGACAGAACGGGGTATTAAATGGTTATACATTGACTTCTGAGCAGTATGGGATCCGACTGATGTACGTACATACCTCTCTCTCCCTCTCCCTCTCCCTCTCTCCCTCTCCCTCTCTCCCTCTCCCTCTCTCCCTCTCTTCCTCTCTTCCTCTCTTCCTCTCTTCCTCTCTTCCTCTCTTCCTCTTACCACGTGTACAGTATATACTCAGTCAATCAATCCATATACCCACATCCAACATCCACAAGTCTACATATCTTACCTTGAAATACCTGATTACCCAACTATTACTTCTCCTGCAGTGAAACCCCCACAACGTCACCGACCAACTTGTCCACACACACATCCCCACCATATTTGTTACTACACACAGAGGTACATATCCCTATCATGCTCTTATGCCTTCACGTGGGAGGAGATAAAAGGCAGAAAAGGCAAGAAAGCATGTTAGGTCACAAAAAACAAGCTGAACTTTGGGTGAGATACCACGGCTGAAAGGCAGTGAAGTAGGATGGCTATGCGTTGGACGATAGACGATACGGGGATACAGAATTTCTGTACAACTATAGGCGAAGATGAGTGTTTTATAGGCAGAGAAGAACTCTCTGTTCGACTTGTGTGATCTGAATAGTCGTGGGAAGAATATTGGACTACTATTTAGATGTTTTACTTGATGACGAGACTTTTGAGGCAGAGAGACAGAGACAGAGAGATGATAGGGACTTGGTGATGCGGGCACTGTGACACCCGCATTATCATATTGGTGTTTGTTTGGCTTAGTTGAATCTGTAAACTGCGTGGTGAAACAGACAGTAATCCTCTATTGATAGACACGATCGATCACGCAAAGGAGAGTATTGTCATAACAAAGTAGAAGTCATTAGATTCGTCAAATCATTGACATAACAGCGAGAAGCGCCATTTTTCCCTCCTTCTTTTTTCCCCCTTTGTATCTCTTCCTTTTATAGAAAAGTATGAAAAAATTCATCGCGGATCATGAACCCAATTTGGTCAATCGGAAAAGACATACACACATACGACCCCCTGGGCCACATTTTTTCAGTTGTAAATTACCCACCAGCGCAAGTAACGTGCAGTCTAATCGATGGAAAATCATCAAACGTGGAAAACAAGCCCGTAAAATCACATGTGTCTGGGGGATCGCTAAATCGCTTTCAATGCCGTCGCTATGCTAGCTGCCAGGAAAAGAAAGCAGATGATGGAACAAGGGAAGTCGTGAAGCGAGAAGGGAGTAAAACCACCGTCTCTTGTTGCGCAGTGGAGGAGAGGTTTGGAGTGTCGTGATAGTGGACCGGTGAGGAGTAAGTCGCTATGGCAATTTGGCATATGGAAATGCGGAAACAAAACGCATGCAGGTCGTAGGTATCATGGTATCGCTGAGCTTGGGCTCTTCAAGTCTTTCTGAATATCGATGCGGGATTCGTTGGGATTTCTTGGTAGTAAGTCGTCGTGTTCGTCGTTTCTGTTCTTGTTCGTAACCGTAAACATAGATGTGTATGTGCATGGACGCCAGGTGCCGGATGCCAGGTGGGCGCGCTCTACACTCGGTATCCGGCTTCCTGAAGACAGCCAGAGCACCTCTCATAAGCGCGGACATATCCTCGGCCGCAGAAGCACGCCAATGGTGGGGACGATGGTGCTACCGAGGCCTTGCTGGGTCGTCGTCCTGCTGCAGCCGCCTGTGCTGCATCGAGCCCGCAATCCGAGTTCCTGGGACTTGTACCACCGCTCGTCGTGCTCGAACTATCGTAATCATTTGACGACGACGTATTGCGTCGGCCAGCTCCGATTGGTGTAGGCAGTCCTTGGGCGCCCTGACCGGGCCGCTGGCCTGGGTACATTCCATCGTTTACTGAAAAGTTACGGCAGATCATGTAGGCGCGGGTGGCGGCAGCATTCTTGGCTAGCTCTTCCGACTCGTACTCTACATCTGTGCTGTACTCGCGGTTGTTTACTCTAACGGTTGAGCCGTAACCATAGCGGGTACGGTAGGTCTGGAAGAGTGGGTCGGGCCAGTGGCGTCTTTGGCAAAGGCCTATACTCGATGGTCAGTCTCAGTTGATGGTACCCTAAGATTGCCGACATGAAGTGAATCCATGGCCAATGTGTAGTTCTCTGTAGACCCAAGTTGTGTGGGGCTCCCTACACTGGGCGGCTAGGCGAAGCGACCACACGACAAACCTTGCACTTATTGGTGCATCATCTAGATCTTCCACATGAGACGTGGTGTCCGACTGTGTGGTAACGTGTGGTGAAGGGAAAGGGGTCTGCTCAGTACTAACCTGTGAGATACATGACGTAGAACATGTTGGATAGTCGCTCGTCGTCGACGTGTAATAGAGCGATTGGAAAGGCTGCCGGGGCTTGGATAGCTCGCTGTCAGTCGCGAAGTAGGACTACTGATGCGGAGTGTTGCTGAACTGGCAAGCGTTCGTTGGTGGCGACGATAGTATGCCGAGAGAGGAACTGGTGGCAGTGGTGGTACGACAGCAGATGCTTTTAGGGCAGGGAGGTTAGTTGCCAATAGAGGAGTGACAGCTGTACAAAAGAGAGCTCAGCGGGTGATGTATAAAGAGCAAGGAAGAGGGAGCGGCTTGCAGTCAGTCGAACGGGGATGGGGGGAAGGATAAGTGCCTACAGTGGGATGGAGCAATATATTGCAGCAGGCGAGTGTAGCATGTATCCAAGCGCGTCTCGCCCGCCAGTAAGAATGGAGGGGCAATTGGACATGTGGAAATGAATAATGTGCGGGTCTCGTTGCGGCTCTGTAGTCGAGAGACCCATAGTATGTGCTGGCGAGAAGGTAGCCAACGGTAGAGGTTCCAGAATGTTAGCTAGTAAGAGAGTCAAACCTCAAAAGGTACAGCTTCACCGGTTCGTTCTTGCCACCGTGCTGCAGGCGGTAGCGCTGTAAAAAAAAACGGCTGGCGATCGGGGTCAGTTGCTGTAACGCGTTCGTCAAGGCTTGACATGTCTCGATCGGCGTCGTGCATCTCTAGACGCCTCAGACGGACGCATAAACAACGAGGCGGCAGATGTGCATGCTCACATTGCTCTCTGCTCGTATCTCTCGGGTGCTCTGGACCCACTAATGCAATATGCAACATGAGGGGAGAATGCAAATACGTCAGAAGCTGCACCCTTTGACAAGTGTACCGATGGCATGACCTTCTGGCGCCAGAAAGCGTGATATGTCGGCTTTGGATTTAGGAGCAGGGTCCGAAAGAGACTAGGAAGCAGGCCCTTGGTGCATGATAAAAATGGGACTGCTAGCCGGCTAGGGTACCAGCCGCCAGAGTCGCTCGCGGAGAATCATGGCAGATGGGTTGTGTGACGGGTCTTGGATGCAAAGCATAGTGGCTCGAAGCGAGAGATGCGTCACAACAGGGCTAGCATGGAGCTACGCGGCAGCGAACGAGGCAAATGAGGGGACTTGATTGATGCGTTCGCGGGATGGGAAAAGATACCTGGGGTTGGTGTTACCAGAAAGCATCAAGCGTCAGTGCCAACGCATACATGCAGCAAAGCACGGCCCCCGGAGTATCGCTGCTCCCAATGCGCCTGTCGCTGGAAGGGGCAAAGGGTCAACGGCTGCTAGTTGTCGGGCGTGAAGCTGCAGGCATGAATTTGGCAAAGCACGCAAGCGCAAGCTCGTTTGGAGCATGCAGATGCAGATGCAGATGCAGCAGCAGCGGCGGAGGAGTAGGTTGGGACAGGCCATGATTGACATTGCGAGCATACTTGCTAGCTGGTACGGGCCAGGCGTTCCTGCGCCGACCCTACCGGCCAAATCTCCAGGTGAGACGCTTACACGTGATGGAGGCCGACAGTCTCTCCAGTATCCCTGTGAGGAGGTACGTAGGCGTCCATGGCAGCGCCAAGCGAAGGTCCGACGGTCGAAGCTCGAGGGCGCAAAGGACAAATTTTGCTGGCCTCGACATGGCATGCTAGGTTCGTGCATCTGCATCGGGCGGCTGCAGAAAGTGTTTTGATTTCTCACCTGCCGAGAAGTGGGTAGCAGCGGTGCAAAGGGTTGCGAGGAAGTGTCAGTGTCAAGTGGTGCGATAGGCCGACACCGTCCACGACAGCCAGCTTGTACCTACTACCGGTAGAAGCCAGGTCCCCGTATAAGCCGCTTCTGTCTGGCGCCGATCTTAGATGGTGGTCGATACATGGAGCGGGACGATGGCGCTTGTGAATATAGCGGCAACGAAGCGCAAGGAACAGCCACTGCCAGAACAGACCAAGAGGAGTGAAAGAGGCCCGCCAGAAGGAAGCGTGTCATGGCAAAAGTCGACTTGTGTCATGGTCACTCAAATCGACAACAGAGAGGGAGAGCGAGCTTCACGGCCATGTCGCACAAAGCGGGAGATCTGTGGATGACGCGAGCGCGCCAGCACGGCCACCCGCGACAATCTGCAAAACAGGCGGTGAAGGTGGCCAGCGTTGTCAACCACGCGCCCCTCTTTCTGCGCTGCAAACTCTACCGTAAGCCGGATGCATTAGCAGAAGACGACGAGGATGACTATGGGCTTTGTGAGTGCGGACCGACACTGTCAAGAGAGAAGTCGAGCTGTCATCAACCAACATGTCGTCTTCGAATCGGCCTGGTTCCATTCATAGGCTACCCAAGACCCACATGTTCGAGCTGGCCTCGCAGCTCTCCAACCAAGCGCTGCGTCGCCCTCCTGTTCAGCCTCGCGTCGCGGTAACGGTAAGAGGTGGTGCAGCAGACCGGGTGTGGTGCAGGGTAAAGTCCAACCCTGGGTTCCAACATCGTTAGCGAAGGACACAGCGCACCGTCCCGAAACCTCCGAATCTCAAGCACGACAGCCTTCAGGGTCCATGAGAACAATCCGACGCTTGTCCAGCTTGTTCCACCCTAAAGTGTGTGCGACGTCCGACAGCAGCATGTCTGCAGTCTGCCAGCTGGTGCCGGCATCGGGTAGCGGTGTCGTTCTCTCATCACGTGCCAGAACACCATCTAGTAAGTATACTACCCCCACTTCATCATTCAACCCCGCCGCCTGTTTAGTGCATCTCCGATATCTCCTCCAGACTATGCCATTGAGTGCCATTGAGTGCCATTGAGTGCCATGGAGTGCCATGGAGTTTGCCCATTAAGCTTGTCATCTCCACGCATAGCAATCATGTATCCCCTCGCACCACTCTCTGTTGTTGTTGCTGCCGCCATACGCGGATGCGGGGACTGTCGGTGAAGGGCTACGGTCAACGGCTACGGCATACGGCTCAAAAGCAAATATTGATAGAGTCTAGATGTTGGGAATGCTGCAGTACGCTGTGTAAACTGACGTTGATGTTGGTGTTTCGAATGGCTCTCCACCCACCTACTCCGAAGCCAGTCCGACTACTTGAACCTTCACAATTGCACATCTTTTACACATCTGCCCGCTCAGTCATCATCCCCACCTCTCCACAAAGCTACATAAACCAAACCGCCAAGATGCCTAAAATCATGCGCCTCACTCTCTTCAAGCTTCCCGATCAGGAACTGGTCAAATCGGCTATCGAAATGTACAACTCGCTCGCCCAAGACGCGAAGAAGGTACGTTAAACCATGACGCTGACTCGCAACCCCACCACTCCACTGCGCCTTCCCTCTCCTGTCCTGCATGCCTACCCGCCTTCACGTGATTGCGACCAACACATTCGGCCCGTGCATAGCGCCGCTGCATGTCAGAGCATCTCATCACCTCGCACCCCAGGAATCTAATCGCCCTCGGGCTATTAATTACCTCTCAATAAGAGCGCCCGATGGCGTCACTCGTTCTGTCCCAGAGTCATGTTAGTCATGTTCCTGGCGGGTATCGCGGGAGGTACTGCCGCGGTTCGAGAAAATGGGTGGGGGTACTGGCGGCTGGCTACACTGGTCACGACGCATATACGCATACTGGGCGCCTATTAATCCGCCGTGGGGTGCTAAACATGTACCGACAGCATCCGCAGCGAGCTGTATACCGAGGCTATCGTTATCAGCTAGAAGCATGCTAACGTCACCTGTGTAGGACGGAAAGCAGTACATCAAGCTCTCCCAGGCTAACGCCGCCCACGAAGACGAACGCAGCCAGGGCTACACCCTCATGGCCCGTTGCATTTTTGAGTCTCTTGACGACATGAACTACTACGACAAGGAGGACGAGGCTCATCTCAAGATCAAGTCACAATTCAAGGAGAAGGTCAGCGCGCCGCCCCTTGTTCTCTACACGGACTACCACGGCCCGTAGAAAGATTGCAACATGAGAAGACCACACGGTCCTTCTATGATCCAATAGGGAATGGGAATAATTACCTGAGTACTGCATATTGGGTCACGAAATGAACAACATGAAAGCTAGTCTCGTTCCTCTCGCGTGATGTTGTGAATCACGGACCGAAATATGATACATACGAGGCCGATGTACGTCATCATCATTTTGATATCTGACAACGGCAGATGTATTAGGCAAAGTGGGTGACCTCGCTTCCAACATCGGCCGATGTTCCAATAGACAGTGCGCAACTATTGCCCATGCGTTGTCCTTGTTGAGGTTCTTTCGTCCTCTCGTCCCCTTTCTTTGTCCGGACCGCTGCTCGACCTGTTCAGTATCACGTGTTACTTCGCATCTATGCATGTTGACACTGTTAACTCAGACTGTTGACCAAAGTCCATTCAGCTGCTTGACTGCACAATGAAACACATTGATACAATGGTGGTCAAAAATCATCAAAGATAGTTGGCGTTCACCAAGCCATCAATGAATACAATTAACACAATGAAATGCGATCTTTTGAGCGCCATCCACCTTCCCCTCGCCATTGTTCGCTCTAATTGTCGATGTCGCTTTGTCTCGACATGTATTTCATTTCAACATGCACCACAGATTAATATCCATCAAGCATCCTCTGTACCAATACACTCACTCACAAACAATTAATCCAACAACCTGAGCAAACACATACACACACACTTTACACAACATCACCACACCAAAACAACAACATCAAACAACAGCAACAATGAACAGAGAGGAGAGCCCCGCTCAAGTTGAGGCAAAGTTCAGAGAGATCCTCTCTGAGGCACCTCTCACTCTGGATCATATCAGAGACTCGATATACCCCTTTAGCATCGGCTCTGAAGACACCATCGAGACTGTGTTCGAGTATATGGTTGAACAGGTAACCGACAAGACCGATACAGAGGCTGAGAAGTACGGCCTCGTAGGATACAACTACGGTAATAGTTTCGCCAAGTCACATGACTCTCCAGATATGGAGCTGGAGGATGAAGAACCAGAGGATGGCTACGTCATCGAGAACACCCCAGATGTTGTGATGGAGGGCGAGGAAGAAGAGAATTACGAAGAGGATTACGAAGCCTCCGAGGATTCTGAAGAGCTTCCAGGTAACGACAACATGGAGGGCATTACTTCACCTACTCTTTCGGATGAGAGTCTTCCTTCTACTATAGGTCCATCGTCTCCTCATGATCTTCCTAATATTGACGAAGATGATATTATAGGTATTACTGCTCTAGATCAGCTTAATAATAATCGTCAAAAGACTCCTTCTCCCCCTGGTGGTGAGTTGCCGAACAAGGATGATTGGTCAGATACTGTGGTCAACACTTCCCCCCCGCCTTCACTCACGCCGTCTGAAATTGAGGCAAATTTTCCAGCTCTTCCTAATTACTCGTCTTCTCTTTCGGGTACTCAGGTCCCGTCTTCACCTCCTGTAATCCCATCTTCACTTCTTGCGGGCGGGTCTTTATCTCCTCCGCCGACGGTACCAGGAGCACAGGTCGGGGTAGGAGCAAATGTCGAACTCAAGACATCACCTGCAGGATCGAAAAAGTCAAGCTCGCCTTTGTCCGACCCCGGTAGCATCCTCAAAGGTAGCACCCCTACTCCCCCACCAGTCACGCCAACAAGTCCGGGGGGCTCATCTTCCACGTCCACTCTCTCCAGCCCCCGTACCATCCCCACTCCCAGCCCCTCTTCCCCACCAGCCACACCAACAACTCCCGGGGGCCCATCTTCCACGTCCTCTCTCTCCAGCCCCCGTACCATCCCCACTCCTAGCCCCTCTCCCCCCGCAGCCGGAACCAAGCGTGCGGCCCCCACAACGGGAGGACAACCCCGCCCCAAGCGAGTACGCAACCCCGTTCCGCCAGCCAGGAAGCAAACTGCTAAGGTAGCAAAGGCGGGTCAGGTGGTGTTGCAGTGCACAGGTCAGACTAGGAGGGGCGCGAGGTGTGGCTTTACCAAGCAGATGCCTCAAGGAACTCAGACGTGGGACTGTGGACGTCATAACAGGTAGAGTGAAGATGGAGGCTATTAATAGTTTAGTGTTGTATTTGTATCTCTGTAATGTTAGTATATACTTGTTATTGGAATTTCATGTCTTGTTTTGTTCTGTCAATCACGCTCTGGGAATCGCGAAATATATGTAATAAGCATTTTTCTTTTTCGCAAAATCATGGCCCAACTAGCTAGAAGAAGTGTGATGTACCTTAAAATCCCTCTTTATCTTCAAAATACTTGCGCATCTCATACACTGACATGAAAGGAATAACAAAGATTGGATGCACAGGCTTGACTATATCACCATCGTCCCAGACGATCTTATCATCTTCGTACCGGCCCTCGGACTTCCAGTGGTATGGGGCTCCAAAGTTGGTAGCGCCTAGGTTCTTGTTTACGTTTTCGTCGAAAGCGTATTTGTACTGTGCGGCACTGAGGCCGGCGAGGTTGTAGCATGTGTGGTAGGCGTCAGAACTCTTTCCGGGTTTATCCTTTAGACCACCTTTCTTCTCTTGGCAGGCGGCGAGGATGTAGCGGCCTAGTGCAGGTCGGTTCCAGAGACCGGATGTTGTTACTGCTTCGACAATGGACCAGCAGCCTCCGACCCAATGAGAGTAGCAGCCGTCGACGAGCTTGTTGGTTCGCCCATTGTAGCCACCTTCGGGAGTGCATTGTCGAGAAGATAGCCAGTAGATCAACATGTCGATGTTGAGGTATTTGTGCAGTGTCTCTTTGGGTGGTCCGAGAATTGAGAGACAGGCTAGGCCGCAGAAGGCATAGGCGCCATGGGCTTCGTTTCCGGGCTCGGCTGAGATGCCGCCGTCCCAGGACTGGCATTTCGAGACCCATTCGCCAAGCCCATCTGTAAAGCTGGTGAGGCCGTGTTTTCTTGCTGGGGCGTCTGGTGGGAGTTCCATGGGGAGGTTGGTAAGTGATAGGATGACCATGGCGCAGTAGGCGCCGCGGATATCTTCCTCGCCGCCTAGGCACATGGTGAAGCCTCCGTCTGCTTGCTTCATCCGTCCCAAATAGTGCCATAGCGTCTTGCGGTTGATGACATCGTAAGAATCTTTCCCACCGGCTATCGCAAGTGACAGTGTTGCGGCGTATGAGCAGGCAAGGTGAGCATACTGGCCATAACCGCCTCCGAACCCTCCGTCTGGATGTTGGACCAGAGAGAAAGTGTGTGCTATTCTGTTTGTAGTCAGAGGTCATGTTTACTGTTCAATTAAACAACAGGATAGATTGAAGACATAATACAGAAACTGACGTACCTTTTGTGATAACTAGAAATGTCTTGACCCAGTGCAGTCATGCTTTGTAGAGCCCAGTACACGAGCCAAGGTCGTGCAGCGTCCATTGCAGCAGCACCTGATGGGTAATCTCCAAGGATTTTCTTCAACATGGCTTCATGCCTTTGTCGCTGGAGCTTCGGTATACCAAAAGCGTTGAGATCGAAGTCATTTGGATTGCCCTCCAAGTACGGAAGAATGAGTCTTGCCGTCTCCTCGTCCACTTCAGATGTTGCTGTCTCCAAAGTATCTTTGATCGGTATCCTGATGCTATCCAAATAAACAATGTTTGCCTGCTCTTCCACAGTCGCAGTACCCATATCTTCGTATTCACTCCCAAGCTCGGAGTCTGACAGCTCTTCAATCCGGTCTGATGTGGGTACTATTTCCTCCAAGCGGGATGAAGGCGCCTGGGCAGAGAAACGCAGGGGCATGGCCATCTTCTTTACATGCACGGCACGGCGTCTGGAATTGGATGATACGCTAGTGGGCATCCGTGAGTGGCTGATGTGGACAATGGCCTTCTTGCAAGGGTTGCTTAGTATTGTTCGTAGAGGATCGTAGCCGCCGGATATGGGGTTGATATCACGACCAGTATTTAGATAGATCGTTCATGGCTTAGTTGGACCCAAGGACTGCCCTTTGCGTCTGTCACAAATGCTACAGTGAAGAAGCGATGGTGGAGCACGTGGGGAATGATCAAATTGGGTGTTAGGTGGCTTGGCAACCGAGGTTTGACTTATCGATTCCGCACATCTCCACTGTCCCCTCCATTGTCATAATTCAACCTCAGTCTGACGGACGCACACCTGCCATACCTGCTAGTTCTTCGCCAACAGTCTCGCCTGCAAGATTCAATGGCTTGGATTCTTGTAGCACAAAGAGCATGCGGACCCAGTCGGTCTTGCTGTGGTTAATCCACTGATGCATAGTTCCCCGCTGGATCGCGACGTCCCCCCGCTTCATCAACCGCTTCTCGCCGCTATCTAGCAGACACTCGATCTCGCCCTCGATCACGCAACCGTAGTCCAAGCTCACAGTTCGGTGCATCGTGCACTCAGTCGCCGGAGGGATGTCGACATGTCGGAGGACTGTCCCACCGGAGACGACAAGGCCGGGCGCTTCCTTGAGATAATTGCCGTATACGTCGAGGTCTTTGTCGTCGTTCATGTCGACTGGGAAGCCTTTGGTGGTGAAGCTGAGGGCGAACGCAATGCCGTCATCGTTAGGCTTCATTTTGCTCTCCTCGTTGAAGGCGTCGCTGAAAATAGCTTTGCCCTCATTATTGTGAGCCGTAATATATCGGTGAATCTTGGGGAGTGCGCCAACATGTGCCATGGTGTACAAGTTACGAGAAGTTTGTGATGATTGAGCTATTCGGAGATGGTAGACTGGCAACAAAGCTCGGATTTTCTATATCAAGCGATATAAGCGCAACAGATTCCCGATATTATATCTCTTGGAGCCTCACTTTGACATTCAACCCCATATGTTGTACAAGCACACGGGAGTCGGGCGTGGAGCCGAAGGCCGGGCGGGGGTCCACAGATCTGACTTCCCGCACTTCGGGATCTAAGAATCTGGGGGGACGTCCTCGCGTCGACAACAGCCTGAATCATGGTGTCTAGCATGGTATCGGGTTCAAGGCTGATCGTATATGGAGCTGTGCTTGTGTGTGTGTGTCTTCGACAGTGATTCGCTCACGGTCAAATAACATGATTCATTCACCCGGTATCGAGACTACGTACGCTGCAACATGTTGCTCCGGCTATGAGCACAGAATTGCCTGTGTTTATTCTGTTAGTCATCAGTTCGTGAAGCTTCTATGCAAGTACCGTCACCCCACAGCGAAGAGCTGAACGCATGATCCTCCTTCATGCAGTTGTGGGGGCTTTTGATTGGAGATGCAACCCAAGGTACATGTACCCGGCAACACTAAAAGTGGCACCACCCGCACAACATGCTTTGGGAGCTCACGATAATAGTTCATACCTTGAGGAATGGATTTGTAATAACGATGATTTACTGCTACGTGAAAGAGCACATAGACTCTATGACCTGTACGGGAACGTGGCGTGTCTCAGTCGGGGCTTATTATCACAAGCCCCCTGTGGGCTACACGAAGATCCCCTCCTATCCAGAGATGTCACTCGCGTCGATAGTAGCCCATTAAATGTTATCATCATAGTCCATGGTCATAAGAGCACTGCTTCACTGGGCTGCATGTAACTCTGCAACAGTGACCGTCTGAACCAGAAGAGCAAGGGAGCAAAGCCGGCCTAGTTTCGAACTGCATCTCGCAAGCCACATAGAGTAAGTAATTGATTCCATGACTTTCTATCGTGAATCAAGATCCATGCTCATATCGCGGACGGTTATCCGCTAATCTTGTGTGCATCACCGTTTCCCCGCCTGACATGGCTCTGACTACCTCCAGTGACGTTTTTCAACACAAAAAGTTTGTTAGTCTATATTGATCTCGAATTACAATTGCTCATGAGGTTTTTATAACGGAAATCGCCTCGCGGTGGCCTAGATCTGGTCAGTGATGATATCGCTGGAGTGCACGAAGGCTACTCCATAAGTTTGTACCAGGTCGGACCGGTCTTGACAAAGGACCCGACAACACACGTCGCAGTGTCGGTCCTTTAATCTTGGATAGCGGCATTCGTTGTTGTTGTTGTTGTTGTACGTTTCGCTCATATAGGTTTACTCCATCATGTCCAATCGAACACCCTGGACGTCGACAGGACGCAACCGTAACCTTTTGCCTGCTCTGTTATGCATGTACCCATTAATCCCGCAATCAGTTCTGGATTAGGTATGCACATAATTATGCGTGCTGGCGTGATTGGTGGTGCCGTCACTCAGCTGAACGCATTGAAGAATCTGGGGTAGTGTTTGTGGAGAGACGCCGGATTAGGAAAGTGCAGCAACTGACCTCTCCTCTCCCAGACCATTGGCAATTTTAGTATCTAGCGCAGAAGTCATTCATTTACTGCGGAGCTTGCCAGAGCTCGTGGCACTGTAAAGTCTTGCTGACAGTCGGGGCTGGAAGCTGGGCGTACCAGACTGCTGGCAACTCGCTACCAGCATTCAATTTTCGGAGGAAAGAGCACCTGGGCAAAATGCGACTTCCCTTCACATCGCAAACGGACCAAAACACTGTCGTCATGGCGTCTTTCTTTCAACTTACATAACCCACAACTCCCGCACCCTAGGCAGGTACATGTCCTAATCCCTTCGCTGGCCTCGTGCCCCCCTTGTTCTTGCCGAAATCACAAGACGCTACCTTGATGGTCTCACAATCTCATCCTTTACAATGCTTGTGTGACATGAACAGGTAGTGCTAACATCGATTCACTAGGCAGTTATTCGCATCGCGCGGTCTCGCCAATTTCCAAGCTGAAGAACGACCGGGGAGAATCGAGGATCCATCTTACGTGCAGGACAGGCTATTTCCACCGGATCGTCATCTCGTCCTCATTGCAGTCTATGCAGATAGCAAGCCAACCCCGGCCAAGCAGTCAATAGGCCGACGGCGACGTTGGTATCACCAGACGAAATAGGCAGCCGCTTGCCTGCAGCGGGTTGCTACTACGTAGGACAGTGTGAACGTCAGCAAGGCCCGTACAACTACAGCTCTACCAGCATCCCATGGGTTGCATCTCATCGGCCACGAGACGTATACAAGCGCGCATGAGACACTGACGAAGCGCGCAAGTAAGGATAGCATCAAACGATGGCAAAACGAAACAGACTGCAGAACCGGTCACGAGCAAGTTGGGTGAGCGGGAGCTTCTCGGCATGTCACAGCAAGAGTGACACGAATGTAATACGCCACCACTAAGAGGCAGGGTTGGCATTCTGTCAAGCTGTCGCTGCTCAAGCGGTAATATGCGGGCGAAGCATGACAGCCGACACGATACCTGAAACGGCGTCCAAGGACGATAATCCAAACGCAAGGCAGGACCGCAGAGTAGCACGCTTGGAGCGATGTTACGCAGAACGCGCTCGACAAGATGCACAACATGCGGTAGTACGTAGCGAAGAGCGGCCGCAAGCACGACGAAGCGCCCGACTGTAGGCTCGGCGCGTGGGAGGTATGTCGCTCATTTACCAGCTACGCAGTGCGAAAGAATGTATGATGACGGTGGCTTCAATTGCGAGGCGCTGCTCAACCTGTCGGTGAGTCTGGAGAGCGATGGCCAAGGTGCTGTTACAGAGTCGCAGGCCAGGTTATGCCCGTGAGGCAAATTCTGACCCTGGCCTCGTGTAGGCTCCGTCGTCCAGTCGTGGCCGGCGATATTCCTAGGTCCACTTGGGATGAGAGAGTAGCGCAGGCCGATCCGCTTGGTTGCATGTCCGATGGCTCGTTCGAAGTCAAGTCCAGCGATGCAGCATTAGTGTTAGCACGGCCGAGGCGAGGTGATATGGGCATTCGAGACTTGGACAATGGCCTGTCTTTGCTTGTTGCGGCATCCCCAACGCTTTCCTCCGCACGTTGATCCTTCAGGACCCCGAGACTAACGCTTATCGGGTGTTATCGCAGGAGGGGTCGGCTGCGGTGCTGTACCGAGAGCAGGCCCCAGGGCACTATCGTGACCCTCTGGGTGGCGGCAGTAGCAGCAGCAGGGTGAGACGTCAGCTTGCCTGGGTGGTTGAGCAGCCAGGCGGGCAGCCAGACCCAGGACCAAAAGGCGGAGCAGGCCTGGCGAGCAAGCAGCACCAAGGTGGATCGGCTCGGCGGGCTAGCAGAGTGCCGTTCTCTTGATGCTGAACCATCTCTTCACTAGGACACGCCTCTCCGCGCCATAGTTGACCATCCTCTTCGATACCCGCACCCCATCCGAAGACGCCCGTTCTGGGAACCCTCGTGCATGTCGACGCTGGTCAGGGTTTTATTCGACCTCGATTGCGAATCGTGCGGTCCGCTGCAGCGCTTCTGGCGCTACTCTAACCAGGTGCAGATCTAGACGAGCCATTGGTGTGTGGGGCTGGGACTTGCATACAAAAAGCGGTGTACGGCCTTGGCATCACCAGCCTATACTGTGGTCGGCCCATCGCCCGCTTACCTTCACCGCTTACTATCAGCACAGAGAGGCTGAGAACACTCGAACCCATTTTCTCTCTCCGTGCCAACATGGAGAACCAACACATCGACTTTGACGGGGCCATCTACGGCGTAGAAGGTGCCTTTGACCCATCCTTCGACCCGAACCGCCAAACCTACAACTTCTCCCAGACCTGGCCGCTGCCAATCTCACCAGGAACCATGCAACAACAACAGCAACACGATGGCAGCCAACAGCACCAGCAAACCCAGCAAACCCAACACTCGCACCAGCGCCGTCTCAACACCGTGGCCGCTTCGAATGCTCACAACACACACCCGAGCACGACGAGCATGGCTCCGCTCAACACCATGGGCCTCGGCTTCCCCGCCGCCATGCAGCCCATGAACCCTATGCTCGCGACGTGGATGAACATGAACACAAACACCGATGGTTTTGGGCCCGACATGTACGGCCAGGGCTCCATGACCATTGGCCCAGACTTTACTGCCTCGTACGGGGGTGCACTGCAAACGTCGCCTATCGAGTTCGGCATTAACTCGCACGTCGTGATGAACCCGATGATGAACTTCATGAACCCAAACAGCATGGATGCAGGGCTCTCCACCTTGAGTGCTGCCCCATTCCAAATGTCCGACTTCCATCCCGATTTGAACAACATGTCTAATCACGACTTCAACGCCGGTTCAAACGCCACTGCAAACAGCGTGGGCACGGGCTCACCTGGTGAGAACTGGATGGAAATCCGCTCCTTGTCCAGTAGCGACAATGGCTGGGTCGACGTCGGCGTCCAATACGGCCACCGCCACCGCCAGTCCTACGACTTCTCCGACAGCTCTGCCATCTTTGTCAATCCTGCCGACACACTGCACCCCACCCACGTCCCCCCGATGCGCGTCCGCTCCGGCTCAGCAGACTCGACTCACTCCGACGCCCCACCATCAGCCCGTTCTTTCAGCAGCTACGACTTCCTGAGCTCGCCTCAGTCGGAGACTGAAAACATTGCTCTGGAGTTGGTGCCTTCACGTAGCTCGCACAGCTCGCATCACTCCCACCACTCACTCGCGTACTCGTCTGACGGTTGCAACCACGACCACAGTCACGGCCTCCCATTCAGCGACCATGACTTCTCACACATCTCCCCTACCCAGTCCGTCAGCCCTCCAATGGCACGCGTAGAGCCCATTGTCATCAAGCAGACATCGTCAAATACTGCGTCACCATCCTCATCGGCCGTCGGCTCACCGCCGGCTCGCCGCAGGAAGTCGCCTGCCACGGCATCTGGCTCAAAGCCCGCAAAGACCATTGTCAAGAAGACCACTGCTCACACCACCAAGAAAGATACCACTGGCGAGAAGCGTGTCGGCAGGAGACGTGGGCCTCTCAGGCCTGACCAGAGGGCACAAGCTCATGAGATCCGCAAGCTTCGTGCCTGTCTGAGGTGCAAGTTCCTCAAGAAGACGTGCGACAAGGGCGACCCGTGCGCCGGATGCCAGCCATCACACGCACGTCTTTGGCAGGTTCCGTGCACGCGCATTGACATCAAAGATATTGCGTACTTCATGAAGGACTGGAAGGCCGATTACGAGCGTCACGTAAGCCTTGGTTTCTCCATTGGGAACATCAAGGGCTTCTCGACATCAGAGCGCCTCATCTACGTCACCCACGGCTATGGCCACTACTTGCCCATCATGGCCCGTGACGTCTACGTCCGCGATGAGAAGTGCTTCGGCGTTGACTGGCATGAGACTCTCAACGGTCTCCACTTTGAGATCAACACTGCCAAGCTGTCCGCCGGTATGGAGGGCATCTCGCGCGCCATGCTCTCCGACTATCTTGACCGCCACATTGATGGTGGTTTCGAGCAGTTTGTCGATGAGTACTTTGAGGGTACCTACTTCGTCACTGAGCTATTGAAGACTGCCTACCGCTTCTACTGCCGTGAGAAGCTTCCCGTCATCCGCAAGGCTCTCAAGCTTGTCCTTGCCTACAACCTGACTCTCCACGTTACAATGGTCGAGGGTCTTGGTGAGGAGGACAACACGCCTGGTAAGGTCGAGGACCAACAGTCCAAATTCTCTGGCAAGACCATTGCGCCTGTCATGATCAACTTCCAAGTCAAGTGTGCTCTTGCGGACATGTGGCGTGAGCTGCAAAAGGACGTCCTTGAGGAGCTTTCTGCTCTCTACCAGTCTGTGTACAGCGGTGACAAGCTGAAGAACTGGCCTACCATCTTCATGCTCGCTGCCATTCTGTTGGCTGTCTGGGAGCTGATTCAGTTCGACTGCAACTACCGCGTCCCTGATCTCGGCGCTGTTAACAAGTTCTGCGGCGAGATGGAGGGTACGCCCGTCGGTGTCATCGTTGGTCTCTTCTCGGCCATTTCCCAGAAGCTTCCCTCCTTTACCGAGTGGGACTCGCGGAAACACCATCACCTCCTCAACTCGAACCCTGCCGTCTGCGACGCCATGACAGAGGTTCGCGCGCACGTTACCAAATATGGTAAGTCGATGCGTTGCCTATTCTCATTTCACTCCACTAACATACCAACAGAGACGTACCTCCGTTCAAGAAGTGATTGCAAGTTCGATCGTCAGGACTTTGACTCCTTGTCGAACAAGTTCCTCTCGAAGCTTGTCATCAGGGCCAACTAAGGCGACCTTGCCTATTCTCTCACGGCACAACCATTTTTAATTAGCCTGCTGCACATCATCTTCACGAACTATCCTTTGCACACAAATCATCCGCCGACAACACCTAGCATATTGCCTCACGGCACCCCGCACATACAAAGAACGAACGACGACTCACGTGCCGATGTTTGCTACATAACGGTTGATGAACACTAGACTTGATGAACGACATTGTCTTGCATTTCCAGCGATTCCCCGGTGTCCTATGGATGCCATGTTCTCAGCGATCCCGAGACGATCAACGATGCAAACTGCCTCGGCTCCTACATTCCCAACTACATCACATTCATTCCTGGCGACACCGGCTCAATCTGTTTTTTCACATGATTTATACGACTTTTATTGACTTTCTGAACGGAGACGGCTGACGTACGGTCACGAGCACATGGCCACGACAACGATCACGACTACTTGATTTTTTGGAGTGAGCGGCAGAGCAAGCAACTAAGCAAGCAGGACCGGGGCTGGACAGTCCCGTGTTTCCTTGATATAAATACATTTTTTTCCTTTTTAAGCAATTGGAAGGGTTCCTGGATGGTGTCGCACACCAGCACTATGTGTTGTTGATGCGACGGTTTCCCACCATATTGTCATCTATAAGAAAAATCTTTTCCTTCTTGACGATTGTGTTACTGGCATAGCGAGCGGGCGAGCGGCTTGTTTTTTCTTATTTCTTTTTTGTCAGAGGCCTCGACATACTCCTCCAGCAACCAAGCCGTTTGCCATCGACGGTGGTGTGCTGTGAGTCAGCCATTTCTTATCATTGAAAACGAGTATGTATCTGTCATTGGCTTTTGCATGGTTGCAAAAATGGGAATTATCACTGTTTACTATTACACCCTGCATTGAACTTGACGTGATATTCATCCAGTCGGGAGTTTGGAAGGCCAAGTCGACAATGGACAGAACGCAATGCATTGTTAAAAATGAGTCAAAGCTTACAGAACAAACCAGACCCACCTCACTCCTCGCAGCCAAACCTCCCCTCAATCTCCGCGCATGCAGAAACAACACATGACCCGTCTCAGCCAACCGCCCAGCACCCCCATCGACGACGTACCCCCACCCCACTTTCCCTATTTAGCCCAGCGTCTGCCAATGCCCGTAAGAAAAAAGTGCGTTTCAAGTTTCGACACTCCATGCCCAGTCCACAGCAAGTAAGACACATGACGGAGTTTCTCCGTCGTATCGTAAAATCGGGGGCGGGGAGGGGCGATGGCTGACGACGGCGGCGGCGGCGACGGCGAACGGCGACACCAAAAAAAGGCCGTTGAAAACTCCATCTATTGGCCCTATTCACCGCCTCTTTTCCCTGACCTCTTCCCGACAAAGCCCGCCCCGCTGTGCCCACCCTTTCTTTCTCACGGGGTACTGGATTGGGATAGCGGCTGGTTGTTGCTGCATTACATAGGAGTTGAAGGGGTTGACGAGTGCGAGTGCATGATCTACGTATCGGTTGGACGATCATCAACGGTACCCGAGCCGAGCTTTTCCCGATGAATGGCTGGGCTGGATGGGATGGTGGGATGGTGGGATGACTACAGACGGATGTTTACCGCTCATCTCGTATACGCATGTTGAGAGTGTATTGCATCCGGTGTAGATGGTAGTTAGGAGTAGTCTTACAGTGCTATACGGTACGATACGGTACGGTCAGATAGAGCGGACGACTCGGCTTCGTCTCGTATGAGTGAGTACCCGACTAACGCTACCACATCCACTCACCGGATACACATACTCTGTCCCTCAGCGCGTGCTCAGTCATACAAACGAACAAACAAAACAAAATCTACAATCTACAACCTACAATCCGCTACCAGACTAACCCCTCGGTTATTCATGCCAGCGCCCGTACCGGTACTACTGTATCTCAGCAAAGCTCTTCGGCATAGATTTTTTTTGGTACACTATGTTTTGTACCTGCTTTATTCCTATCCAAGCCATCCTGGCCATCCCTAGACACACCCGCCTTCCATGCTATACTATAGTCTTCTTCGGCGTTTTCTGCCCTACCGTAGTTTCTCTTTTGCTTTTATTTTCGTCAGCTGCGCTGCTGCCCGGGGAGTCCGCTTGACCTGCGTTGGGTTGGGTTGCATCAAACTGCACACGCGCTCAATGCAGTAAAATGCACATTATTACCCTGGCAGCGCGAACGGACGGACGGACGGGGCGCGGGCGGCGGACGCAGACGCGGCGAAAACGGTGCGTTGTACATACAGCATTTTACGTCTTTGCGTCACTAGCCAAAGCAGGTGTGTTTTATGCAATGCGTATGCTGCATGCCATAGTGGCTAAAATGCAGGTTGGGGCTGGGGGGAGGGCTTGTTCTCAACGGGTTTTGTTTTACAATCGTAGACGTTTGTGGTGGTGGAATATGTTTTTTAGGGTAGGCTAGAGCGGTGACTGATATGTCTTTGCGTTCTGTTTAGTTCAATGTGTTTTGAGCGTTGCGATCACGATCATGTTGCGGTGTTGATGTACGACGTGGTCCGGTGAACTAGTGGCGTTGGGAACGAGCTTGGTGGTGGGGGCCAAAGGTGGCGAGATGGCTGGGGTTCTGCTGCTGCCGAGGTATGGGGTGTGGATGGAGATGTGTTGCTATTGTTACTGCGAGAAGATGCAGTGTGGTGGGGAGTCTGGGTGACAATGCCGAGATTTGTTAGTAGACGTTGAAGATGCATACCCTTACCAGGCTGTGTAATGATGGTCAGGCGATCGCTACCCGGGTATAGCTGCCTCCTCAGCTCGTTGAAGTCGCCTATTACCGGTATGGATTCGCCACTCATTGGACAACTGGACTCATGTATTTTGCTGAGGATAGTCACGATATGGGAAAGTATCGCGCGTGAGTGGCATGAGGGTTGAATTGCTATTGTGATTATGATATCAACCGGACACAACCACCTAAAAGCCCTGCCTAAACTTTGGTGCATATATCTCCTCAAGATACTTTGCGTCCTCATCACTAAGGTTGAACTTGCTGTTCTGCACAGCCTCTTCAATCCTTTCCTTGCTGCTCAATCCAATGATCGGGCAGACTCCCTTCTTGATGGTCCAAGCCGTTGCAATACATGCCATGCTGACGTTGTTCTTCTTCGCAACCTCTTCTACACGCTCGATGATCTTCTTATCAATAGCGTCCTCGCGCTGGTAGGCCAATGCGTCCAGGAACTTGTCCGTCTCAGCGCGCTTCGATGATCGGTCATTCCATGGGCGTGTTAGGGCACCGCGGGCGATGGGCGACCATGGGATCAAGCCGACGCCTGTGTCTTGACAGTATGGATCTGGGGATGGTCAGCATATCATGAATGACCAGCTTGTTAGAAGCCTACCATTTCTCGCTCTTCTTCGCGGTAGATGAGGTTGTAGTAGTTTTGCATGGAGATGAACTTGTGCCAGCCGTTCTTCTCGGCAATGTTCTGCAGCGTTTGGAACTCCCATGCCGCCATAGAACTGGCTCCAATGTATCGCACCCAGCCCTTTTCGATGACATCGTTCAATGCCTTCATGATCTCCTCTCTCGGTGTGCCGCGATCCAGACGGTGGATTTGTAGAACGTCAATGTATGTGCCCAGTCTCTCCACGCTCTTCTCTACTGCGTCAAAAATGTGCTTGCGGCTTAGACCAACACTGTTGACCATGTCGCCGTCGTTGACGGATACGCCTGCGATTTGGACGCTGACATCGTCTTCGACAACGCCGAAGTAGCATTTCGAAAGAATGACGACCTTGTTTCGCGGGATGTTGTACTGCTTCAATGCCTTTCCCACAATCTTCTCGGATAGGCCGTGGGAGTAGATGTCGGCCTAGGCTAGGTCAGCGTTGTAGTCTATGATGTTGTGCTGCGGTACGTACAGTATCCCACGTGTTAATACCGCACTTGTAGGCATGCTCGAGAAGAGGCAAGCTTTCAGCTTCTTCCAAGACCCATGGTTGCCATTTGGAGCTGCCATAGCTCATGGCGCCCAAGATGACCTTTGAGACTTTGAGGCCAGACCTGCCCAAGCTGCGTCGCGTTAGCACTTGTGTGGGATGGTTGTGCGGATTCTGAATTGCTTGACGTATTCCATCTTCTTCTCAGCCATTGTTGCGTTTGCTGCTTTGCTGTAGCTGGAGTGTTTGTAAAAGTTCCTGGTGTTGCGATGTTTACGGCAGAGTCAGTGACGTTTTATGCGATTCGTAACTGGGGCAGCAGCGGATTTAATTGCAAAGCCGTCTTTTGGGCGAACCTTTCGGAATAACGGACGCTATACAGCCGTGTTGTTTGTAATGTGTGGATCTTGCCACTGATGTAGGTGTTACAGCTCCATCAATGCCGGAGTTAGCCGGAGATATGCTTCCATGTCGTCAGTCGAGGTGGGGTATCGGAAAATATACCGCAATGTCCAGTAGGGTACGTACGTAGGCGGAATGACTTGGGGTACTCACAGGATGCTAGCTGAGGTGTTGTATGCGGGTTTTCTCCGCGCTGGGTTGAGAACAGTTTGAACCTGTATTGGTAGGAGGCCATGTCGCCACCATCCTTTATTACTGTACATACTTCTCGTTATCCGCAAAGCTCACTCAACAATTTATCATCAACTCGGGTCCGGTGTTCAGAATCTCGTGAGAATGTGCGCGACACCAGGTTGGAGGTCGGACTTTACATTTTAGAATCGGAAACATCACAGTCAAGACTAAAGTGTTGGCATCACGTCGTAGAATGTGTCAAGATGTTGAACTACTTCTGGCCATGCCAGAGCATGTCATTCATGTCGAGCATTAAATACAAGCCATCCGAGACCCTTGGGCCTCATGCCGAGTAATCACCCATTCATATCCTCGCCCACCATATCCCAGTATCCGTCAATACCCTACTGACCGCCACGCAGACGGAGCACCAAGTGCAGTGTAGACTCCTTCTGAATGTTGTAGTCCGAGAGCGTCCGGCCGTCCTCGAGTTGCTTGCCGGCGAAGATGAGACGCTGCTGGTCCGGAGGGATACCCTCCTTGTCCTGGATCTTGCTCTTGACGTTGTCGATAGTGTCTGAAGATTCCACCTCCAATGTAATAGTTTTACCAGTCAACGTCTTGACGAAGATCTGCATGCCACCGCGGAGGCGGAGGACGAGGTGGAGAGTCGACTCCTTCTGGATGTTGTAGTCGGACAAGGTGCGGCCATCTTCAAGCTGCTTGCCGGCGAAGATCAAGCGCTGCTGATCGGGAGGGATGCCCTCCTTGTCCTGGATCTTGGACTTGACGTTGTCGATAGTGTCTGAAGATTCCACCTCCAATGTAATAGTTTTGCCAGTCAACGTCTTGACGAAGATCTGCATACCTCCACGGAGGCGGAGGACGAGATGAAGCGTCGACTCCTTCTGGATGTTGTAGTCTGATAGAGTGCGACCATCTTCGAGCTGTTTTCCCGCGAAAATCAGGCGCTGCTGGTCCGGGGGAATGCCCTCCTTGTCCTGGATCTTGCTCTTGACGTTGTCGATGGTGTCTGAAGATTCCACCTCCAACGTAATCGTCTTGCCAGTCAACGTCTTTACGAAGATCTGCATGGTGGCGGTGGTGTTGTGAAGTGTGATGGAGTGTGGTGGAGTGTTGTGGAGAGATTGTTTGTGGTTGGAAGTATTGATGGAGCAGCTGGGGTTGGGTTGAGAGCTGTGAGAGAGTGGAGGAGGAAGAAGAGAGCTTGGGGGGCGGCGGGGGCCTTTATATGGGAGCAGGCGGCGAAGGGAGTCCGTGCGCCAAGCAACTGCGGTCGGGAGCCAGGCGGCGGACAGGGACAGGAAGATTCCCGGCGCTTCCACGGGTGACGGTCTCAGTGAGCAATAGCAACAGCTTCAATGACTCTCACTTGAAAGTTTGGTGCTTATTATTCAGCGCGGGCCTTCACTGCCACCGGAGCGCCCTTGTGCATGGCCCGATAGAGCTCGTGGTGAGGCCACTCTTGACACTCCACGCCAATTCCCCGCCTGGTTCCACCTTGTTATCGCATAGCCCCCGCCTGGAACGCACTAGTCTATGGCCATGTGACGTATGCGCCGGCCATTTGGAGGCAACTGAATGTTTGCCTTCACCGACTGGAGCCAGCTCGTCGATAGCCAACCTAGTCTTATCGCACTGGCCAGGTCTCTGCATCGCGCGAGACAATGTGCTTCCGACGCATTCCGCATACCGCGCAAGAACATCGCAGGCCGACTTCATTCTATTCTCACGACGACGTCAGGCAACGCCCCCATCACGTAAAATGGCGCAATACAGATTCCATGGCTGCAGGGCCTTCACGACTCGTAAGCGACTGTAAGGCGCATTCACGGTAAGTCTGGCAGCGACATATGGACACGGACGGACATGGGAGCAGCGGTAAGTCTGGCAGCGACATTATGGACACTGGACATGTAGCAGCCATGGTCGACGACAGCGTCGCGGATGGACATCTCTGTTCAACCCGTGGATACGACTCATCACTTTAGTATCTTGACCACACTACTACTACGGCAGTCTACTCGCCTCGATCCCATGTCTCAGTCCGAAATCTTCGAAATCTTATCGCAGACCGCATCGAGCTATCGTTATAGCGACTCCGCCCTCAACCGATTCAGCGATAAAGTCTGGGGACCCAACACCTTTTGCGGCTCCAGTGCCAGCCGAGCCGGTCACACCATTCTCCAGTATTGACACTGGCATTCACGACATGAATGATCCTAGTTAGTGGGCGCAGTCACCTAGGCATTGTGGAGGGCGCGGCATATAATCACAGACGATCGGAAGGTTGGAGCGCAAATACTCGGGCGTATGTGAGTCGGAAAGTGTTCCATGGATGATTTGGGAGTCAGGACTGATACCTGTGTGTGGTTGTGAATTGCGTGGTAGCAAAGGCCCACAGCCACCTATTCAGCTGGACAGCGTGTCTTTGACCCACCACGAAGAAACGGTTCAGTCACTCTATAAATGGAGTGCTGATGGGGCACAAAGAGAACGCGCTAGGCACGGGCAAAAGATAGGTCGGTCATCAACCGCAGAATTACGCTCAATACAATGCTGGTCCAACACTTGCTACGTTACTATGCTATTGTATTGCATGATGCGATTTTCGGAATCCGTAAACCTTAACCCGATACATCGATCAACTCGCGACCTCCACATAGCGCGGGCGCAACACTAGCGTTGCAGTGACGTATGGATCTTCCGATGTTCCGTACCACCAACCTTCCAAGGGGGAGCAAGTCGTACCTGAAACCATTCGTACCTCTTCTATTAGACATCCTGTCCTCAGGCAGACAAAACAGTCGTTTCAGTACCTTTATTTCACACTCGAGCATCACCGCCTGTCCACGAAATTCGACAATACGTTTCGGAACCATGGCCGTAACATACGCTGCTGCTGTCAGCACACCCAACGGCGGGGTCAGACAGCCCCAAATCCAGGCACGAGCATGTTCCGATACGGACATGCGTGCGTCATTCGAGGCCTGTCAGACGAAACGGGAAGAGCAGAAAAGACCGCAACGGCCGGGGGCGGGGATACGCGCAAAGACGAGCTTCCGCGGCTGGACAAGCAAAAAAGAAAGCAAGAGTAATCTGCAGGTACAGAGTTACCAACCATACATTGTCGAAGAAAGTCGGCCATCGGGCAATTTCGCAAAAACGGAGCATAAACCCAACACCAAGAGTGAGGAGGAACATGTCTACGTGCTCACACTCAAGGTCACGGATAGTCTGGCGAAACCAATGGATGCGATGCGAGATCAGTATTTCCCCAGGAATTTGAATCGTACAGGCGCGCATCTGACGCTTTTCCACGCGCTGCCACATTCGCAGATGGAGGCTCTAGAAGGAGGACTCAACGAGGTGGCCGCGAGCATGAAGCCATTCGAGGTATCATCTGGCAAGCCATTCCGGATGCGCAAGGGCGTTGGGATCAACGTTGATGAAGGCTACAAGACAACGAAAGATTTGCACACGGACCTACAATCGCAATGGGCGGCTTTCCTTAGCGAGCAAGATGCAGGAGGATTCCGGCCTCATTGGACTGTCATGAACAAAGTCGATGATGAAAGAAAAGTTGATGGGGCCTTTGCTACCATCAGGCAAGAGCTGAGCGAAAGCAACCAAGAAGGAAAAGCTGTCGGCCTGGATCTGTGGAGGTATGAACGCGGCAACTGGATCTTCGCGAAGGAATACATGTTTGGGGATGCCGTCAGGACACCAATAAGACTAGATACGCCCGGGTCGCCGACGGGTAATAGGGGTCTGCAACTCTCACCCTCAGCTGACCAGAGTACTGCAGGAGGGCCGGTAAGAAGACCGGGTATGTTCAAGCGAGGGAGCAGCGTTGGGGACGCTCTTAGGTCGATGAGCTTCCGAAAGAGGGGTTGATGAGGCGCACATTGCTGAATCCTGTATGATGCATGTTGATCGTCTTTTGAGTCCAATGGTTAGGTTCTGCTGGGTTGGTGTTTCTTTCTGGATGCGAAGTTGCACACGATAAACGCGGGGTACACAGATAGTAATGGTACTAGTTCATCCATGTCATGGTTCACGATGCCCGGTTCAGCCCTTGGTATGTCGTCAATGGGGAAAAGGGGAAGTTGGCGGAGTTCCGTAAATGTTGTCTTTAGACATTTCGTAGAGATATAGTATGTTGCAACGATAATATATAAAGAATCTATGGAAACCTTATATGGCGGTCCGCTAGTCAAGTATCGTGGTTGTGAAGATGAAGCGGTCTGTGTCGAGCGCGTGATGGACTGCAAAGCTCGCTACAGAAGCATGACGCGCGTCGCATAAACTGGACCCCATGGTGATGATACTGTGGGGGTCCGGCTGGTAGTACCGTGAATATGCGCACTGTTGAAACACTGCAATGCGTCGGACAAGATCATGCGTGCCATGCCAGGAGCGCGGCAGGAGAATTGGCTTCTGTCAGGCGCCCGGTAGTACCCCCAGACGCGGGTTGAGCCACACTCAGCCACACGCCGGTTTGGTACCATGCGCGCGGATGGATTCCGATGGCGTGGGGCCCGAGAGCGTGATCAAAAGATTCTGAGGTTCAACGCCTCCAATTTCACGATATCACGGCACGTGGCCCAATTAAGGAAGCTGATGCAAGGGGATGACTCAGGGCAAACGGGTGGAATGAGGAGAGTGATAACCACGGGTACCTGCGAGATGCTCTCGTGACATTGTTGCAGCCAATTCGTCTGGTGTGAGTTATACGATGTTAGCCCGAATCCACAGCGACACGATGCTACAGTTAGAAGTGGATAGGCTGAGCGATCAGGGACGGCGCATCTGGCCACAATTGCTGCAAGGGTTTGGGCTGTTAGCCGACGTGTAACGGGCGTAGCGGCCGAGGGTTGCGCTTGTGGTGGGTGAAGAAAGGGGAAGCTAGAAGCTAGCAAAGCAGGGAGCATTAGCTTCGCTAAATGTGGACGCGACTATGCATATAACCTACAGCTGGCCTCACCCAGGCTCCTTGACTTTGACTGCGCATCTGCTCCAAAGATATTCTCCGTGTTCTGTTCATAGGCCACGCACCCTTTTTCACTTTGCTTCTCCCGTGTTGCAGACCTTTTAACGTCTCCAACCCACGTGTAATAATTCCTTGAACACAGTCCCTACACGCACAACACCGCCAATATGAAAGGTCAGCCCATCCAATTGCCTTGCGATCGCATGCAGCTAACAGCCATGTAGCCATCATTCTCGTCGGAGGGTTTGGAACTCGTCTGAGGCCTCTTGTATGCCAGCCCCAAGCGGACAGCTCGCTCGAGAGCCCCGCGATGCTACCGGCAATGCCCCGACTAACGCCAATTGTAGACCCTCACACTCCCAAAGCCGCTCGTTGAGTTCGCGAACAAGCCCATGATCCAGCACCAGATCGAGGCTCTCGCTGCTGCCGGTGTCACAGATGTTGTCCTTGCTGTCAACTACCGCCCAGAGATCATGGCCGAGGCGCTCAAGGCCGTTAGTATCCCTCTGTCATAGCGCTTCAGAACATGTGAATAACCTTTTCTGCAGTACGAGAAGCAGTACAACGTCACCATCACATTCTCCGTCGAGACCGAGCCCCTTGGTACTGCCGGTCCCCTCAAGCTCGCCGAGAACGTTCTGGGCAAGGACGACTCACCCTTCTTTGTCCTCAACGCCGACGTCACCTGCGACTACCCGTTCAAGCAACTCGCCGAGTTCCACAAGTCACATGGTGATGAGGGCACAATTGTCGTCACCAAGGTCGAGGAGCCGTCCAAGTACGGTGTTGTTGTACACAAGCCTGGCCATGCCTCCAAGATCGACCGTTTCGTGGAGAAGCCCGTCGAGTTTGTTGGTAACCGCATCAACGCCGGTATCTACATCATGAACACAAGCGTTCTCAAGCGCATTGAGCTCCGCCCGACTTCGATTGAGCAGGAAACTTTCCCTGCCATTGTCAAGGACGGTCTGCTACACTCATTCGACCTCGAGGGTTTTTGGATGGACGTTGGACAGCCCAAGGACTTCTTGACCGGTACCTGCCTGTACCTCTCATCATTGGCACGCAAGAACTCCAAGCTTCTGACATCACCATCTGAGCCCTACGTCTACGGTGGAAACGTCTTGATCGACCCCTCAGCCAAGATCGGCAAGAACTGCCGCATTGGCCCCAACGTCACTATTGGACCTGACGTTGTTATCGGCGATGGTGTCCGCCTGCAGCGATGCGTGCTCCTCAAGAACAGCCGTGTCAAGGACCACGCCTGGATTAAGTCGACTATTGTTGGCTGGAACAGCACCGTTGGCAAGTGGGCCCGTCTCGAGAATGTCACTGTTCTTGGTGACGATGTCTCTATCGGTGATGAAGTCTACGTCAACGGTGGCTCCGTTCTGCCTCACAAGTCCATCAAACAGAACGTCGACAGTAAGCATTTATAACCATATCCTACAATCACCCCCGCTAACCAGCATAGCTCCTTCAATCATCATGTAAACTCCAAGATACCCGATCGGACGATGCCGACCTCTACACTTTTTAATCAACGTGTATCTTCTTGTATATTCTGCATACCATCCGCACATTGGGTGTTGGTGTTTTCATGGGCGTCTTCGTTTGCGCATGGGGTCAGGAAAAGCGACTGGGCATGGTTGGGATGCTTTGGTCTTTGGTTCAGCGGATTGCATTCACACATGTCTAGAGACGGCAGTGATGAAGTGAAAATGCATATACTATGGTCATGTACGAAAGCCCCTTTGGAAATCTACATTCAACTCTAGTGTTTTGGTCAGGAACGTGACGGGGGTTAAACGTTCAAAACTACACTGGAAATTTGTAACCCTTCTCTACTCCTCAACCAACTCCGACTCCAAACTCCAAACTCCAAATGCCAAAGCGTCGTCAGTGCTATGTATGGTACTGCGTTTCAATCATGTCCTTTTTGAGCAGATTGATACGAACCATTCTTCATCTTTCCATCCTTGTCTATAACCCTCAACTGCCCAACCCCAATATCATAGATCAGACCGTGCAGCCCAAGCCCATGCTCAGCAATAGCCTTCCTAACAGCAGGATGTTCTCTCAACGCATCCACAGACCTCCGAACATTGAGTTCCGCCAAACGAACCGCCCGCGCATCGTCATCAGGCAAAGCATCCAGCTCAATCTCATGCTGCCGGCGAAGTCTATCATAATCAAGTCAGCACACCCTCACCACGCCTAGATATCAGACAAACATACTCCCTAACAGGCCCCAACCAAACATCCAACGCACCCCCCAAAACCTCATCCCCAAGTGCTGCCCCCACGCCGCCACACTTTGTATGCCCACACACCACCACGCTTCTAACCCGCAGATGCGTAACCGCATATTCCACCACACTCGCCGCATTTACATCATTCACATGCACCGTGTTGGCAATGTTGCGGTGCACGAAGATGTCGCCGGGTGCACAGTGGCAGACTGTTGTTTCGGGCACGCGGCTGTCGGCGCAACCGATCCAGAGGGTTGAGGGAGTTTGCCCGAGAGCGAGAGTGGTGAAGAAGGTAGGGTTGAGTGTGGTTGCGTGTTGGCGGTAGAGGGTGTTGCCGGTTAGGAGGGGGGTTAGGTGGTCTGTGGGTGTGAGGTGTTAGTTTGGTAGGAAGGGAGGTGAGAGTAGACGTACCGATAGTTACGGTCATAGTTTTCCAACTGTCAGCTGCCTACTCTTTCTAGATTACGTATGTATGTACAGCAAAAGCTTCCAGAAATCCCTCAAGAAACAGAACCCACAATAGTCAGTCAGTCAGTCAGCGAAACCAGCTTTTAACCTCAGGAGCAGAAGTGAAGGATAATACTAATTGAAACATGCATGTCAAGTCAGCCTTCACTCACCGTACTTGCTGACACTTGTTCTGTACGTCGCATGGATTCAACGCCAGGGCAATACAAACGGCGCTTATTGTGTGTACCATGTTGCTTAGGTGTTTGAGACACAGAGTGGTGAGCGACACGGTTTGAAGAGGTGAGGGGTTGAAGGGGGGTGAGTGTGAGTTTTGTGTTGTATAGTCCAGAGCTTGCGGTCAGGAAGAGGAATGAAGGAGGCGCTCATAGGGAGATGCTACGGAGCGTGTTTTGGGATGAGAGACAGTGTGGTGAGAAAAGGTGGTAACGTGGTGATGTATTGTGTGGTTTACAGATGGAAATGTATCAGCATAGATAGTTGCTTTCTAAGCAGCGTTGTGATTGACCTACTCATAATACCGCTCTTTACCGTCAGCCCAGATTTCAAACACAAAGACCCGTGGCTTTATGCATGGCTTTCTCCATCTCTTCGCCCGGGCGGACTTGGCAGTTGCAACTTACCCTAAAGGGCCCCAAGGTACGACGTGTGGCTTACTGATCGACACTCTGTGTTACCCTGACTTCCCACCGCTGATCATCTTTGGCAAGTGGAAGTTTTGCTGCTTAGGAAAAGTAAGCACCGACATTTATGAAACACCGTCTTGTTTGGGAACATGATCAAGAAGTGTGCGGCAGCAACGTAAGCAATCAGGTCAACAAACACCGAGAAAGTCAGAACACATGTACCACCAAGGCCACATAAGGGACACAGACACAAAGGAACGAGAGACGATAAACAAGCGTAAAACAAGCCCGAACTAACCTCCCATTAGCCGTGCTACATAAAACTATTCAGGTATCTAAGGTGTACAAGTCCAGGTTCCTTCCATACAACACATACACCAACTCCAAACACACACACACACCCCATCGCTCATTTGTGCACAACGAGCAAAGAAATAAAAACGCCATTTTGTGAGAATAGGTTTTCACTTGTTTGAGCTTGATGAAGAAAAAATATTCTAACCACCACCTTCGGCAATAGCCTTTAGAAGTCCAACCACATAATTCCTAAGCGTGAGGTTATGGCTTGCTGTAAAGGCAATCTGATCCCGCAGCGGGGAAAAGATTCGTGCGACCCAGCCTGCGTTCTTGACTTCTTGTTCTTCCCTCTCCTCGTTCTCTCGCCTTTGCTCCAGTGCTGCGTCGTTGAGACGGGGCTTCTTACCGCCGGCTGTTGCTCTCCTTGCAGCTTCGGGGCTGCCCTCGGCGGCGCTGAAGGTGCGCTTGTGTGTTGGTGAGGATGGAGAGATGACTTCGGCGACGGTGGATGGGGGCGGGATCTTGTTGAGTTGGCGAGCAAGGTTGCGGAGGACGAGCACAGATGATAGAGGGAGACCAGCCGCATCGTTGGTTTCGTCGGTCGCCGTGTTGTAGTAGCGGAAGTTGGGCGTTGTTGACCCGTCCTCTCTAGCGCCGTGTCTACTCACCGAGTTGATCGACGAGCTCAGGTGTCCAAATTGCGGATGGACGACGTCATATCGTGGCTGTCCGGAGGAAGTTAAAGGTCTCGACTCGGAGGGGGTGCGGTTGTGTTTCGCGTGGATGGCTTGCCTGATGCTAGTATCCGGGAGATGGGTCTTCATATGTTGGCCAGCTTCGTACGCTGATTCGGTACCATTGGGCGAGAAATGTGTGCAACCACCCCAATGACAAAAGTACTTGGTTGGTGGTGTTGCTGAAACTGCATCCCCGTTCTCCATGTCGATATCTGGTTTGGGCTCGAGCAGCCACTGGCCTGTTTCTTGGTCGCGAGGAACCCGAAGATGATCGCTGACAACGTGTTCCCACATGGACCGCGCACCAGATGCGAACTCGCCACATTCTATGTTAGCAGTAGAGTGTTTGGAGTCAGTGTGGCCGTTCATCAGGCTCGGAGGATGCCAGCAGCAGCGCATGTACGGCCTCTTTGTACTGGGGTCGACTGGTACGGACCGTGGGCGTATGCCTCGAATGGTGTACTTTGGCTGCCCACCTACTGTGAGTACTTGAGCAGATGCACCGCCAAATGTTGTGGATACATTCGTAATGAAATCCTTTGCTGGCATGAGCGCCTTGAAAGATACTGGGTTGTTCGTCATGTGCTCTGAGAAAGCGGCATTGTATGCGGACCACAACTGAATCTGAGTGATCTCGCCCGCCGAGTCCTCTTCGAAACACGTCTTGAGCCACTGTGAGCTGCGCTCTGGTTCATCGAGAGTGACCAAGTGATCGATGATGGCGGATGATAGCTTCGGCGCATTCTCTGGTGGCGGAGAAGACTTCGCTGTCTTTGCAACACTCTTGCGTTCTTCGTAAGCAATCGCACCGTATTGGAGGAGCCGCACAAGTTGCTTTATGACGGCCTCGATATCAATTTCGTGTACTAATGTCTCAACGTTGTCCGGAAAGCCAGTGAAGAGATACAAGAAGTCCAAACATGCAATGCGGAGGTCCTCGTCCTCTACCAAGAGCCAGTCACATATTGATTTCAAGGTCTTGGTGGGAACGTTGGTGAGCTTGTTGGCAACTTCCAGGTTCATAGATATCCGGGCAAGCGCTCTTAGTGACGTGATGATGCGACCGCGGTCGTCAGAGTCGACTTGTGCCACCAACGAACGATACAACGGATCTTGTGCATCCACAACCCAATACTTGGTCAGTTGCTCGGCGATTTCGAGGGCGTAGTGTTGTAGTTCGACGACGGTAGAGTGTTTTGGGAGATTGAGTACGATGACAATCATATCCTGGATAGATGGTAGTACAGAAGTAAAGAGGGCGTTCTCCTTGAGCATCACCATGTTGCGAATGATTAATGCAGCCTCGTTAATCATGTTGAGGGCCTGTGCAGTTTGCTCTGGGAGGAGAGTATCGTGCATATCCAGCGAAGCGAGAGATTGGATACGCTCCAGAAGATCGCGGGTGCCAGACAGGCCGTTTAGTATATGGGGCTGGTCGAAGTCGTCTTCGACATATGATATGTCCCAGCTCACGTCAAAGAATAATTCGCCTACATCGATGACCTTCGCAATCAGTGCTTCAGCAAGTCCCGGAAACTGATCGAATCGGTACTTATCGCCACGTTCATGCGAGATCTTAACAAGATGATGCAGGGCATAAGCTTCCTCCTCGGGTTCCCTTGAGCGTAGAGCATTGAGAGCGCGGATGTAGATGCTGGGCCCAGGAAAGCCGGTGCCAGGCAGCATCATACCCTTGAGCTGCACCGGCCTGTTTTTCTTGTTGAGAATGTACTTCTTGCGCGTTTGTATGTAGGTATCGAGCGAGTTGGATGGAGTAACGACGGGCTTCATGGTGGCTGGTACAGCAGTTCTGGGCTCGTAGTTTGCGATCGTCATGGCAGCTCCACTGGTCCCGTAGCCGTTAGTTTGGGACGAGTTCAGGTGGCCGGTCGACTGGCGCGTCTGGCGGGTAGAAGCTTCGGGTTGGAAGAGCACACGCTGCGGCGGCGCATGGCGGAGCGATCGCGTCGAGCGACCGACGCTGCCTGGGTCGTCAACGTCCATCTTATCGTCCTTTGGTGTATTCTCCACGTCGTCTTCGTCTTCTGAATCTTCGTCTCCCCTCAGTCGCTCTGCTTCCCGATTGCTAGATGGAAAGAAGTTGTCTACGGTTCGGTTCAGCAGGTCTCCTCCCTTGGCAGACACGTTTTCGAGAATCTCGGGCGGCGGTGGTTCGCGCTTATGGACGGTAGATATTTCGTAGGCGCTACATTGGTCATCAGCTATTGCGACGCGCATGGGAGATGCCAGTGGTTCACATACGCAAGGTTCTTGTAGTAAGCAGTCTTGACTAGGAAGGCTTGAGTTGTGATGTTGGGGCTTTTGGGAAGAAATTCGGTAGCGATTCTACGCCAGGCGAGCTTGTTGTTCCTGGTATCTGAGACCTTGTCGTATCCGCCTTCCTCATTCACGCGTTTGTAGAGGCGCAAGAGGTCAATGTGTCGGCTGCCGACCTTTGGTTCGCGGTCGAGAATAGTGCTATACGTCTAATCAATATGCGCCCATGGCAGTGGGCCAGCAGTGGAGACGCACCCGCGCTTTTCGTGATATTCAGCTAAAGTGTTCAGGAAGTCTTCATATTCTTGTGTACGCTCAATGGGTGATGGTTCCTCAGGTTTGTTTGGGGCCATGTTGCGGCTGTCGCATTCACTCGAGACTACTGGGGGCACGGATCGCGACACCTGCGTGATTCGAGCCGAGTGCCGGGCGCAATGGTGGTCCTGCTCTGAATGCGCGGCGCGCGTCAGTCGCGATGATGGATGAAGCGAACACCAGAACTCTCTAGGATGCACCCGACTCCCTCGCGTTGGTAATCAGCCCGTGCGCCATGGTCATGTGACGAGTGCGGTCGCGACTTCCAAGGTCGTATGTAGTCATCTCACCTCTCACCTGTGCCCCAACACCTGAACGTGCTGGCAAACACCAGCTTGCGAAGACAGTTCTTCGTGCAATTCCATCTGTCTTCGGATGAGAGGCTATTGATCTTGATTGACCCACAGCCATCAACTAACCACCATGCTCTCGCTCCCGCTGACCAGTCTGTCCACAGCACAAGATGCTGACCCTAGTCTGCAACGCTTTGACTGGCGTAAGGAAACTCAGGATCTCACTTTTGTAATCGACACTTATCGTGCAACTGGCAGCGTACAGCTCGTCAAGGTGGTGCAGGGCAACCAGGTTCGGGTATGACGCATGCACGGCCCATGCCTCATACCTCCAGAACCCTTCATCAGTCATCGCAGACGCATATGTAGGCTAATATCTACATGCAGCATGTGATCGAGATGGAGAAATTGATCAGCCAAGGGAATGAAACGACTCGTCTGATGCGACTCCAAGGCCTCCAGATGCAGGCTGAACAGTTGCCTATATCAGCGATTGTCCGATGTCCCCTACTTGCCATACGATGGCAACTGCCCGACAAAAAGGTAGAAATAGTAAGCACTGACACTAGCAAAGCTAATTGAAACTTCAGATCCGTCGCATCCAGGTCAGATTCAAGTCAGACACAGACTTTGATACCGTCTGCAGCCACCTCAATCGACATGGTCTCCATATGAGTGGGCAGAAAGACGTCCGGACCCAGCCACAGTCAGAGGTCTCTTTACCCTCGCGCTTTGGGCCAAGTCCCACAGTTGTCGCATACCCTGATTTGCCAGCTAGAGGACCTGCCCCAGAAGGCCTTACCTGTCCACCGTCACGGCTAGCTGAGATATCCAGCCGACCATCTACAACTACCCCTTCCCCTACGTCTCTAAGACCTCAGCCCCAAGAAGTCGACAACGCTCGCCCCTTCTCTGCGTTCACGGGCTATGTTAGAGAGGAACGTGGCACCTCGACTCCCTTCTATGGTCCGCTTGATCCCCCAGTATACTTTGCGCGACCCAACTCGGCAACTTCAGACATACTAGGTCGTATCTCTAACCATACCTCATTCTCCACACATATGCCCATGAAAACCATCGAAGGCACTCCTGAAATATCCACCGAACGACCAGAAGCTGACATGCTCTTCAATCGTCCTGATTCAGCTGAGAACCTACCGCCTAGACGGGAGCTCCCCTTCCCACGCTTATCAGAGCCACGCTCTTCAGGTAGTGATAGTGTGAGCCTCTCCAGTCGTCCATCAACCGGACTAATGGGACCGCCTCCTCTTCCAATGCATGCAGGTGGTCCACGACCCAGTTCCAGCAGAGATGCAAACAGCAAAGAGATTGAACTTCCACCTCTGCCCCTGCCCACTGTCGTCTCAAAGACTGCTCAAGCAATGCAACAGCCTCCCCGTACTCCTGACCAGGATCAAGTGGCTCAACGTGCAAAGACATCACCACGCGATGGAATAGAAAATCGGTCTCCGCTGAGCTCTTCGTCGCCGTTCAACACCCCATCGTCAGCCAACAGATCACGTTCAAATGCCATGCCCACACCACAGGCTTTAGGTTCGCCAAGTAATGCTGCGCAGAACTTGCGCCGAGCCATGTTGCACAGTAGTCCTATCCCTCCTCCTACATCTGACATGGGCGCTACTGGAGACAGGTGTGATAGGGACGGTCTGGCTGAGTACGCCATGCAGTCTGACGAAGATCGGATGGCAGCGCTGAACGAGTTCATCTTTCGCAACCTTGAGGACGATAACTTTCTGACGCTTGTGGAGGATGTAGAGTCTGCATGGGCGAGGACAGGGTTTGGCATGTAATGATGGATATAGGTGTACAGACAGGTGTACAGAGAGTATATGCGAAAAGGATGTACCGAGGGAGTGTGTGTAGACGATGTACTGCTGAATATGCGAAGGTTCTATAAATTGTACGCCAAGGGTATCTAAGCAGTCCATGTTGCTAAGAAGATAAAAGGCAAAGTGGACCAAAGCCTCCGCCATGCTCTTATAGCAATAGCCAATGTCTCACATCTTATCTCTTCTCTAGTGTATCCTCCCCTCTTCACCAACAACATAACCCTTCGCAATCCCACTCCTCCCCTCTTCCATCTTTGCCGCTCTACCCCCTGTCACTTCGCCACTACCGTCCTCTTCGCCATTTTGGTAGTCGCTCCCCAGACCCTGCCATGTCCTGTTGGAGCGTAGGTACTCGGCACCTGGTGAAGCTACGCCACCCACTGCCGCTATATCGCCATTGGCACGTTTTGTTAATGCAGAACTAGACGACGGTACTGCCTGACCATTGGTAACCTTGGCCGACTGAGTCGAGCGCATAGGTCGTGCGTTCGATACGTAGCGACCAGTCCTCAAGTCGAATTCCGGAGGAGCGGATTCCTCTTCAGAGTCATCATCGACCTGGTTTTGCTCATGTTCCTGAGCGGCTCCGGTACCCGCTGCAGCACCATCACCACCATTCGTTTCCTTCACATCCCCCTTCTCACCATCTAAAACTTTTTGGAAATCCGCCTCCCAAGCCCCCGTCCACACCCTCTCCTCATCTCTCTTAAGCGCCAAACCGAGTTCCCACGGCGTAATCATCGGCCGCCAAAACTCACTACTTTCAATCAAACTACTTTCCCAACATCCAATCACCACCCAGCCGCCCACTTCACTGAAGTTTGCCACCTTTGCCGCGTTGACTTTGCCCACGACGAACGTATAGCTCTTTTTGCCTGCAGTCGCGATTTGCTGTTGTACGTGCGAGAGGATGTGCATGTAGTTTTTGACGGAGAGGGTGTTGATGAGGATGCCGAAGATGGGGGTTGTGGAGAGTGAGGTTAGGAGGGCGTAGCGGCGGCTGAGGGTACGGGCGGTGCTGGCGAGCGAGGCTGTTGCGGGTGTGGGCGAGGTGGTTGTCGTGGGGTAGATGTGAATGGAAGCGACGCGCGAGGATAGGGTAAGGAGGAGAGAGGCGGGCGGGTCGGATATGTGGAATAAGGCGTATTCGCGGAGACCTTCGTCGGTATCCGTTACTGTGGCTGGTATCGTTCGGTTTGGTAGGGGTGAAGATGGATTGTGGACAATCTCCGTTGCGTGTACGTGTGTGTAGCCGTCGTCGCAGAGGCATTTGTAGAGGGTAGGGATGTGGTGTGAATAGGGGATATCTGCCATGAGTATAATCTTTGCCTCTTTGTCTGCGTATGTCTCTCTGAATGTTGCCATTACCGCTTCTAGGTCTAGTGGTCTTTCTGTGAATATGTATATGACTGGAAGTCTGGAGGGAGGCGAGAGACATGAACGGCCATAGTGCACCACAACGTCTGCATCGACATGCTCTGCAGCGACTTCGTCCACGCAGCATGCACCATATGATGTATCGCCTAGGATGAACAGCCTTTCTTCAATATCCTCTGATTCTTGTATACTGGCTTTCTCAAGTTTTGCGCTTAACTCTTCTTCTGTTGTCGCCCCGTTGGATTGACCACTCCTGTCTTGTATCCCATTCTGTCCTTTACGTTCTTTTTTTAGGCCTCGACTCAGGTGTTCATATACCCGCGGTGCATCCGTGAGCATGTGATCCGGAAACTGCAGCGCGATCCTTTTCCATTGTCCCTCCCTAATTTCCCTAACCGTCCGTTCGATTTCGTACGTGAGTGCGACCTGCTCATCTGATAGTCTGGGAAGATTGGTCGTGTCTACTGCGGGTGTCGGGTCTTCGAAGATGTGTGTATCGGGGGTAGAGAGCACAGGAGCGCCTTCAAGGGTCGGGACGGCCATTGCGTATATTGCACGTTGGTGGGTGGGCTGGTGTTTCAGTAGCGGGGTCGTCACGACTTTTTTGCTGCTTTGGCGGGGCACGCGATGCAGGGACGGGCAGCCGAAGAGCCGCAATGCACCCTATGGTAATACGCCACTCATAATAGGCCGAGAGTGCATGGAGATGCAGACACTTGTTAATGCAGGAATTCAATTGCTATGTACAAAACATGTGGTATCACTATATATCCAGCGCCGGCTATGCAAGCCCTATATCGAACCAGAAGACTGTTTGGATCAAACAGCACTTTATATCGCCAAGTAGCCAGAGACAGCCACGGCAAAAGCAAGACCAAGGGCGTTGGGCACAAACTTGCCGACACCGTTCTTTTTCGTCGCAGCATCAGCAACAATCAACGAGGGGGTGTACGGCGCCGATGTTTCAACCGTAGTGCCGTTCCAGCAGTATTGCGTGAAGCATTGCTGGCACACTTGTGGAACGGGTTCGCCATTGCGCTCCAAGCTCCTTGAGAGAATAGCACATCCAACGCATGTAGGCCAGTTTTCAGCACCCTGGCGAGTCGCGTTTGCTTGAGTAGCGACGTTGTAACCGTTCAGAATCATGCCGTCACGGTCCTCGAGACTGTAGTCTAGCTTTCCAAACGTCGACTGGTTGGACCAGAAAGTGTATGGAGAATTGGGAATGTATACAATCAGAGGAGGAATGTTGTTGCCCTGGGTGACGTTTTTGCTGTCGCAGCCGAAGAATGCTGGGCGGTTGTTCAAGCCGAGAGCAACGAATGTGTTTTGACCTGGAATATAGGGGAACGAAGTCTTGTTCATGATGGATCCCTTGGTACGTTCGTATGTGGCGATGAGTGCGGTACCGTTTGGCCAGTTCTGGGAGGGCATACCCGTTACGACGGTGTCAGCAGATGAGTCAACTGCGAAGATGACGTCGACCTGGCGGACCGGCTGGATGACTGGGTTGAGGGGGATGTTCTGGCCATCTTCACCGCCGTCTACAAGTGTGAGACGCTCGTTCTTCGCGCTGGGGTTTGTCTCATTGTGGAACTGGAAGAAAGGGTTGGGCGAGTAGTCGGCGATATCATCACCATTCTTCCCCAGTTTAGTCAGAATATTCGAGACAAACGTTTTAAGCTTGTCTGGAATATTCTGTACAGTGTTCAATTGGAGAAAGATTTGGTTAAACAAGGAGCTGCTAGTTCCCATGATGAAGCCCAAGTTGTCAAATCCAGCGACACATCCTTGGCTTTGAGGAAGCTGTCCCGAGCTGAAGTTGGAACCAATGTACTTCAAAGGGGCGAAGCCGAATGTCGTAGGATCGAAAGAACCCATCTCAAAGGGGTTGAACTCAAAGTTGGTAGCGTTAAGCGAGATGATAAGGTCCCCAGGTGCCCGCTCGTCCGCCACAAGGATAGGCATCGGTGCGTTGCCGGACGAGAAGGCAGCGTCATCTTGAATGGAAGAGAAGGTGTAGGAAGGAGCTCCATCAGTTGTGTTGATGAGCTGGAACGAAAGGCCACGGCCGTATACATCCGTGATGGACGTATTGAAGTCACCAGCCGTCGCATCAGACTTGCTCTGCACGGTGTTGAGCAAGTTGTCGTAGTACTCCACGGTAGAGAGTAGCTTGATACGACGCTCGGTAGGAGGTCCTTGAAAGAGAGTGTTTTGGAACTGCCAGATGGGACTCTCAGCGCCCTCGTTGACAATGGACTCGACAGTAGTGAAATTGTTGGCATATATGCTTCCAATCATCCAACCCCCACCAGATAGCGCCGAGACATAGGTAGACGCTTGCAACAATCCTCCCAAATGCCCTGCGCTTGTCGAGTTTGAAGTCCGGCTATCAAATGCAGAAAGGGCACCTGCACCGTTAAGCAGAGCCCTGTAGCCTCCGCCAGAGAAGGAAATGGCAATGTTGGGTAGCGCGGAGGTATTAGAGCGGTGCTTGTCGATGTATTGTCCAACATTGAAACCTTGGATGTTGACACGCTCTAGAAACTGGCGCATAGGGTCTATGGTGTTTGGTCTCCTTTTCTTCAACCATTCCGTCTCTTGAGATGAGATTGTGTCGGCGGATCGGATACTTGGCCGCGTAGAAGGGCAATCGACTTGTGACGGCGCATAGCCGTTAGGAGCCTGTGGTGAGGCGCGCTTCCATGATTCTACAGCATAGTTGGGAGGGGCAACTCTGGCTTCTCGAGGAACCAAGGCGGATGCTGCCGGTAGGTCAATAATGCACAATAGTAACACGGTGCGCGTCACGTACAAGTTGCCAAACTAGTGAGTGCCGAAGCAGTCAATACACAGGAATACTTCATCCTAGCAAAAAGATGTGAAGAGTCGAAACGTGTGGAAAGGGAGTAATTGAGGGAACCCCAACAACAGCGGCAAGTGTGCCATGTTAAATGAGTAGATCGACGCTGTCACACACATGGGGAGTGGCCCACACGCGGCTGTGCTTAGCACCACAATCCCGGAAGAGCTAGGACTTTGTGACCTCATGTGTAGGGCCACCAGTACTGGCGTGGCTGGAGTACCGGGCCCTGACGATCAAACTAAAAATAAGGTTCTGATCTCTCGGCGGGGGTTTGTGGTGGTTTGACTGCGTCTACCTCTTCAATGCGATATCGCATGCTCACCGAAGAGGCTGTACACTCGACCCATCTTCAGCTCGGTTCCTCCCTGTCTGCGGCGTTTGCTGACACCTGACACCGTATCGCTCAGCACACCGTGTCAACGCAAAGGGGGCGGAATTGACATGTATCATGATTTGTGACTGGTTACAGAAGTTGGGCGCTTGCATTCGGCAAGCGGCACGTTCTTTCTTCCATCCACCGTCTTTGCTGACATGGCGAAACAACGCAACGCCGGCACTCGGCACGGGACGAGGGACATGCGTAGGCGAAAGAATCCTGATTCAGTACACAACATCCCGGCCTTCCCGCGACGCCTTTGCTCTACGTCTGAGATCTAGGGTTGAATGTTTGATCCATAGTACTGATGGCAACGCCATTGATGTTTAGCATGACACAAATGACATGCCGTCATAGATACTAGAAGTTTTGCATAACGACTTGTGATAACTAGCCTCTCGTGTCCCTGCTGTTAGGCCACCTGCAAGCGGTCAGTTATGCCCAGCACTCTAAGGTCAGGCAAACACTCCGGTCCCTCTCATCAAATTTACAACGTTAGGCGCACCCCCAGGCGCAGTAACCTCGCAAATAGTTCTACTCCGGGCCTCCGGCTTCCGCAACGGCAGCCAAAAGGGGCGGTGCAGCAGCGTGCGCTACGGGGTAAAAGCTCATAGCGTATCCGTACAATTGACGCCGGAAATAAGAATACAGAAGCATAATTCACGCGGACTGCAGCGGAGAAACGGGGTGGCGTAATGTGCATTGGACGTGTAATGTACATGATGCGAGAATACCTAGGTAGCGTCTTCGGCATTGTTGATATGCGGCTTTCCCGGAAGCCACCGCGGGAGTGGAATCTATACCGAACCAGTTACTGATCGTCAATTGTGGCGGTGCGAGCAACAAACAACGCATTCGCAAACTACCATCGTCTTGGGAACACGACCTCTCCGCCTTTTGGTCCGACTGCAAGCTTTGCCAAGCCGGCGACCAAATAAGTTATAGTTTGCGAAGCTTTGCGGGATATTCGGATAAGTGTTATCCTGGAAAGCTCTTCCATTCTATTCAAGTTGCTGCACTGCCCCAGTTATGCTATCCGCAAAGTTCCTATACGCATCTGCCATTATCTCATTACGTTTGCAAACTATTGTTCCCTGCTGCTACCTGTAGCACAAAGTCAAGATAATTGAATAATTACTCAGGATTAAAATCTCTACTACACAACAGTTTCTGTTCTCAACTCTCAGCACTTAAATTCCTCCTTTAAGATAGTAATCGAGTGGATACCCAAGCCAATCGCATTGCGGAACATCTTGAAACCCTGCGCTCTTACTTGGCCAGTCGAGCAACCTAATCTCATTGCCTGTAGCAGCAGTGACCTGGCCCCACTGTCCGAACTTCTTCACACCCTCAATGACTTTGTCGTACCCTCTCGCATCCAGGTACTGAAGGCTGGGGTTAGGATTACCTCCCTTCACAAAGGCAGCAAAGTAGCTGGTGGTAAGTTGAACACTCCACAGATCCTCAGGGTTGCGGATGTAGCCCAGGTTACCAAACGTCCATGGCATGTCCGCACCGTGCAAGCGGAAGTACGGGTTGTTTGGGTTCTCATTTGCAGGACCGCCAAGGTTGTTGGGATCGTAACCTCCAGTGGCGCGGTTGAGCTGGTAGAAGTACGCTTTCTCGAAAGCGTGCGACTGAACGCCAGAGTAGACGGTGGACTGGTCGGCACAGCGGAATGTCTTGTCTGTAGCAACGCGTTGAGAGACGTTAAAAGAGTCGAGTGTCAGGTTTCCGGTACTGGTAAAGGGAAAAAGACCGGACTGGATAACTCGGTTCGCCCAGGTGCTATTGATACCGAGAGCCTCTTCCAGACCTTGGGTATGGTTTGCGATGGGTGCTTTAGGATAAGTAGAGAAGGATGCACCGTCGTTTTCAACCACTCCGAATATGACCGGGATATGTGCTGTACTGGAATTGCGCGTAGAGAGAACCAGGTGGGGTGTGTTGACGATGGTTCCGTCTTGCACGACATAGCGGGCCACGGTATTGAAGCCTACTATCTGTGTCGCATTCGCTTGGGTAAGGCAGGCGACTTGGGCCGACAAATCTGTGCTGTTGCAACCCGCAGCGGCAAATATCTGAGGTCCAGCAACGTTGTAGCTTTGGTCAATCGTGTAATACGTCGAGTACGTTGTTCCATAGTCGCCATCCAAGCCCAGTGTAACGCCTCCTCCAAGGTTAGATGCGGCAATCGCACCTTGGAATTTTCCGATGGCCTTTGGTGATCCCAAGAGCGTACGCACTGAGCCAGCGCCGGCAGACCCTCCAGATATTGTAATCTGGTTTGGGTCACCACCGAAAGAAGCAATATTTGCAATGACCCAGTCTAGAGCTAAAATCTGATCTGCAATACCAAAGTTTCCCTTGATGTTAGTTCCAGGAACTGCAAGAAATCCCAGTGTTGAAAGTCGGTAGTTAATGGAGACAACGACGATGTCTTCTTTGCTTGCATAGTTTCCACCATCAGAGCCTGCATCAGAACCAGTGCCTCCAGTGAAGCCTCCACCATGAATCCAAAACAGCACAGGTCGTAGCTGCTTCTTCGAACCGGACTTGGGGATATAAGGCGTTTGAATGTTCAGGAATAAGCAATCCTCGCTTCCACCGCCACCCTGTAGACACTGGGAACCGTATTCGGTTGCCTGTATCGTCTGTCCCTTTTTGGAGTAGATGGAAGTGTACTCAAAACGCTTAGGCGGCTCCGCATATCGAATGCCCATGAATCTGAAAGATTTCTGATTGCGGTATCCGACGAAAGTATTCCCTCCAGATGCTACCGAGATGGTGCTGCCGTTCACGGGGCCGACGGTCGATGAACCATTATTGGCGGATTGCGTGCATAATACTGGCAGTTGCTTCTTAGAGTTCGAAGAGGATGAGTAGCTCACTCGGTTGCCGACGGAAACGACGCCATTGTCGATGTAATAACCTCGCTCCGCATCGCTGTACTTGGCGTAGTCCTGATATGAGAGAGCATCGTTGAAGTCTTCCTGGTACTTTTGGAGAGTAGCCTTGGAGATGAGCTTCTCGTTCAGCGAGGCGCAAGCGGCAGCAGCACTGCTCTGTGGAACAGGATCGAGGATGATAGCACCGATATGGTTCTTGTCGTCCGACGCATTAAGGTTGTTTTGATAGATGAGCGTCAGGGAGGACTTTGCGTTCGAAACCTCGAGTGGCGCTCTTGTCTCTACAGGCGAGGCTTGAGAAAAGGTGGCCAATCCAGCTGCCGCGACACCAACAAGAGTGGTAAGAACCGTCATCTTGAAATTCCAACCGAGTGAAGAGATAGGATTGACAGCTAAAGAGCCACCAATGCTCTCCTTGACCCTTATATACGGCACCGGCAACCCGGATGGCGTTGCGTTCATCATTAAACAACCGTAGCGCTAGCCCTAACAAGCGGCTCTCCACATGAGGCTATTGAAAACAAGCCTTCAAGAGTGGGTTATTCCCCGGAAACCGATGAGCAGATCGGTGGCTAGGCAGGGGCACGGGCAGAATACTTACGTAGGCCGTTGCCGCCACCTAACTCTTGGGGAAGTATAGTGGAGATGCCAGGTCTCCCTGAACGTTTAACATGCTCTGGTCGTGATGCCAAGTGCTACCTTATTTGGAATCGAGACAGCCCTCGTCTCGTCGCCATGAGAAACCTGAGAGTCTTTCATCGCCATGCAGTTGTTCACGTAATATGTGTGCAGCATCGAGACCTCCACGATCACCACCCGAGGTCATAAGCGATGTAATTAGCCGTTTAGGCATGATTCGTAGTAGCCTGCAGGCCGTGCAGACATCATCATGGATCCTAGGTAACGCAGGGGTCAGAGCAGAGGTTAAATGCATTAGTTTGCGGGGCGTGACTTGGATTGGGATAATGGAGAAGTGGATGTCTAATGGGGTGGCTTGATCCAGCTGGATGCTGAAGGATTGCTGCTAACTAGGTTGGGATCTAGTGTAATCTGAACCTGGTTGACGCCCGCCCACCACCCGCAGAAGTCCTTGTCTTCTACCCCGACTTTTCTCCACCTTCACCTCCGTTGTTAGTTGAAGAGACGTCGGGTTGATGATGTGAATCTGTGTGTTTGTTGATATATACGTACAATCTGCAAGCAACAGACAATGTACGAAGTGCAGAAGACCTACATACGTACCTCGCATCGTTTGAAGAGCGCCCAGCACGCTAGCCTGGTTGATTCTAAGCCCCGAGTAGCTATCAAGGAACGACGTCGGACAATGCCTATCAGAGTATGCTAGAGTAAAACATAGAGGAGAGCGCTCAACAAGGGGAAAGGCGCTCTCATTACTCATCAATATGTCGAATGCGGTATAACGCAAGGCTATGCGGTGAACGATGGAGGGGTTGAGATGTTTAGACAAGATAAATTGGCAGTCGCCATCGTGCAGGTTTGCTCGGCGACATCTCAAAATCTCAAAATCACCTTCCATACCTGTTTGTCCTAGAAACCAATCTCAAAACCCTCCGCGCCTCGATCATATTTTCAAAATGCGGGTAACACTTTTGATTCTGACGCACCTTATTGCAACTGCGTTCAGTACAAGCGTGATACCACCCAGTAGCTGGAATTACACCTACCCATGGCCAGTACAATACCACAACTTCACATCCCAACGTGTAAGCCTCTCTATGGCATACATGGATGTATCCTCGACGAACACCAGCCACGCCTCTAACAAAACAATCATTCTCTTACATGGCAAGAACTTCTGTGGAGCGACATGGGAAGACACTGCTCGTCGGCTCTCTCAACACGGTTATCGTATCGTCATCCCAGATCAAATCGGCTTTTGCAAATCGTCGAAACCACCAGCATACCAATTCTCGTTGCAGCAGCTAGCAGACAACACACGCTCGTTACTTCAAAGTCTAGGCATTCAATCAACATACGTGCTAGGCCATTCCATGGGCGGTATGCTAGCGACGCGATTCGCCCTGATGTATCCAGAACTAGCATCCCACCTCATCGTTACGAATCCCCTCGGTCTAGAAGACTGGAAAGCTCTCGGCGTACCCTGGCGCACGCTTGACGCATTGTACAAAGACGAAATGGCGACGAACTACACATCGATTCGGAAATACCAGCAAGCTACCTACTATGTCAACACTTGGAAACCAGAGTACGATGTTTGGGTCAACATGTTGGTCTCACTGTACCAGACCGCGCCGGAAAATACCACGTTTGAGTACAACATGGCGCAGACAACAGATATGGTGCTGACCCAGCCAGTCGCGTACGAGTTTGGATTAATCCAGTCCAAGACATTGCTCTTGATAGGAACGAAGGATAACACTGCGATTGGGAAGGCTTGGAGCCCACCAGACGTGCAAGCCAAGCTTGGAAAGTACAATGTGTTGGGTAAAGAGACCGCAGTGAAGATACCGAATGCGGATCTGATAGAATTCGAAGATCTGGGGCATAGTCCGCAGGTACAAGACAGTGAGAGGTATCACCAGGCTTTATTGGGGTGGTTGGATGGTTCTGGTCACATGTAATGTTGGGAACAAAGACTTTATCGTAAAGTGGAGTTGAATTCAAGCTCTTATCGTACATGATCGGGGGTGCTTGTGCATTTTTATGTTGTGAAGTTTCCGCGTCTCAGATCCATGTCATACCCAACCGCCACACTTCAGACCTTTTTCTGAACTAACAGCTTGAACTCTTGCTTCTTTGTCCATTGAGTCCAACCAAAGCTATCCCTTTTCTCTCCAGTCTCGTATGTAGCCCATGTTACCCGTCCGAGCGGGCCAACAAGCTTTTTCGTCAACGCTTCCGCTCGATCAAAAGACTCTGCCTTGAACTGTCGGCCATAGGGCTTATCCCTTGGCTCCTCTTTGGGCAACCAGGCAGCCACCTATTTACCCGCTAGTACCTTTACGGCCTAGCTCCTTCTCTCCTCCCACTGCGTATATAGACCTCTTCCCGATAGCTCTAATACGACATGATGATTCTCCCCAACCTTGACGCTTGACAGGTTATGAGCCCTCACCCGCTCCCGTAGTCGCTCACGATAATTCTATTAGATATTTTGACGACCCGCGCGCCTCATCACGATCATCACCCTCCCCGCAAAACAGCTCGGTGACGTCGCAATCGCGCGCCACTTTAGCAATCGCGACCCCGCAACTTGCAGCTCATCGATCGCTTGGACGACGACGAGCTCCTCGCTGCTCACCGCCAAAAATCGCTAGCCGAACGGTCTTCGACGTCCGCCGCGATGGCAACTTACACCTCCTCCACAGCTGTCACAGCGCGCCTTGCAGCCGACGGCAAAAACTGGAAGGACTGGATTAAACAACTCATCAATTACGCAGCCGCCGATGGCGCTGTAGCCGTCCTAGATGGCGCTCCGCGCCCAGAATTTGACGCTACAGACGACAAATATCGCATTACCGCCATGCAGCGCCGATCACTCATCCATTAGGCACCTCAACAGACGTTATCCAAGCCGAGCGGACCGTGTCGGCAAACTCAACAAGACTATAGGACCGTTCAACAATGAGGCTCGACAGCTACTTAGAGAGGACAAGCTTGCGCTTGACTCATGGGTCGCCCGAGATGCCCGACTCCAAAACACCATACTCTCATCCATTGACAAGCCTCTCGTAGCTCAGGTGCGCACTTGCCCCACCGCCCACGATATGTACAAGGCTCTCAAGGACCTAAACAGCAACGGTGACTACGCCAATGCTGCTCTCGCGTGGACTGCCTTCATCGACCTCCGCGCTGAGACCCAACCCACAGTCCGCAGCTATATTGGAAAGTTTCGCGAGACAATTAATGACATCACGGTACAAGGCATCACACTTGGATGGAAGAAGCCTTCAGCAGTACCTGGTACATCCGCCGACCGCGACATCGAAGACCTGCTCATCATCCACTTCCTTCACGGCTTAGCTCGTGTACTCCCACAGTGGGTAGAAGCTCGCAATAACGACCTCCGCCAAGGCCATACATGGTCTATCGACACGCTCGTCGCGTCACTCGAGGATCACCTACGCCATGCCCCAGATGAGCCCGTGAAGACTTTCCTCTCCGTCTCTAAACAAGCGGAGGAGAAGCGCGTTCTCACACGCCTAAATGGCCGCGGCAATGGCAACAACAGCAACCAGAACTCTACTCCTACTCCTTCGTCTCTGCCGACGCGCAATAACAACCAACAGAAGCGTACTCCTCAGCCTGTTGGAATGTGCGATCACTGCAAGCGAGAGCACCCAGGACCTAATGAGCTTTGCTGGAAACTTCACCCTTCTCTCACCCCAGATAATGTTAAGAAGCGCACCGCAGACAATGCCGCTAAGAAGGCCGCAGCTGCAGCAGCTCGTACAAACGTTACAGTGGCCAAGAACAGCAACGACGACGATGCTGATCAGTACGATGCTCACTCATACGTGACAGTCGCCACCTTCGTCTCTCCGACTCTCCTCAAGAAGGCAGTCTCCAATCACGACTATCAACAGCGGTACTGCTACGACACTGCCGCTAACCGGCACGTCTTCAATAACCGCTCGAAATTTTACGAATACGCTCCAATCGACAATGACGTACACGGCTCTACCGGATCAACCACCGCCGCCGGCGTTGGCACTGTACGCCTTGAAGTCGTCAAAGCCGACGGAACAACAGAGAAGATCTCACTCCAAAACGTCCTCTACTGCCCCGATTTCGCCACCAACGTCATCTCCCAAGCTCCATTCAAGCGCGCGGGAGTGTGGTATCACTCGGGCAAGGACAAATTGTACACTGCCTCAGATGAGGAGCTAGCTTACTTACCAGAGATCGACGGTATACCCAACTTTCTCGTAGTTACAGAATCCTCCAAGGCGCCGGCCGCTCTCTCATACGCCTCTCTTGTTTGCTATCGAAGCTCTGCCGATGAGCCCTCATCCTCACGGCCAGCCACCGACTGGCATCATATCATGGGACACGCTGGAATAGACGCTATTAAGGACACTGCAAAAGTTGTACATGGGATGAAGCTCACTACTTCTACCGTCACCAACTGCGAGCCCTGCGGCCTCTCCAAATCAAAGCGAAATATCTCTCGAATTCAACAAACTCCACCCAATACAGCGCTTGGCAAGGTCCATGTCGATGTCGTCGGCCCCATCACTATACCTGGAAAAGATGGAGAGCGTTACTTCATGCCTATCACGGATGGCAAGTCACGCCGACAGTGGCTATTCACATCAGACAGCCGCGCTGTACTAGGCCAACAGCTTATTAATTGGTGCAAAGCTATGAAGGCCAAAGGCTTTACCATCACTATCCATACCGACAACGCTCGCGAGTTTATTAACGCCAGCAACAAGCAGTACTTCGATAGCGTGGGCATCGAGGTAGTTACGTCACCACCTTATGATGCCACTCGCAATGGTATTGCAGAGCGCGCCAACGGTATCACAGAGGATCGAACTCGCGGAGCTCTTATTGCAGCCAAGCTTCCTATAAAGCTGTGGCCCTACGCAGCCAAATATATGGCCCGCATTCACAACCTCGTCTCCAACAGCAACCTCCCAGGAAAGATCACTCCTTTAGAGGCCTGGAATCGCTCTATAGGCTACCCAAACCCAGTCCCAAACGTCGCCAAGATGCACGCTTTCGGCCATGTTGGATACGCCCATATACCCGCCCAGAAGCGCGTTAAAGGTGACAAATTTGCACCTCGTGCTCACAAGGGCCACCTCGTCGGTATGATCGGCGAGAACATCTACCAGATGTGGATCCCAGAGACTGATGAGATCGTTACCACCGCCTCCGTGCGGTTTGATAGCTACGACTCACCCTCCACTCCTCCATTGTCTCCCATCATCGGCCCTTCACCATCACCGAAGGTGCTCCCATTTAAACCTCTCATCAACCGCCTCGCCGACGCCGCTACAACTCCACCCGCTCCTCCGCAAGATGGTGATGGCGGCGATTTGGACAATCATCAGCTACCTCGTGCTGATGGCGGAGATGGCTTTGATGGTTTCGAGGATGATGATGAAGCTCCACCAGCTCCTCCAACCCGTGGTAACAACAAGGCAGCGCGTCGACATGAGATTAACGCGGACCTCAACCCAGCTCATATCATACACGGCCCTCGCAATCGCCGGGCACGTGCTTTCTTCACTTCATCTACTTTTGATCGCTGCTTCGCCATGGCTCTCGTCAAGCCCACTCTCGGCTCAAAGCTTTCAGAACTTCCACCGGAGCCTCGCAACTATCGTCAGTTTCTCAAACATCCTCGCCGCGATGATCTACAACTCGCAATGGACGATGAGTACAACGCTCTTATCGCCAACGGTACTTGGCGCCCTGCTACGGCAGAGGAGATTGCCAAGTATGAGATCATCCCAGGTCAATGGGTGTGGACGTATAAAGGCAACGCTCAAGGCTATCACGTGAAAGACAAGGCTCGCATGGTGGCTTGCGGCAACAAGCAACAAGAATCAATTTGGTACCGCGAGGTTTACTCCTACGTCGTCCGAACTTCTACGCTCCGCATCCTCCTCGCCCTTGTGGCTTACTTCCAGAGATGTCAACAAGCAAGTCAAGCTGGCTTGATTCTTATCGATTGCAGATCACAGACAATATAGAGGCTCGTGCACAGTGGCACGTCCCAGAGAATGGTCTGTGATCTGCAATCGATAAGAATCAAGCCAGCTTGACTTGCTTGTTGACATCTCTGCTTACTTCGATCTAGAGTGTGAGCAGATCGACATGATTACTGCTTACCTCAACGCTCACCTCGACGACGATGACGTTGTCCTCCTTCGCCTGCCCGCAGGCTGTACTGGCTTTGGGAATATTGTTCGCCTTCGCCGCGGCATGTACGGCCTCCGTCAGTCAGCCCTATTGTGGTACAACGACCTCAAGGACTCTCTCAAAGATCTCGGCTTCGAGCCCATCGAAGCAGATCCCTGCGTCTTCGTCAACCCAACAACAAAGGCCATCATAGTCGTGTACGTTGACGACCTTATCCTTATTACACGTGACGTGACCTCTATGAAGGCACTTAAGTCACAACTCCTCAATCGATACAAGGCTCGTGACCTTGGCCCAATTGGTTTCTACTTGGGAATTCGAATCCTCCGCGATCGTCCCAACCGCTCTCTCTCTATGACGATGGATAGCTACGTTGATCGCATTGTCGATGAGTATCACCTCGCCAACGCTCCAAAGGCAGACAACCCCCTCCCAAAGTCGGCCCTCACCCTCATCAAGCGTGATGACATCGCCGACAACAACCTTATACAGCAGTACCAATCGCTCGTCGCGAAGCTACTCTATCCTACCTCCATTATTCGCTGTGACCTAGCTTGGCACGTGAACTTCATGGCACGCTTTGCAAACAACCCTACGTTAGAGCAACTGTCACTGCTAAAGCACATGCTCCGCTACTACAACGGCACGGCAACTCTCGGCATCAAGTACCAAGGTGACCTTAAAGACGCTAATATGGACGACCCAGATCACATGATAGGCCTTAAGGCCTACAGTGACTCCGCCCATGGCGACAACAACGAGCGCAAGTCGTCCTCCGGCTACGTCATCAAGATGGCTGGAGGCGTCGTCTCATACAAATCGTACCGCCAGCGCCTCGTTACTCTCTCCTCCACAGAATCAGAATATATTGCCATGACGTATGCTGCCAAAGAGATCAATTGGCTTCAACGCCTACTCTCTCAGGTTGGATACGTCGGTAACGACCTCAAGCCCTTCAAGCTGTACACCGATAATCAGCCAGCGCTTAATATGATCCGCAAGGACGGCCATCACGAGCGTACAAAGCACATCGACGCGTACTTCAAGTATACAAAGCAGCAGTACAAAGACGGCAACCTCAAGCTCGACTATCTCCCCGGCGTAGAGATGCCCGCCGACGGCCTTACGAAGCCTCTCGACAAACAAGAGCACGCTAAGTTCATTGGCCTCATCGATATGGTGAACGTTCCCCGCATGTAGTCTCTCAAGGCACCTCCAGCGAACGTCTCTTTACGATTTCCTATACATTTCATTCACTCAGATGGCTTGCCACCTGGTTCCGGGGGGTGTGTCGGCCATAGGGCTTATCCCTTGGCTCCTCTTTGGGCAACCAGGCAGCCACCTATTTACCCGCTAGTACCTTTACGGCCTAGCTCCTTCTCTCCTCCCACTGCGTATATAGACCTCTTCCCGATAGCTCTAATACGACATGATGATTCTCCCCAACCTTGACGCTTGACATGAACGTATCTCCTTCAGCATCCCATGGGTGCTCGCAGACGATGACATCTATCTTGACCTTCCGCAGACTGCCTTCCCGGGAGTGAAGGTGCACAGCTGCCCACTCTGCAATTTGATCGTCTATCGATGATGTGTTCCAGTACCCCATATAAGGAAACCACTCCAAGTGCAATGTCGAAACCGTAACATCGAGTTGGCGGAGAAGGACTAGGAATGGATCTCCAGGTTGAAAGTATGTATGGGACCAGCCAACATTGCGAATAATATCTTTGTTGAAGACCAGTGGGGTGGTGAGATCGGAGTCTGCGCTCGAGGTCCATTCTTCATACGGCGGTTCATCGGTCCATTCTTCATACAGCGGCTCATCGGTGAAAACGTGTGTAGAGCCGAAGAAAGCAAGTGCCTCGTAGCAGATCTGTTTGTTGGTGCGGAGCCAATTGGGGAGACCTTGACGCATCTCGCGGCTTTCCCGACGCGCCAGAATGTACATGTTGCGTGTCCTGAACTTGGTGCCGATTTCCCCAAATGCGTAATCATAGATCTGATCGCGGAGTTCCCTGGGTAGACGAAAGAAGGAAGATGTGGTCGACAGTTGCTGGTTCTGTGCGGTCTCGGGTTCGCAGTTCATCGTTGCTGGGCCGTCCACTTCGAATCCCGAGTGTAGCTTCTCGAGATAGTTGGGTGAATATGCCCCTGCATTGTCTGTCTGTACGATGGCGAACTTTTGGTCTTTGGATGCCATTAGAGAACAGTTGGATCGCTAAGCAGCAGGTTGTTGTTTGTCTCGAGTTTGGTTGGTGTAGGACACAAGAGCATTAGGTAGCTAAGAAGACTTAAGTGTTTGGAGGCGATAGCGTATGTCTGGTGGCAAGTGAGCGTGTTTGCTCTTGCAACGCTAGTACCAAATTGGGTGGATTTTGAAGTCATACTCACTTGTGCCTCACCGCGTTGGCGCCTCACCATGTTGACGCCTTACCATGTCGACGCCTCACAGCGTCTGGAACCTTCCTTCCAGCTACATACAAATCAGCTGTCCCACCAGTTCTCAAGACTTAATTCACTTACTGGATAGCTTGAAGCCCTGATCAACGACGCCCAACACTTCCCACTCTACCTGCACCGCCATCACTACCTCCACTATGGCTTCTTCTAGCCCCACTTCCCCACTTCCCTCCAACCGCACCTCTGACATCACTACCAGTCTCTACTGTCCATATATTCGCAGAATGATACCATGCTTCATCATCAAACCATCTATGACCTATGATGAGATCCTCGAAGGCATAGAGGCCAGACTCGAACTCCACCGCATCAAGGACGCCCGAGGCCGCAAGGATGACCAAGGGGTGTTTTTCTGCGACGTCAACGGTCGTCGACTCCACGATTCCGATTTTACCAATTTTAACTTCAACAACATCGTCAACGATAGAGAGCTACTCATTGGTACTAAGGACACCCCACATATTCGCGCGTGCCCAAAGCTAGAGGCAGTGCTCTATCTTGAAGATGATACTGGACTACTACAGAAGTCTGTACAGGTATGTTGATCAGTATCTTGTGGACATGAAGGCCATCACGTGGCTCCGTGACCTCGTCCTAGCTAGCTGTGATGCCGCCTGAAGTCCATCTAGCACATCTGAAACCTATACTAACACATATACAGAACAGTAGCGGGGAGTTACTCAGGCATCACATCAGCAACCTGATGCGCAAGGATGCTGTGAGGGATCGATCAAGAGTGTAGAGAAAGATTGGATTTGACAAGATACAAGCTATCGAGCTATCTACGTTGTGAGCCCGAACTTGTGCTGTGGGGGCCATAGGCCGAGTCTATGGATCCGTAACAGATGCTTCGCTCCGAAAGAACATGGTCCGCCTCGTCAAGCCGCACACCTTCATCACTGCCAAGATTGAAGCATTCGATAACGCGTCAGGTGGACAAGAAGAGAGCCGCTACTCCCTCACCAATTCCAAGGCTATCTTGACATCCAACTGGTTCTGGGAGGATCCTAAGCAGCAGTTCTCCGAGAAGGTTATTGCTCTGATAGCCATTCTGAGCGAAGCCACACCTGGTCATCACGGGATCCTTATGGATTTGATCATCAAAGTCAAAGATGAGCGCATTATTAACCCCCCCGAGGGTCTCCCCCAGAACCCAGATGTTCAAGAGAAGGATGTGAAGATTGCTGTTCGCCGCCTGTACAGCATGGCCCCTGGTGGCATTGGTTCTGTGTGGCCTGGTGAAAAAGCGCAGGAGGAGATTGAGCGCAACGATATCGACAAGGCAAAGAAGGCAAAGAAGGTCAAGGCACCCGATGAGGAGGTGGAGGCGTTGCGGAGTCGCCTAGGGGACAACAGTCTGCCAGACACCATGGTGACTGACGGCAAAGATGAGCAGCCGGTTGTCCAACCCGGAAAGTGACAAAACGGTTAGACTGCTGAGACTTACCAGCCAACTTGAGCTGACGACCTCCCGAGTCTTCTCCAAGTATCTTACATATCATGTAGATAGGCATCTGTGAGCCTCTAGGCTTACACAGAACTTCCAATACATGTACATACCCAGCCTACTGCTGGTTTCCATCAGCTTCCCCCTCTTATACAATCAGCTTATTCTCTATTTGTTTCTTTGTTCTTAGCAAACACTTCACCTACATAGGCAGTGTTCTTGTAGATAGATCTCAATCATCATGTAATATTCATCTAGAACTCTATCCCCCAAACCTACCAGTCCGTCCTCTTACTATAGTAAAAATTGCTAAACACCTTTGTCAAAAGATGCTCCCCATACGTACTCCCCTTATGTATCGGCTTTCCCCCAGTCTCCCTCACACACTTCTCCAGCGGCCTAACCAGGGCATCAAAGTTGGGCTCGTAGAAAAACGGCACACTAATCCTATACTGCTGGCCCCTATGAATGACCCTATGCATTGTACTCTTCCACAGCCCATTCGTCCACCGCTCAATCATATCCCCAATATTCACCACAAAGGCCCCGGGTATCGGATCTGCGTTAAGCCACGTCCCGTCTTTGAGCTGCACCTGGAGGGCCCCGGGCGTAGGATCAGTTAGGAGTAGGGTGACACATCCGTAATCTGTATGTGCGCCGCAGGAGAACTGTGAGATATCTGCACCGGGTGTATGTGGTGTCGTCAAGGGCGGATACCCTATCATACGCATGACCCAAAACGACTCATCGCAATTCCTCACGAATACCTCTTCGTCTTCCAAATCTTTACTTGTGTCTTTGACAGGTGGCCCTAGATCCAATGCCACACCCATGGCATGTACGAGTGCCTCGCCCACCTTCTTGACTTGTTCGATGTACTCCAGATACACAGGCTTGAGCGCCTCGGGTTTCTCAGGCCATAGATTAACACCCTGTAGACTCTTCACACTACTGGCCCCCCCGTCTCCTGGCTCTCTTTTGTCTGCAGGCCAGTCGCGGTACCAGTCGATGGCTTCTTGCATGTCTTGCAGTCCACCTGTTACATTCTCCCCCAGGCCCTGGTACCCGCGTGCGCCATCGCCTCCCTCTGGACTTCCAGCGTCAAAGCGTTTGATCTTGTTTTTCTCTTCCAGTGGTAGGGCAAAGAATCCACGGGCTAGGCTGATGATTTCGTCAAGCTTTGACGTTGGTATACCGTGGCCGGTGAGATAGAAAAAACCATAGTTTATGCATGCGGCGTTGATTGCTTTTGCAGTTGTTGAGCGTGCTTCTGGGGTGGAATTTGCATCCAGGAAGGCGGATATATCGATCTTGGGTAGTCCGTCTTCTTGCGCTGCGGCGATTGGCTTATCGTATCTTGATCCTGAGTCGGGAGTGGGGTTGGCCTTGGTCCATGGTTCTGGTATTCCACTTCCCGAGCATCTGGATCGCGCTACACGGAGAGCTGTCTGCATGTCAGACATGGTGGACATTTACGAAGATGTGTACACGGAAAGTGCAAGAGTCACAAGTTGGAACGTCAAGGGATCGGCTGACGATAACGTGTCTGTGCGCGTGATGCCCATAATCGCGTGCCGCACACCCCGCAACATCAACACCAATCCACCCTTACCACTTCAACCACCCATAACTCCACAACCATGAGTTGTATCAACGCTGCGATTGAAGCTATTGAATCGCGTGATCCCGGAGATAAATTTACATACTCTGAGGTTGCGCGCCGCTTTGGTGTTGATCGCTCTACGTTGTCGCGACGCCATCAACAGATCCGGGGCTCAAATGAAGCCAAATCACGTAATCAGCAACTCCTTCACCCACACCAGGAGCTACAGCTTCTAGAGCACATTGACGAGCTTACTGAGGCTGGCTTACCACCGACGAGGACTATGATCCAGAACTTTGCTAGTGCTATAGCCGGAAGGGCTACCTCCCAAAGCTGGGTGACGCGCTTCTTTCACCGTCATCCCGACGCGATTATATCACGTTGGTCAACTGGTTTGGACCGCAATCGCCACCGGGCTGATTCTGTATACAAGTACGAGTCGTACTTTGATCTACTATCTACTAAAATGGCTCAGCACCATATTCGGGCGCAGGATGTATATAATATGGATGAGAAGGGATTCCTTATTGGAGTGACGGGGAGGAGTAAGAGAGTGTTTAGTAAGCAGAAATATGAGACTGGGGGCTTTAAGAAAGTGATACAGGACGGCAACAGAGATTGGATCACTGTTATCGCTGCTATATGTGCTGATGGGAGTACGTTACCGCCCGCGATTATATACGAAGCTACTTCGGGCAACATGTACGCCAGATGGGTTGATGATATCGCAATTGACGATCCAGTCTACGTTACCTCAAGTCCCTCAGGGTGGACCAATGATCAGGTAGGCCTGGCATGGCTCGAACAGGTGTTTGATCGCCATACGAAGGAGAAGGCCGGCAATCACACACGCTTACTCATCCTTGACGGCCATGGGAGTCACGTTACTATGGAGTTTATTGACTACGCGATCGCCCACAATATTATGTTACTCATACTACCCCCCCATAGTACCCATACGCTGCAGCCACTCGATGTGGTAATGTTCAAACCTCTGGCAGCCGCGTACTCACTCAGCTTGCAGCACTACCTCCAGGCGAGCCACGGTCTCTTAGCTGTGAGGAAGGATGACTTCTACCGTCTTTTCAAGCCTGCCTGGGACTCCTCTTTCATTAAGAAGCACGCGTTGAAGGCATTTAAAGCCACTGGGATAGCTCCTATAGATCCCGAGTAGTACTTAAAAAGTTCCGAAAGTCAACACTAACAGCACCGCCGCCACTAGTGAACGTGAGTAGAGCTACTATCACGAACCTCATTAATCAGGCCTACGATCCGAGCTCTATTGCGACCAACAACCTCTCAGAAATACTCCTCCGCCTCCAGGCTGCCAAAGAGATCGCCGAGTACGAGAAGGACGCACTGCGCGCGGCGCTACACGTTCACCAGAAGCCCCGCAATCGGCACGAACCTCCCCTAGATCTACAGCAGCGAAAAGCGTTCCATTCAGGGGCAGTTTGGTGGTCGCCGTGCAAGCTTCGAGAGGCCCGCTTCAGGCAGCTAGTGAAGGAGAAGGAGAAGGAGAAAGAGCTACTTGATAAGATAGAGTTGAAAGAGGCAAAGGAGAACAACAGGATCTATCAACTTAAGATCAAAGAGGCAGCGCGGGCGGCGCGTGAGGAGGCAAAGAAGGTGCGGGATGAAGCCAAGGCTGTAAAGGCTGCCGAACTTGACGCCAAACGACGCGATCGCGACGCTGCAAAGGCTATACAACAACCCCAATCGGGCAAGCGTAAGGCTTCAAAGCCCGCTGCAAAGCAACAGCCAAAAAAACGACGCGTGGGTGGTGCTGGCGGTGGCACTCTGGCTGAGGTGGCTGCACCGGCTCCCCCACCAACAACCACCCGACGCGGCCGGGCCGTCAATACTCCGGCAAAATATAGATAGACAAAGTTGTAGAGCTACGTCTATAGATCAATACACCGGAAAATCTCGCGATAATAGTTATTGTACGTGGCTGCACAGCCTCAACTTTGCCGTCGTCGCGATATTGGTGGGGTGTGCGGCACGCGATTATGGGCATCACGCGCACAGACACGTTACCCCATCGAGCTTAGAACGCGGCTATTACAGGGCATGATAATTATTCATACACGATAGAACGATGGGACACAGTGTATGACTATGAGTAGACACACGCAATATTACAGTCTGAACATCGATCTCGTAAGATTTCTCTTTGTTATTTCGCCAGTATCGTGGTATATTGCTTTATCAAGTGACTATCTGCCGTAGCATCGCTTCTCAAAGAAGCATATATTTTGTTCACCAAGAAGGCAGACCCAGAACATGTTGTGAATCTACAATGTATTACATGATTACTTCGTTGGAGACGTCCTGTACAACATGTTAACAATGATCTGGAATGATAGTCGCGTAACTTACCCTCTTGAGCTCCTTGTACGGCAGGCAGACGCAGTTCTGCACACGGACCTCGTCGGCAACCGCACACTCCTTGCCTAAGATGGTGATACTCTGGACCTTGACGCCGTTCTTGATGACGCTAGTATTGTGGCTGGTGACCGGAGTTGGTGTTCCTTCAATACGGGCCCAAGCACCAACCTTGCTGTGCCAGCCGATGATGGTGTACAACACGCATGCATCGTGCTTGATCTCAGAGTCCTCAAGAACAATGGATTCCTTGACACGTACACCAGCGCCGATGACAACGCGCGGTCCGATGGAAACGTTGGGCCCGATCTTGGCTGTGGGGTCGATCTGGGCGGAGGGGTGGATGTAAACAGGGGGCAGAATGTTGGCTGAGGGGGCAGCGAGCTCTTCCGATCCTGCTTGGAATGCCTTCAGAAGGTACAGAGCGTTGGCAGGAACGGCGGAACCAGCGGTCTTGATCTGGCGCCAAAAGTCCTTTGTCTCGAGAACGAAGAACTGTCTGCTGTCTGCAATGTCCGAGAGTACATCCTGCTCCAAGCGAATGACGGCGTTCTCCTTGTTATCATCGTCATCGTCGGCCTGGTAGAAGGATGATTCGAGGTTCTCGGAGGAGGGGTAAGACAGCAGCCTTGGGCGCTCGGTCCGTCGCTTGATAGCGCTGCGGATAGCGGGGAAGATGCACTCAGTCGCAAAGAGGTAGACACCGCAGTTGATGAGGTTGGAAATGTGCGACTCGGGCTTTTCGACATAGTGGAGCACGCGCTTGGTGTGCGCATCGGATACAATGCAACCAAAGTTGGACGCGGCCTCGTTCGCAACCCTCGTACCCAGCATCACCGCCTCAGCATCCTTGTCCTCGAACAGCTTGAGCATCTCGGCGAGCGGGAATGAGGAGCACACATCTGCGTTCAGGACAAATAGCTTCTCCGGTTTTCCCTTGAGGATAACATCGCGGAAGTGGTACAGGCCACCCGCAGTACCCAGCGCCTGGTACTCTCGGAGGTACTTGACGCTCAGATGCGGCCAACTAGTCGAAACGGCGTTGATGAAGGGCTGGAAGACAGACTCTTCATAGTAGCCGACGATGAAGACCTCCTTAATCTCGGGAACGTTTGTGATTGCGCGGAAGCAATGTTCGATTATGGGGTGGCCGGCGATTGGGAAGAGCGGCTATAGTAGTATCAGCGGGGTGTGATCAGGCCATACAATGCGAAAAGCAATTTACCTTGGGCAACTCCATAGACAGAGGCCTAAACCTGGTGCCTCGAGAAGGTCCTCCAACCTAATTCTGTGAGTATACATGGCTGCATCCGCGTCTCGGGCAATGAGTATGTACCAAAATAACTGCCTTGGTCGAGCCCCCCGATGGAGACTTGGACCTCACGGCAAGCGAAGGCGGCTGCAGACTCATATTGGCGTGTTATTTGGATATGTCGTAGTTTGTGAGTGTAACAAGACTGCGAACAAGCCCCAAGGAAAGAAAAAAAGCTGGTGCTAGAGCAATTGTGAATCTGGCCTTCTTCAGGAACGAGTTGGTGGACCCTGGACGCCAGCCCACGTCGGCGGTGAGTGGTCCTGACGAATCGGCGACTCGGCGCATCGTCATGTGCTTCTGAACTTCATCCCTTTTGTCCTACGCGCCTACACAGCTATTACTGGATACGAAGACGCCATCTACATCTAGACTGTGGCACTTGTGCAATCTCGCCTAGCACCACTGCATCAAAAGTCTCCTATAGCGCTATTGAAACTTCAATCGACACGTGCGAATTGATTAGTGTCAAAATACAAGGATACACTGTCGCATTATTGCGCGTGTTGTTTTACTCCCATCTCAAATCCTCTTCTGTCCCAGGTACTCTACTTTCCGGCTCAAGTACAAATATCATACACACACCCGCAAGCCCCCACAACCTCATTTTCCTCCACCCAGCGCCAGCTTCCTGTTCTTCTTCACGAGCGCAGTCAGTTTCTTTTCAAGCACATCATGCTCCTTCCTTGCCGCGTGAACCGCCTGCTCTGCCTCTCCAACACTGAGTAGACTACCTCTCCATTGGCTGCTGACAACTCCCTCCATACCAGTCGCAGCCTCCATCGCATTGATCAAGGTTTTCATATCCATGTTGTTAACATACTCTTCCAATGAAGGCTTCTTGGCTCCTGGTTTCATAGAAGTGCTTCTACTGAAATCGTGTGTTGGATCGTAGCCGAGACCAGCGCCAACGAGTGCTTCAAGGCCTTGAACGAAGACACCACCTAATCGGTCTGCGGCCATCACACCGACGCCATCGATTTCTGTACTTCCTACTGCACCACCTTCAACGACCGCTTTCGCTGCCTTGGCAAACTTATTAGCATTGACCGACATGTTCGCTGTTCCAGCACCAGGTGGTCCTCCCACAGCAGCCATCTCAGGGCGTGGCTGGTTGGGTGGCGGGTTATCTGTTCGAGGTAGAACGTATTGGTTGAGGTAAGCGCCGGCATCGGCTGGTGTCTGCTGTTGTGGTGGTGGAGGAACCTGCGGGATAGGCACGTCCTGCGCTTGTACGGGAGGCAAAGGAAGGTTTGTCGATCCCAACATCGCGGAAGAACCATCAAGTTTTGGCATCTGCTGTCCACCGTTGGTGTTGAGCTTCTTTCCAGCCTCCTGCAGTGCAGTAGCAATTGCAGGGAGAACATCGTTCGAATGCGACTGAGCAGCCAAGGAGTGGCCGTGTGCTGTTTGCCTACGAGGATGGAAACGAGCGTGACCTTTGAGTGCCTCGATATGCTTTTCAAGATCCAGCGCTTTCGCCTCCAGTTCTTCGCTAAGGCCGTAGAAGAACTTTCCCTTAGGCGTGATAAGCGTCCGCGAGTCAGGCCTTCCGTCATGGCTGTTAAGTCGCACTGGCTTCTTCTTTGCAAGCGCATCAAGGTCGGCTTGCGAAAAGTGTAGCTTGAGATCCGGAGGCGTAGCCATGTGACCCGATTGAGCAGTGCGGGAGACATGAGTAAGTGAAGAAGACAATGGCTTGAAAAACTCAAGCGTAGATGCTAAGAGTTCGCCCGTACGTTGTAGGTCAGCTATGATCGCTTGTGCATTGTACTCGCGCCTCTCTTTTGATTGTTCGGGTTCCGCTTCTGGCTCTGGCTCTGGCTCTGGCGTGGAAACCTTTGCAGTGGTGGCCGCACGCGGTACTGCAGCTGGTGTCTCGACATGTTCTTCCTCAACAGTGGCTGGTTTGGGTGAAGCTGGTTGACTCTTAAAGGCCGCCGCAATTGGCTTGGGATTAGCCGTGGGTTTCTTTGCCTTCTTCTTGCGGCCGATGATCGGGGCTTGCATCACTTCAACATCAGACTTATTGTCTTCTAGCTGCTCCTCTTCTATCTGCTTCTTTCGTTCTTGCCTATCCTTTTTGGCCTGAGACTTGGTCTTCTTTCTCATAGGTGCAGAACCAATTTTGCCAACGGGGGGAGGCGAGCTAGCTCTCGACATAGACGTGGAAGTGATCGAAGCGGTGTCTGATATCAGATCGCTGGCGGGTGTGCCTGGCTGATTGATAGAGGCAATGCTCGCCTGCCTGGACCTGAGTTTATCGACGGTTGGTATCTGGGGCAAGGATGGCGCTGATGCCGTAGATAGGGGTGATGGGACTTCAGCTTTAGGTGTTGCAATCACCCGTAGAGTTCTGGGTGCAGCTGTGCGCTTGATTGGTGATCCTGTAGCTGCAGCAGGGCTTGGAGGTACGGAAACAGTTGCAGTTGCAGGCAACGAACGTGTATTCTTAGTCTGAGAGTCTGCTTTGGTCAATGTCGAAGCTACAGACTCCTCTTCAATGGATGCCTTAGTGGCTGATGGGATATCGAGCTTCCCGGGAGGCTGCCTCTTTGTCGATGTTGGTTTCACATTAGCAGCCGGGGTACGCGCGGGCTCCTTCTGTGTGTCCTTTTTAGGAGTTGTTTGGGTCGGAGGCTGGATTTTCTTCGAATTTTCCTTGGCTTTTGACGCATCTTTCGCAACTATCTCCGATATTGACCTTCTCGTCTCTGGCGTTGACTTTGGTGTCTGAACTGTCTCGCCCTTCGCTTTCCTGGACGCTTCTCTCGGGGTTGGCTCCTTGGGGGTCTGTGGTACCACGACTGCCTCCTTTGTCACGGTTTTCGAAGGCGTGGTAGGCTGGGGCTTAACTGCAGAAGTCGGTGTGGAAGTAGCTTTCGGGGTCGCTGGTTCAACGGCATCACTCTTGGGCTTGACCTTGGTGGCCTTGTTGGGCGTGGAGGCCTGAATTGGAGTCACAGGTACAACAGGTATGGCTGGCGTGATATTCGATGAGTTGGTCCGAGACATTAGCAGAGATCCAGGGCGGGGATGAGGCCCTTCCATGACGGTTTTGGGGATGGCGGGGATCGTGAAACCTGGTGGTATAGTGGGGGTGGATCGACGGCCTTGGTCGAATAGCTGGCTGCTAATCGGGGTGATTGGAGTAACCCGTAAAGGCTCGTTATCGCTGTCATTGACGAGCGCATCCACGTTAATGGACGCCTGTTCCTCGACACTCAAAGACGTGTCATCTACCACACACGTCAGCACAGAGTTCTTGCGTATGTAAGAACTGTCAAAAGTGGGATGGCATCAACAACTACAACGGTTGCCAGACGATGGTGTTCAGATCAATAATGCCGACAGCGCATGAAGAGGTACATCAAAGTTGCAAATGTTTCTCTCGGTCATCTCCGTCACATGAAGACTGGAAAATAGTGAACAAGCCATCTCTCTATTAGAAAGTAAGCATGCCGACTTGCTTGCGGCAGAAGGGGTAGTTACGTACATGCGATGGCCATGACGAAGACGACGAGAGAAGCTGAAACTTGCAACGGCAGAACCGCGCAATTCGCCTAAGCGAAAGGAAAACAAGGAAAGCGGATGTGAAGGTGTATAATAGCGTCATGAAGATGTGACAATGCCAAAAGCGTTGACAATGACCGCGTAGCCCAATCATAACGCCGGGCATAACAGTGTCAGAGCACCGAGTGTGTGCCGATGCATTCGCCGTATAAACCGAAACGCCATGCAGCCATCGTTCGAATCAAGTACTAAAACAGTGTGTCTGGCCAACTGGCCGAGAAGTATGTGGAAAGAAATGACTACCATCGTCCAGCGCCGCCGTAGTTGTTGTTTGTGTAAAGCGAAGAAAATCCAGCTTGGCCTTGACCGTACAAGCCCTGCCCGGCCATGCCACCTTGGTGCAACCTAGCCTGTAAGATACTCGGGTCTTGAACATCAGCAAGGCCGCCGCCCCCCGAAGAGGATGTGTTTGCGTGCCTGTGCTTCTTCCCCTTTTTCTTGGATTTCTGCGAACCAGACTCCTGGTAAGCGCCAGGCGAGGGCCCATAGGGGAAGCTTAGAAGGCCAGGGGCAGGGGCAGGTGTAGAAGTCGTGGGGTGTTGATTGAGAAAGGAAGGAAACATTGACTCACGCTTTCCAGCATCACCTAACCTTGCACCACCGTCCATGTTCCGGCTGCGGAGCAAGTCTTGATACATGGCATCATTGTTGTTCCTTGCGGTAGCGCCTGCCCCATAGGGGAGACCACCAGTCGCAAAGCCGTGACCTTGACCAAACATGCCAGTCCCACTGACAGGAGGCGTGCCAGTAGGCTTGAGCCCAGGAGGTGGTCCTTGCACGTTGGGGAAGAACTGCCCACCCAAAGGCTGGTGCTGAGACATGGGGTTGAATTGATTGGCGTTCTTTGGCATCATCGAGTTCTGCTGGCTCATCAACTTCTGGTTCGCGACAGGTTGCACATTTGCGGAAGCAGAAGCGCTGTCATTGGCGAAGCTGAAGCGTGAAGTGTGCCTAGTGTGGCTTGAGCCATTTCCAGCAAGGCCGTGTTGCTGGGGTTGAGCGTTTTGCATGTTACTCAGAAGACCGGTAGATGGAGTGCCAGATTTGAAATTGGAGAGCAGGAGCTGCTGCTGTTGCTGTGGCGTCAAGCCCCGGTTGCTGAGCCCAAGACTGCTAAAGTCCTCGGCCAAAGGCGTGTTCTGTCCAAAGAGGCTACCACCGAAGCCCTGTTGACCTGGCGGTGCGATTGCATGCTGATTGAGATGATTGGTGCTTGTCTCAGGTCCGTCTTCGGGCTCTCCACCTAGTTGTAAGCTACCGCCGGCAGTGGCCTCATTATCCTCACGCTCAGCGCCCGGAGTCTGTTGAGGAGCTACTTTCGACTCAACTTCTGCTTCTCGCTGTGCTGTCAGTTCCTTCTCCTTTTCTTTGATAGCACGACGCTTAGCACCCCCATTGGGATCTAGCAACAGCGGGAAGTCCTTGACGGCCTGGAGTTCTTCGTCGGATAGAGTGGCGCTAGAAAAAATGAACCTGAAACTTGGCGAGGTGATGAGCTTCAGATACTCCTTTACACCATCGTCGTGGGATTTGGCGGGACGTGCGGCAGGTGCGGGAGCGGGAGTCGGGGCGGGCTGCGGCTGCGGAGTAGCGGATTTGGTAGGTCGTGGGGATTTATCCTTTTCTTTCTCTTTTTCCTTGTCCTTGCCCTTCCTCTTAGGAGCTTCTGCGGGCTTTGGTGCCTTGGACGCTTGTGCAGGAACCGCGTTTGTGACCATGGGGCTGGCGTTGTTGGAAGCGATTGTTGAGCGGCTGGCGCGACGTTCCAGTACTGCTTTGCTACCCCAACTTGCAGTCGCCGGTAGACCAGGTGCGTCTGGTATCGAACTAGACGTGTCCGTGCTATCCTGTCGGTTCATGGGTGTTGCTGCGGCGACTGCAGGCCCTTGGTGAGCAGGTGGTGCGGCTCGAGACGTTGACGACTGAGAAGGCTGCTGAGTCTGGATCGAGTTCATCATGGAAAGATCTTGGCGAGTAAAACTGTCATTATCCTCGCCAGGCTCGTGTAGGAACATGCAATTGCGGTTATTGCATGTCTCGCCGCGAAGATAGGCCGAACAGTACTTTGTGGTACCAAACTGCGCTCTGCCAAGGAGGTGAGCTTGTTACATGATACATGGCACAAGGGGATAGGGACTTACCTCAGTGTCCTATCACCATTCTGAGAACCGTCGACGGCATTGATACACTTCTCAGCATCTTCCTTGCGTGCAAACGTTACATAAACACCAACAGACTGCTGATGCTGCGCGTTCTCCTTGGCCTTGCTTACGACAATCTTCAGAATCTTGCCATATTGCCCAAAGTAATCGTCGCCACGAAGTGTCTTGAGCAGTTCGTCTTCGCGTATGGTGGGCGTCAGGCCGGTGACGTACACGAGGTTCTTCTGGACGACACGGAGGCCGGAGAGGTGCTTCCGACTAAGGGAGTCGGCCTCAGCCTTCTGCGCCTCCTTCTGCCGTATCTGCGCGTTCTTCTTGGCCTTTTGCGCTATGAGCTGTTTATGCTGTGCCATCCTGCGCCATGTTAGAAGAGTTCAAGGAGGTAAGGTGCATGAGGACCCACTCTTCGGGGGAGATGGTCTTCCACTCAATTGTCGAATCGTCGTATGGCCGTCGACAGGCGGGACACAGGCCGTTCATGGTCGTCTTGATGTTGTTGTAGCAAAACTGACATATCTAGCACGTGGGTTAGCAGGGCTCGAGATGGCTTCACCGAGTTTTGGGAGGGCGGCGGCGTACTTGGTAGCCACACGGACAGGGCCGGAAGTTCCTGTCCGAAAGGTCGAATTCCTCGACGCAGAGGGGGCAGCACTCTTCCTCGTCATCGTCGACGAACTGGTCCTGTTGCATTCGAGACATGGCGACGTGTGTGGGTGTATTGTGTCTTCTCAAACTGGTCTGGACGTGGCGCTCGGAAGCAATAACGATAGGCGGGGTATGGGGTTCGGGGTCTGGTCTGGGTGGGGCGGTAATAGGAAGAGCGTGCAAGTACAAATAAACGCCGGCCGAGATGTCGCTGACACAGTGAGAGAGATGCGCGGGAGGTGATGGGGGTTAAGAGGCTGCACTTGCGCCATGGGCCACAGGGTACGACTAGGGTTGTCGGTGGACGCTACTTACATAATCATGCGTCGCGGGTTGAGCTGCGAACTTCACGGCGTCGACGACATCACCACCCCGAGTCGCACTTGTCCGCTACACCGCGTAGCCCCATAACCACGAATCCGCACAGAATGGCGATGCGGCTAGCTATAGGCCGGCCATTGGGCGCCGCCGTCCGCGCATCGAGCTGCTCACGCTCCGCCGTGCGCACCTTTACCTCGACTGCTCTCCGGGCGAAGGAAGTCGCGGGGCCAGAGTCGGGGACGCCAAACATGCGAGTGCGCACTCCCTCCCAGTCGACCCCACCAATGGCCGCTCTGACAACATGTGTAGTTTGCTCCACGTGACCCGGCCGGCAAGCTCAAGGCGCCTATCGTCAACCCGGCCGACCACTTCAAGGAAAAGGGCGAGGCGCTGCACAAATACGGACAGTACCTCATGTCATGTCTGCCCAAATATGTCCAACAGTGCGTCTGCTCATGTTTCGCCTACGATCTACTATCTACCAGTATCTGACCATCACAGGTTCTCAGTCTGGAAGGATGAATTGACCATTTATGTCCCTCCCTCCGGTATCATCCCTACCTTCACTTTCCTCAAATACCACACCGCAGCCGAGTACACACAGATTTCCGACATCACCGCCGTTGACTACCCCACCAAGGACCAGCGTTTCGAGGTCGTCTACAACATGCTCAGTATCCGCCACAACTCGCGTCTACGGGTCAAGACCTATGCCGACGAGGCTACCCCAGTCCCCAGTTTGTGCGATCTCTACGATGGCGCCAACTGGTACGAGCGCGAGGTCTATGATTTGTTCGGTGTGTTCTTCGTGGGCCACCCTGATCTCCGACGAATCATGACAGACTACGGTTTTGATGGACACCCGCTACGAAAGGACTTTCCTATGACCGGATATACCGAGATTAGATACGATGAGGAGAAGAAGAGAATTGTTGTAGAACCTCTGGAGATGACCCAGGCTTTCAGGAACTTCCGCGGTGGTTCGTCAGCATGGGAGCAGGTTGGTCCTGGAGACGACCTCAAGCCAGAAGCCGTAAGTTCTCCTCTACACACTTGTGCTGCACCTTCTAATATCAGCACAGTTCAAGCTGCCGACTCCGAAGCCAGAGCCGCCGAAGGTGGAGGAGAAGAAATAGATGGTTTAGAGCATTTGGATTGTATATACCTGCGAATGAACGTACTTGTACAACAACTATCATGTGCCGACCTGGTGTCCAGACTTGGCTGAGTTCTGCTCATCTTGAATATGCCAAGCGCCGGGCAGACCTCGCAATCGAGCTCCCGATTAGGTAAGCGCAGTGCAATGCACTTTCCCCCGTCCAGCCTCACTTGCTTCCAGGTTGCCAATTGCTTCTCACATGATTCATCATGGCATGACTGGCCCTGCAAAGTGACCCAATACTGTTTTCCAATGCCGTCATACCTCGCACTTGGTCATCCAACTGTACCCCGCTTTTCCCTTCCGAGCTGCATGGCAAGGCTTCGGAACATCGGAGCAGCGGTCGTGGTTTCCGAAGATTGACTAAGTTCTATGAGTACGCTTTTGCTTTTGAGCTAGTTGATCCTTCCGACTTCCTACCAATCGCAAGACCTGCCTAACTAAGTTGTGACGAATACCTGCGTCTATCCCAACGCGTCCTTGAATGTGGTATAAGAACCATAGATAGTCCTACTATATTCTTTAAACATGTATTTGAAGCCATCTACACTCCTACTCTTTGTGCTCACTACCGCAGCGACCATGTCGAACAGTACTACGACGACAGTCGAACCTTTCAATCTCTCTGCTCCAGCAGGCACTGATATTTGGCGCAAGCCCCCGTCCCACAACGCCTTCAATGCATCAACATACCCTGCCCAACTTCCCACCTACGACCTCAAGAATTTCCAACGAGCAAAACTCACCTTTGCCCTTCTTCCATCGGATAAACTCCGTCAGTACGACCAAGCCGGTCTCTTGTTACACTTGACCAAGCCCGGTGTCCCAGACAACGAAACAAAATGGGTCAAGACTGGCATCGAGTTCTACTACGGGAAGCCTTATGTGGCAACGGTGGGATGTGATGCTTGGGCTGACTGGTCACTGGTTCCCATGCCAGATTTTAAGAACGGAACTCAGCCTGGAGCAACTATCGAAGCAAGAAGGGAGAGGGACGTTTTGGGCAAGAGTCTGTGGATCTATTGGATTGTCAGGGATGAAGCTGGGAAGGAGGTGGAGAGACGACCGCTCAGAGAGGTTACGTGGTTTCTCGCGGAAGAGGAGGGATGGAGTGTGAGTGTTGCAGGGTATGTCTGTAGACCGACTACTGAAGGTGGTGAAGAGATGCTTGGGGCGGAGTTCAAGGAGGGTGTCGAGATTGAGATCTTGAACTCTGAATAGGACATGGGAGTAGGTGGCACTCAGCTATATCCCAACATATGACTTGACTGCCACAGAGAGAAGAGGCATTCAATCTTGATAGGGTCAGGTTGTTTGACTACTGCAGAGGGTGGGGCGTTCAATCTCGATAGAATTGAGTCTTTTTACTACTACAGAAAAACACACAATCATTGATCAAGCCCTTCCTATCTTCACATGACAACAGCCTCATAAAGCAATGACTTCAAGTCTCGACATTACATGCTCTCTAAATCAACCCCAGGCTCGTTATCAATATCACGTCACACCGGATCCATCAGAAACAAACACGCCATTCACTTTCCCCAGACCACGTGCCGAACATAAGCGTCCGACCTCCCACTCACTCAGCCACAACCTCCACCTCGCAACCCGGTATAACCCACACACCACACCCCTCCCATTCCTCACACCCACCCCCCACGCACCCATCTTTCTCTCCGCTTCCCACCCTGCACCTACCCGCGCCTCCCACCACTGCAAACACCCGCGCACCCGCGCACTTGCGCCAAACCAGCAACCACCGCCCACACACAGCACAGCAAAATCAACACCACCATTCCGAAGCCGAGAGTCGCGGAATAGCCAAACAGCAACAACTCAAACTCTGACGGCACGCATCTGCGGTAAACCATGGGCCGCGTCCAACTCTACTGTCCCTCCAACAAGCAAACCGTCGATGGCTTCGTCATTGGCGCATACCAGAAGCCTGAGCAGGTGCTTCAGGGCGTACGACTAGCACTCGGTATCAAGCACGCTGCACTCTACACGGTCGATGCAAAAGCAGTCGGGGATCCGCATTCGCTGCAAGAAGACCAGCGCGTCCTTGTTGCTGCACGCGAGACGGAGAAGATGCTGCCGGATGCGCCGTACGGCCATGTGTTGTATGACGGTGAGGAAGGCGAGGATGTGGGGCCTGATGCTGAGGGTTGTGGACAGGAGTGGGACGTGAGTATTTTATCTCTCCTTTTCATGTGTTTTTTCCATCACTGGAGGTTTTTGCTGGGATACAGGTGGTTACTTTTTGCATGATCAAGGTGGGGGGCTAACAGAGCTTAGGATCTATCAGACTATGAGAAGTGCGCACATATCTGGAGTCTGAATGAGGTTAAGCCTACGACGAGGAATAAGCTACGAATTACGCGACCGTACATGTCTGTTCAAGCAGATATTGATGCTTTGAGCTCCCCCACATCATCCACGCTACCTATTGACCACGAACTCGCCATTGAAGAGTGCTGGGGTATTACTATCGAGCACTTTCTTCCCTCGAGCATGAAGCCCCCGTCCTCAAAGTTCAGCAGTAAGACATGTGACACGTCTACGCTTGCTGCCCTGTCCATCTTCAGCAGTTTCACACATGGTCAAGCACGACTCGCACTTGACGTTCTGGAAGACGCTGTTGCACTGCGGACGGAGGAGGATCAGGGCGACGACAAGGACCCCGTAGTGCGCGAGCAGGATGTGCTGAATGCGATTACGATGGTGTATGAGCGAGCTGGTGTACTTCCGGCAAAGCTAACGAAGGTCAAGACTGAGAAGGCGAGGAGGAAAGACGGGAGGAAGGCAGCTAAGGGTAAGCGGAAGACTGCTAACGGTGGGCTTTGAGGGGATGATGGATGAAGATGGTATGAAGAAAGGAGCGATTGGCCGTGAGACGGAAAACTCGAATCTTTTCATAATGGGTACGAGGCATGGATGCTAGGAAATCAAACGGAAAAGAAACAAGTATGATAGACCTATACTCTGGAAACAATACCTATACCCCCTGGCTTATAGAAGTCAACACTCGATATCATCGACTCTCTCGCTATGCTGCCTGTGCAGACCTTGGACCTCCTCTTTGCGCATTGGTCCGACTCCTGACTTCACTGTGGTTGACCTCAAGATGCGTTCCACTGCTATTCTTCCCAACTTTCATCGAAGCTGATCCTGCGTTGATATAATCTTGGACATCCTTCTCAGTCACACCCGGAGTCGAAACGTGGATACCTTCGATCAAGACCTTTTCGTCTTCTGGGATCTCCAAAGTTGTTTCCCTGATCTCGGGCCTCTTTGTGCCGAGAGGAGGATCGAAGCGTTTGCGTAGCGTCTGGATCATCTTGCCAAACCAGAACCAGTTTAACCCGTTTAGGATGCAGTTGGAGGTCAGGTATGCGGTAACAAGCCAAAGTGGAACGTGTTGGCCCTCGGAGAATCGAAGGATGTCATTCTTGAAGCCAGCGTTGCCTAGAGTTGTATTGCTTGACAGCTTCCCGACCTCTGGATCAAAGAATGTAACTGGGCCAGCAGTATACATGTTATACATGTCGGTGAAGGCGCGTATTGATTGGTAGGTGCCCCATACGATGCGACAGCAGAAGAAAGTGCATAGCAGCATTATGCCGTTGACGAGCTGGACGGTCGAACCGGTCATGTTGAGCTTATCGCAGAACCAGTGGATGTTCAGGAAGGGCGAGGAGAGTTCGTAGAGGATGAAGATGCATGCGTAGTAGTTTACAAAGGGTCGCTGTGATATTGTCAGTACTAGGATTTGTCTGCGCTACGCTCAAGCTAGCGCCGCATTGGACTTACAAAGCCTAGCGAAAAGACAGAGAGGGCTGAGATGGCGTGGAATAGCATGCCGATTCCGAAGATCTTGACGTTCTGAACCGTAATCATCAAATCCCAGAGGAAGTAGCCTCCTGCGAATGCCTGGATCAAACCCGAGGCGCCGGTATACCCGTATACGCGCTCCTCGGTATTCATCTGGTTGAGTTCGCTGTCCGTCAAGAGAACCCAAAGTGCCATGGCGCAGATTAACGTGCTCTGCACGAATGAAACTATGTGCACATCCCAGTTTAATTTTGTGCGGGCGTTGAAGGTGGGGTATACGCGCGGGAAGAAGAGGCGCGAGAAGGCTGGGGCGACGAAGCGGTAGGTTAAATGGTAGAGCATAAAAGCAAAGAAGATCTCGTGGAAGTGCAAAGGCAGCGTCTTGAGGTTGAGGAAGTCGGCGACGGGTTCGACATATTTGACTAGGCTCTCAGGTCGTTGAATTGGAAATGGATCGTGCATGGTGGTGAGGCTTGAGTAAGGCTGCAGTGCGACGGACGCGAAAGTGTCGTCGAGGGCGGTAAAGATGGCACACAATCAGGAGTGGTAGAAGAGGGAATCTCTTCTTTTAAAAGTAGCGACAAGGGGACTTTTATGCGGTCAGGCAGTTGTAACCAAGGTGAGGCCGAGGGGCACAGCGATGCACATACCTCGGGGATGCCTGCTGCAGGGTGCGAATGACGACGAAAGGTGGAACAAACGGCGGATCTAGTCCGGGCTGCGATTAGCGAGCCGGCAATGTTGCTCACGCTGCGCCTAAGGCACACGACACTTTCGACATGGAAGCGGACATGTCGGTACAAGTTCGAGGTACAGCCATGAGACTGCGTCATCCGGCTTCCTTGGATACATCCATGTATACTTGAGTAGCAGGTGCATAGCCACATGATACGTTCCTAGGCAGGTGGCTGACAAACGTTGCCTAACCATCTCTTGCCCATGGTCTTCATCGCAACTGGATACAGAGGAAAGATTTTGATTTCGAAGAGAACAAGAAAAAGAACAAGAACAAACTGGGAGAAGCGTTTTATTCGCGCGGTCAGGTGATGTCGTGTCATCCTTCGTTTTATGCCTGGACAGCTAGAGTACAGTGCTCTGCTTATGCTCGCAAGTTAGCCTGGCAATTGCGTGAAAACCACATCAAGATACAGAGTTTGGTGATAGTTGTGACAAGCGAGAACAAGACGTGACACATGTAGTGGAGAATAAATGACGCAGGAAAGGAGCCATCAATGCATTACCTAGTTAGGTACTACAGCTGTCGTATGCATGGCCGCTTCCCAAGGCTGAGATGATGAGAAAGTGGGTTAGCGGGGAACGCGACTTAACTACGCGACGAAAGCCTGCAGGGATCAAGGATGCTCAAAAGTTAGGTGGGAAAGCAAAGCACAAGCGTCAAAGCGGGACAGACCCGTTGACTGTTTTCAAACTTCCCGACCATGAGGGCTTTGCAGATATGGGTCGGAAATAGTCCGTCGTTTCGGATACAAGCGCAGTGTCCTCGCCTGAGATTATGCCAGCCGACCTTCCTTGCACGTCGTACCTACCTTCGCCCGGCATTCGCACCCAAGCCCACGATCGATATCAAGCACATCCGCCAGAACCCAGGACTATATGAGCAAAACTGTGTAGACCGAAACTATGCAGCACATAGCAAGTCTTCATGGCGTATATTGGAGCTGCATGAGCAATGGCTGCAGCTTCAGCAAAGCAGTCGCAGTCTGCGAGAGCGCAACAACCGCATTCGAGCTCATCTCGCAAAGACGGCCTCGCGTGTCAAGGACGCTGACGGAAAGCCCGTCGCCTTGAGAGAAGGCATGATTGGTGAGGCAAAGGCTATAAAGGCAGAGCTTAGTGCGGTCGAAGCACAGGAAACACAATTACAAGAAGAAATTGAGAGCCTGGCCCAGGACTTACCTAATCTGAGCAGTACGCATACGCCAGTGGGCACTGAACCTGATGTCCTTGGCTACATCAATGCGCATCTCGGGAGCGAGCCGTCGCAATCAAAAAGTCAAAAGTCACACGTAGACATTGGGCAGGAGCTTGGCATACTAGACTTCACCGGCTCAGCGCAAACTTCAGGCTGGGGCTGGTACTTTCTCATTGGTGATGGTGCTATGCTGGAACAGGCTCTCGTCCAGTATGCCTTGAGAGTTGCTACAAAGAAAGGATGGAAAGCAGTGGCGCCACCGTCATTGGTGTATTCGCACATTGCCTCCGCATGTGGGTTTCAGCCAAGAGATCAGAATGGCGAACAGCAAGTATACGCCATCGAGCAAGCAGAAAAGGACAAGGCAAAGCCTCAACTGGCTCTCGCTGGCACAGCAGAGATACCTCTGGCTGGTATGAAGGTCAACCAGACGTTTGAGGAGTCGGAACTGCCACTCAAGACAGTTGGCGTGAGCAGATGCTACCGTGCTGAAGCTGGCGCGAGGGGGGCGGATACCAAGGGTCTATATCGGGTTCATGAATTCACAAAGGTCGAGATGTTCGCCTGGACCTCCCCTGACCACGCAGGAGAAGATCACTTCACCGCCCAAACAACACAGAGCTCAGAGGTAATCTTCGAGGAGATGTTGTCGATACAAAAAGAAATCTTGGAAGCGCTCGGGCTGCATTGCCGCATACTAGAGATGCCGTCCACGGACCTCGGTGCCAGTGCCACAAGGAAGCTCGACATAGAGGCCTTCTTCCCATCTCGCCAGGACATTGACCAAGGCTGGGGAGAGGTGACGTCCACATCCATGTGCACCGACTATCAGAGCCGACGGCTGCAGACACGCATGCGCATAAAGGGTGGCAAACTAGAGTTTCCGTATACGCTCAACGGGACTGCGCTCGCGGTGCCCCGGGTGCTCGCGGCATTGCTGGAGAACCACTGGGATGAACAGGATCGTACAGTGACGATACCGGAGGTGTTGCGGCCATTCATGGACGGCCAAGAGAAGATTCAGACACAACGCTAGCTAAGCAAGTTTTGGACAGATGGTTTGGGGGCTTTTGTACAGTTGTGTATATATACTGTCGTCGGCAGACGATTGGCTACGCCACCAGAGGGGTGGAACGCGTCGTCGCGTTCAACCGTGTCTGTCCGCTCAACGCATGGCCCACAATTGTCGTCTTTCTTCACAACGATGCCCTGCATGTCAAGGAGCGCACCCCCCCAATCCCCTGCTTCTGCCGCGGTATCCCAGCTCGTCGCCGTCGAGGCTGAAAGCGCGCTTGGCCCGGCTATGTGCGGCGATTGGTGCACAGCCTCCCCAGCCTGCTCGATCTGCATGGGAGCAGGTGCATGGGCTCAGCGGCCATGTGAACAATCGCCACGGCCTTTGTTGTCTGCTGCAGCACAGAGCCTGAAACAGGCCTCAACACTATGGCGAAACGGTGCGATATGAACCTTGTCGCGCTGAACTAGTTCTTGGTCCACCCTTCACGCCATCGCTTTCGAGGTGGGGTGGTTTAGCGCCTCTCCCCCTAGTACCCCTACGCATCTTCCAGCCATCAACAAGCCACCAGCCCGCCCACAACTCGACCTGCACCTGCGAGCGAACAAGGCAATCCGCAGCAACGGTGCTGTCGCCGCGCCCGCCTCTGCACTCCAGTGCAACAAAGTCCCAGCCATCCAGAGCCCTTGCGACCCCCCAGCCTGCGATATAGCAGCCAGAGGCCCCCTTCGGCCTCTCCGAGCGCGACAACACCAGAGTCAGCAGAGAGCACAACAACACAAAGTCGCGGCGCATGGTTTCCTATCCAGACTCGACGAGTGCCGAGCGCTCATTGCCCATCCGGCGCCCGTCTTCGGTCGTCTCGCACTCGTCGCGCGCCTCGACCGTTCGACGACATCGCCAACATCGCTCCAATGTGGGAGGTCCGTCGCTAGCGCCGCAGAACGAGTTCCCCATCTTCACCCACACGGGCGACGTCGAAGTCGTAATCAGCAACGGCCGCCGGGAACAGCGCTATCTGCTGCACAAGTTGATTCTGACCCAATGCTCTGGTTTCTTCGAGGCCGGCACAAGCGATGAGTGGGCCAGCGCCGGCGATGTGACCAACGCGGGACCTAGCAACGGCACTCTCTTGGCAAGAATACCGTCAGGCTCGCGACCGGAGCAAAAGAAGAAGTGGAGGTATGAATTGGACTGGGGCAGCGGCGAGGATGACCTCCCCATGCTGGTGCAGAAGGTGCGTTCCCCCCAAATATTTACGCGAGAAAGCGTACATGTACTCACACGTCTCCAGAAGAACCCACCCACAATGTTCGGCGGCGACCCAGCTCCACCCGCGCAACCACCTCCGGCACGCAACAAACCCGCCGCACCGCAATCAGGTTTCTTCCGTAGCATGGTCAACATCTCTACCTTGCACGCTCCAGCAACGCCTGCCATTCCAGAGGAAGACCCTGATGACGACACGTTTCGCGACTACGATAACCTTTTCCGCATATTCTACAATTACCCACCTTCGCTCGACACTGTAAACATCGCGAGTGCATATGTAGAGTGCAAATCGCTGCTCCAACTCGCAGACATGTATGATGCACTTGGTGTCATTGGTCCCCGCGTAGACCACCACCTGCTCCGCTTCCAGGGACGACTATGGAAGCAAATCGCGAAATACCCGCCCAGCTACCTCAAGCTTGGCTACATGGCTCGTAGTAAAGCCATATTCGCGGAAGCCATGGTGCACGTGGTCGGGCAGTGGCCACAGGGCATTAACCAGTTGCGCGGTCAGATCTCTGAGCCAGTCATTGAGCTGATAGAAGACAAGGTTGATGAGATGGACGAACTCAAGGCCAAGATTGAAGTCAAGCTATTCCGACTCTCCCTAACGACAAGTCGCGGCGAACGTGTTAGCCCTTCAAGCAATTGGTTAGACTGGATCGCAGTTTCCCTGTTCCGGCAATGGCTTGCAGAGAACACGACCCCACCCCCGGCGCCTATCCTCAAGTCACCACGACCCCAGAACGCACGAGAGGGTGCGCCCTTGCCTGCTCCACCAGTCTTCAACACCGGTCGCATCTTCCGTTTACTTGGTCAAGGTGGCTCCAGTTACCTCAACCACGATGAGTGCAAGCGTTTCCTGCGTCTAAACCCGGACCACTACAACCGCGACAACCTAAAGCGTTTCGAGCGCAGGATCGATGAAATCAAGAACAAAGCCAAAGACGCCGTGAAGCCGCTCATGCGCAACTTCCTCGAATTGGATCTACGAGAGGGCGGCCTCCCGTATTTGACTTGCACGAGGATCGATCCACAGGACTTCCCATGGGACGATATATAAGCACATTCTAGACTCGAGAAAAAGAAAGAAAAAATGATGGCATGGATATGTTTACTATCGGCCTGAGATCTGCCAAACTCAATGGCACATGAAACAGAAACACGGAGACTGGACTGATATTTTCTGTGGGGAATATTTTTGGGCGCCTGATACCCTTTTGTGAATTTTGCAATGCTGATTTTTCCTTTGACGATTTCATGAGGTGAGGAGAGACAAGAAGAGAAGGATACCCACCCGTAATGATGCAAGCGGAAGACGACCGACAGACGGAGGAGAAAGGGAAGCGGTGTGTACGCTGGTCGTAGCATTTTCGTTTTCCTCATCTCCCATCTCTCTCTATCTTCCCCCCTTTCTTTCTTCTGATGAATAGAAGAAGAAGAAAGAAGGAACGACGAACAATCGATACTCTATACCCTACTTGCATTGCGTTCCTGCATATTATATGCGTTTCTTCTTTCGTGATCCTAGTCGTTGGCCTCACTTACTCGGCTCGTTCGGCAATCCTGCATGATTTGTTTTTTTCTTGGGGACTTCGCCCCTCTTTGTCGTTCTTGGCCTTGTGCCTGGCTCGCTTACGGGAGACAGGGCAGCCTGTCAGTGATAGGTGTGTTGTATGTATCTCTGGGGCTGTGATGAGCCGCTTTTGCAGATCAATGATCGCCGACGCAGACGGGGGATCAGCGTGTGGGGGGATGGATGGGAGTGGAGCTAAGGTGTGCGGCTGTGAGGATGCAGATAGGGCGTGAGGCACTGGTGTTTTGTTATCTCATTTGATGGTTTGGACGGAAGACTAGGCGTTGTTTCAGGTGCGTAATGGGAGAGGACGAGGGTGGCGGGGATCGAGGGATCATGTGATGATTCGTGGTCGTCTTGAAGAGTTTGTATACTGCCTTCTACATTGACGATTGGAAGTATGATTCATATTATCTTGGTAGAAAGTGGGTATCAGTATTAGACGGAGCGTATGTTTACAACACACACCATACAACCCTCAATATCTCACCACCACTCCTACGATTATGCCCAACCATCCCAAATGACGTCAAACAAACACAGCCACCAAGACCCACCTGCTTCACTACCCGCACCCATCCATCCACCGCCCTCGATTTCAATCGCCGACGGCACAAATTCCCATTTCCGTTCTGGTTCCTGGGTATCCGTATCCAGATACCCATCCCCTGCTTATCAGATCTACACAGCCCTCCTACCTACCCTCGTGTCGATCACACCCGCCCCATAACCCCATCTAAATTATTTTTTCCCTTCCCTCAATCGCCGCAGATATACCCAATGTGGAAACCTGACATGCCAGATTGGGAGTGTTTCCAACCTCACGGGGGTGTGGGAGGACTTGGCGGGTTGGGATACAAGGTGTAGGATACGGCTTGGCCATCAATCAATGGAGGGGGAAAAGGAAAGAGAGGGGCGTATGAACGGCGAGGAGTGAGATATCGGAAATATGTGGGAAAGTGGGATGTTCGATTCGCAGGAAAGAAGGAATGGTGAACGTAGGGGAGGCGGGAAGCAGGAGGAAAGTGATCGACGGACGGACGTAGGGAGTGGATTGTGACGTGGATGGAAAGCGATGACTTGTATTTTCTAGACACTCGGACATGGATATGGGTAGAGAGGCTGGGTGGGAAGGGGAGATGTATAAAGGAGCTTTGATTCCTTCCTCTGGGTGTCCATCATCAGCATCAACTACCACATCTTCTATCCAACTTCTACACTCACTTCACAACCACCAACCAAACCAACCCAACAAACCAACCGCGAAAATGCACTCCACCATCTTCACCTTTACCACCATCCTCGGCCTCTCTGCCGCCGCTGCCATCGTTCCCCGTCAGAACGGCGTTTGCGGTCCTCTCACTACACCCCTCTGCTGCCAGACCGACGTCGCCGGCGTCGCAAACCTGGCCTGCGCAAACGGTACGTATATATTCTAACCCTCTCCATCCTTTCTTTACTGTTGTAGTTTGAGAAGAATACGCCACTGACGATACATATCAATAGCTGGTATCATCACCACCCTCGATGCCTTCCAGGCTCAGTGTGCTCTTACCGGCACCACCGCCCAGTGCTGCCTTATTGCTCTTGGATCCGACGGCTTGGTTTGCACTGAGGCCTAAATGGAGATTTTGTATCTTCATCGGAACTAGAGATGTGAGGGGAGTGATTAATAGCTTGTAGGATACCAGGGGTGAGGAAATTTGGGAGATGGAAGGGGGTTGAGGGTTATTTGCCGATGGGCTTGTTCAACTGTATATTAGTTTTTGGGCAGCCCTTTTTTGTGTAGAACTTGTTTGGTGGTATCAATACATATTCTCTTCTTAATCTGCTCCTGACCCTTGAACTTCTGAGTGTGTCTTATAATGTTCCATGCCTTCGCGATGCCTTTGGTGATACGTAAGAATGCGGGCAGGCAATAACCATACCTATGTCCAATCTCCTGCATTCAGGAGCATGGTCTGCACCGTCAGCATGGCACCTTAGCACGAAACGATATGCACCTGATATTGGAATTATGAACACCAAGACTATCATCATGCACGCCGTAACCAGATGGCCGAATCCAGGAATACCATTCGCTTATGCTAATTTCATGATCACATGTGTCCAGCCGACTTTCATATATCCGTCTCATTCAAACTCCAAGCTATCCCTAACACACTTTCGTACCCGCTTCTTGAATTCTGGAGTATTTTCTCGCCACAAAGCTGCAGCCTCGACATTCGCAGGTGACTCGTCATTTGGGCTCGAAAGCATGGATATAACGGAGAGGAGGATAGTCTCGGGTGTTTGGACAGGTGACCAGCGTTCTGCGGCTGACTCATAACCGTATTTGTCTTCTTCCGGAGGATGGAGGATCGAGATGCATACATCGCCGTTCTGGTAGACTTTTGGATGTCAGCAGGGTGTGCTAGGGAAGATTGCGCAAGGCACAGGGTGGGTGAGAACTCACTGTTGGGGTGGAAAATAGGTGTCTCAAAGCGCATTTTTGGCGGTAGCAGAGGGTATTCGATGGGGAAAGTAAGACGTGCGCGGAAGAAACCTCCTGTATGCCTCGTCAATACTGCGTCATGCTAGAAACACAGTTCCTTTCATACCTCCATAGAACTTTGTGTCGTCGTCAATCATGAGCATGACCTCCCACTCGAACACGTTGTTTTCCACCAAACCACAGCTTATACCGGATATACTCTTGTCATTTTGCATTTGTTTGAGCTGGCGAGCCAGCAGCCCAGCTGCGGCAGATGACGATGCCATACTGTGCCTTCTTACGAGTGGCGTCCGAGGTTGAACCGAAAATGGGGATGCGAGGTAGAAGCGTGACAGAAGCGACTTGCGAAGCGTTATAACAGACAGGCGCGTATATTGCAAGTGTTATACAGCAAGCCAGAAGGGCAATATAGTGGTGGGTGATATACCCTGTGTGCACCGGTCAAGTTGTAGAAAGAGGGCAGGTGGAGATTCCAGAGGCGCGCTCGGGCTTAGAATGTGGAGAGCGTTGGACTTCGGGAAGGCGGGGCAATATAGTCAGATGGCGGCAAGTCGCAGGCGCCTTACGCTTGGGGTCAGGAAAATGATTATATTTTGGGCGATACAATAGTACCAAAGGGTTCAAGTATGCAGCACGAGACCTTTGTGTGGCTGCAAGTGCTGGTATGGGAAGAAGCAAATCTGAGCTCATGGGGAAACTTGTCGGCTGCATGTGGCGGTATGCGCCAAGTACGAAGCCGACGGTGCAGGGATCCGTCAGGGTATTCAGGCTTGCCCTTTTGCGTCTACTTTGCATGGAGAATGGCTTTCGGTCAGGATGGGGTTTCAACAAGCGTGACAAAGGTACTGCTTCCGGCACTTGATAACTGATCAAGGTGACATTATAGACCTCGGCTTGAAACTCGATAAGCCCTATAGCGCCATTGTACCAGAGTGGTTCCATGGCTGTAAGTTCATCGCTATTAACTTGTAGGTATGCTGATCTAAGACGGCCAGTAACCTTACGCCCAGTCTCTCCTGCATCCAATATGTCCTAAAACGCCGTCGTGACCATTACAAATCGATGCCGCTCCCTGAGCACCTGTGTCTAGGGTATCATTGGACCCAGGGAGACGTAAGTAGATTACAAGAGCAGAGAATAACAATACATGATGAGATCATACAAATATCGGGAAACTTCCATCACCCAAATACCTTCAAAAACCCCCATAGACCAGCGCCGCAAAGCACGGGAATAGTCAGATTGTCGTCCCAGCCGAAGACGTCGATCGCTTCACTCACACTGGCAATGATGCCAGCTGCAAGTGACATGGCACCCAGAGCCCAATAACCTGTAGCAGAGGACTGGGTCAGAGACAGGTTGAGTGCCTCGCGCGTCTGGGCGGGAAGCGTGAGGGCGCCCTGAAATGCGAACGCGTGTTCGCCTTGGTTGTACTCCGAGTATGAAGGACCCAGCCAGCCCCACCAGACAGCCGCTGTGATGACACCAGTCACACACGCCGCGATGGACCCAGCCAGACTCTTGCCCTTTCTGACTCTGGGCGTGAGATGGCCCCAGAGCCTACCGAAAGTCGAAGCAGCAGTGTCGCACCAACTCAACAATAAGATGCTCATAACGGCAATGTCTTTTGGACAGAAGCGCATCACGATCCATGCACCCAAGAGGTACGAGATGACTCCGTTGTACCCTTCGACTTCGGATTCGCGCATGAATGCGCCGAGGCAGCCAATATAGAAGCGATTCACTTGCCAGTAGCGGTGCCGAATGACATCGGTCAGGGCGATGGGGATAAGCATGGTAAGTAGGACGTTGTGTATTTGCGACGTTTGTGTACCCGTGCAGTAGAGGGCGATGGTGAGGAAGCCGATGGAGACATGTAGGATCTTGCGGGGTATCTCATGCCGATGAATCTATCGCTGTTAGTCGTCGCATCCAAAACAGCGTCGCACATACGTACAAATGACCGCCACTTCTGGTGGATGGGAATCAGGCCTAGTGGACTTGGACTCCTGCTCATCTCCCTCCAGTAGTTCTTGTTCGCAGCCGCGGGGGATAGGTGGCCGTTAGGTATGTTCCCCGACAAGGCGAGTTCCTTCTTCAGGCTTCCATTCATCTGTCTCCGGCTCGTAAGGCTAGCGATTCTCTGCCTTCCTGGACTCCGACTTTTGGCTCGCGCCCTCTTGTCGGGATCCGAGCCAGACGAGTCTTCGTCAATTTGCGGAGGTGACGTAACTCGCTGTTTGCGCGTCGACGAGCGCGTAACTGGCCCAAAGTAGCCATCTCTTGTGCTGCCCGCCTCCGAGGGTGTGGGCGAAGGGGATATCACGCGCGGGGTGCTAGGTATCTGATACTGTCTAGAGGACTCCATGGCGTCGCGCCAACAAGTGGGAAAGTAAGGTAAAATAGGAAGGCGGATGGCACCGGAAAGCGTAGAGCGGGCCCTGGCACAGAGTACTGCTATGTTCACAAGCAGGGAATGCCGATCCGAGGGTTGCGAATATATGTAACGAGGCTGAGTGGGTGCGTCACACCAGTCATATGGGTCAAGGCCATTTAAGGTGGCATCGAGATTGATGTCAGCATTATAACTTGCCAAAGACGCAAAGCCCGCGGATTCGTCCGAGCAGGGCGCATCGTCTAGGGAGGCAGAAGATGCCACAATGCGGGCAGGCGACAACGGCGGCCGTCTTTGCTACAGGCTGGTGGACAGGGAACGTATTGGACGGATGATGACGGCTGTGTAATTTTGCGGCATGAGACTGGGAAATTTGGTCGCAAGGCCATTCACTTATGATCTGACCTATGATCAACGTGGCTGGCGGGTCCGTCTTGGCGACATCATCAGGTTGTGGGCTGCATTTTCAAAGTGTCTGCATGTCGTCGAAGATTCTAGCGGATCTCCGAACAGTTCGCCGAAAACAAGCTTTCGTCCAACTGCTGACAGATGACGGTGCTGGTGCCTCGTGCGCTTGCTAGTCAGACACTGTGGCACAGGTGGCGGTGCGAGGACCCACTTTAATTTTCAAAAGTTCGCCCGGCCTTTTCGCGCATCGTGACTTTTGCAACAGAGCCATCCGAATCAGCATCCAGATATGGCGCCACAAAACAAGACTGACCGCTCCTTTGGCGCCTTGACGCCTGCTCTTTCAGAATGGATCCTCGAGGCTGTGGATTCCATGGGTTTTGTGAAGACCACACCTGTGCAACATGCGGCCATCCCTATGTTTATGAAAAACTCCGATGTTGTAGTTGAAGCCGTGACGGGAAGTGGGAAAACTCTAGCGTAAGTACCATAGTTTTCAAATTCTTTCACTAGACTTATGAAGGCATAGTTATTTGATACCCATTGTTGAGCGTCTGCTTCGATTAGACGCGCCCATTAAGAAGCATCACGTGGGAGCCATCATCATATCGCCAACCAGGGAGCTAGCAACGCAGATCCATACTGTATTATCGTCACTCCTTCGATTCCATGCCCCCTCGGCTGCTTTATTGGATCCTGAGGATGAAGACACCGACATGGAGGATGCCGGCGCCCCTCCGAAACCAACTTTCCCCCCAGGCACGCTCAAAGTCGTGCCCCAATTACTCCTCGGTGGATCGGTAACTCCAGCCCAAGATCTCAGTAGGTTCCTGAAGTCATCCACTAATGTACTGATTGGCACACCTGGTCGGCTTCTTGAGCTCCTCTCTTCACCGCATGTCCATTGCTCACAGTCATCCTTCGATGCTCTCGTCCTTGATGAAGCCGATCGACTTCTGGATTTGGGATTCAGTGCGGATCTCCAGAAGATTCTATCCCGGATACCCAAGCAACGCCGAACCGGTCTCTTTAGTGCCAGTGTGAGTGAAGCAGTCGACCAGCTTATCCGTGTGGGTCTCCGGAACCCTGTTCGAATCGCGGTCAAGGTCAAAGCACGAGCTGCTTCCAACGGCACCACAGGAGAAGCTGGAGTTATCGAAGACCGAAAAACTCCGGCGAGTTTGCAAATGTCTTATCTTGTCATGCCTGCTTCGCATAAGCTTCCGGCCATCAAGAAAGTATTGTCTTCAATGCAACCGCAACCACAGAAATCCATCATGTATATGGCGACATGCTTCTCTGTCGATTACTTCCAGCACGTGCTTCCTGAGTTGCTGAAGGGTTTTACCATTGTACCCTTGCACGGCAAGCATCCTGACAAAGTGAGAAAAAGGAACTTTATAAAATTTGTTGACTCTGTCACTCCTACCATACTTCTAACGACCGATGTGGCAGCACGAGGACTGGACATCCCGTAAGCATCCATCACTCTCTTCATAACGGATTAGATACTAATACCTATTTAGCTCAGTTGATCTCGTTCTGCAACTTGACGCCCCAAGTGATCCGAAAACATTCATCCATCGCTGTGGTCGTGCAGGTCGTGCAGGCCGCAGAGGACTTGCTCTTACATTCCTTAGCCCTGGTCGAGAGGAAGATTATATTGAATTCTTACGAGTTCGACATACGCCGATATCTCCCTTGACAACCCCAAACGTTGAGGTAACTGCGGAAGAAGCAGAAGCAATGAGTAATCGCATAAGGAAGGTGGTCAAGTCAGACAGAGCACTTTTCGATAAAGCACAACGAGGCTTTGTATCCTGGGTCCGCGCATATAGCAAGCACACTGCTAGTTCAATCTTCCGCATCCCAGATCTCGACTGGACAGAGCTAGGTAACGCATGGGGCCTTCTCAAGCTTCCAAGCATGCCAGAGCTGAAGAAATGGGATGGAGACCGGAGTCTGGGTGTCACCATGGACTTCAGCACTTACGCATACAAGGACAAAGCACGTGAGCAACAACGACAAGCTGAGCAGCAAGAATACGAAGCAACCAAGGCGGAAGGCAAGAAGCGATATGTAACTGAAGACAAGAAGGCATCGGCGTGGACCCAGCAAAAGGACCAGAAAGCCCTGAAAGAGCTAAGAAGAGAGAAGAAGGCAGCAAGGCGCGAGCATGACCGGGTAGCAGCTTTGACAGAAGACGAGCGAAAGGAAGAAGAGAGACTGAAAGGCATGATTGAACAGATGCGAAAGAAGGTTGCAGAAAAAGAAGCACAAGATGCGGCAGATGAGTTTGAAGGGTTTAGTGATTGAGTACGAAGGTGTTGGTATGGGGTTGTTTTTATTTGGTGTTTTCAGCAGCAGGTCGATGCGAGGAGTTTTCACAATAGTTACTGGGATATGAGGCCTGATAAAGGATACAAGCTACAGTATGTGATTCTTGGCTTGTGCTAGATATGGAGCGAGCCGAAGTATTAACTTATCGTGTTACAGAAAAGCGAGTGGGTATATGTAAACAGCTTGTGAGACACCAAGCTCCGAGCACCAAAGACAAAGACATAGGAAGCTTGCGTAGAGAACGCGCTTTCATAGTGGAAAGCTCTGCAGCCATATGCAATATATAGTAACCCGGTGATCACCAGGAGCGAAATCGTCTACCAAACCACCTTTCAACTGTTGTAGTCAACACTTCCTTCCATATATCACCGCATCCTCTACTAATACTAATATCGTAGCCATTGGAAGTCGTCATGAGCCAGTACCAAGTTGTGTCCTTCACCCCACACCTGGTCTTCGGTAGCAAATTGCAAGCATCCAATCTGTATCAAAGGGAAGAGTCGGTCGCAAGCACTCGCGTCGAAAGCGCGGAACTTCTTCGACGTGGTCTCTAAGGTATCGCGCATAATCTCGTGCAGTCCCTCGGCTTCAGCTTGGCCGACGCGAAGCCGACGTGAAAGCGTGATGGGGTTGTGACCGCCGCCACCGAGCGCTACGACTTTGGTTATAGTACGCAGATTCAGCGTCAAGCTCTCCAAATACAAGACTCTGAAATGGGAATCACCTTGGTGAAGGAGGTTTGCTAGCGTCTTCAAGAAGATGGCTATGTAGTCGAAGAGTTGCTTTGCGAAGCAAACAGGCGAGTGCTCCAACAGCTCGGTCAGCTCATACGCGCGAGGAACAAACGACTCGCGAGGCCCGTCTCGTAAGGGCTCTCGGGTTCGCAAGTCAATGTTGATGCATAGGTGATTGATGGTCGGCGACAGCGCGGAGAATTGTACCCAAGTAAGAGAAAAGAAAGGCCTGCCATGCGAAAAGGTAATGTCAAATTCGTAGTTTAGCCGTTTGGACGCGGCTTGATGCTGTATTGCTTGCTTGAACTCTCGATATATCTGGCGGCATGTGCGCAGCAGGCCGCGATAGCACCGAAGCGGCAGGTCCTTCTCCACATAGACCTCCGATATCACCATGACTCCGCGAAACGAGTGCTCCAGCTCTTCGCAAAGTAACATGTCGTAGACATGGTTCCGCAGCTCAAGGGGCAGGTCCAAAAAACCGGGCATGATGTGGTGGATGCGTTGTAATCAGATCCTTTGATATGCAGATGCCCCGTTGAAAATCAGGGTCCAGTGCTGGCGCAACCGGAATGGCGGAAGTGAGCCCGACGGTGATAAGCCTGCGCAACCTTTGAATTTGTGGGAGCTCGAGGAGCCGGGAAGTTCTGACAACAAAAGAGAGAAGCGATAGCAGCGGTGGGTACAAGGCGGTTAACGTTCGCGAGACGATTTTCGTGGCAGCAGTCGAAGTAAGGGTTGTTTTTCCATGCGAGGTCCAGTCTTGTGAAACCCATCGGTCCGTGCTCCGCACGTGACCGGATCTGGGCTTCCAAGTTGATTGACATGACGGATAGTGGCGGCGCCGCGATGAACATGATTATTGCCAGTTTTTTATTTTCTTTCAAAATCGCAAGAATGAGGCTGTACAATCACGCCGCTGTGAAGCGGATCTTGTCGTTTGAGCGCGCAAGGTATGGATGACTACGAGTTGGATCGCATTGCATCGGACAACCCCGCTCTGACTACGCCTGCGGCTCAGCGCGCTCCTATCTCGCGCCAAAGAGTTCGTGGCGGAACAAGGACATCTACGACTAGCAAACCAGTCACGCCTGAAGAGCTGACAAAGTACGATGTACATGTCCAACAAACACCTAGGTATTGCAAGCGACATAAGCTAATCAAACAAAGGTCGGCTGGCGCAGGGTCGTCAGGAACTTCTCACCATCATGGTTCTCCGTGACCATGGGTACCGGGATCGTATCTTTACTTTTTGTCGCCATCCCCTTCAAAGCAGATTGGCTATTCTGGCTCTCGGTCTTCTTCTTTGGACTCAACACCATCCTCTTCTCCTGCGCCTTCTCAATCTCCGTCTTCCGATATGTGGTCTACCCTGAGATATGGACTGTCATGATTGCCGACAGTGTTAATTCACTCTTCCTTGGAACTATACCGATGGGCTTTGCCACTCTCGTTTCAGCCTGGTGTTCGTTGTGTATCCCGTACTGGGGACCCTGGGCCGTTACGTTTGCCTGGGTGTGCTGGATGATTGACTCTGTGGTCGCAGTGTCAGTCACTATTTCACTTACAGTATTACTGATATCTGCGTCGAATCGGCAGGCGTTGGACCGGATTACTGCAGCACAGCTACTACCGATTGCTGCATCTATTGTCGCTGCTGGCACGGGTGCTAGAGTGGCTGAACATCTACCCAATCCAGAGCATGCGCTCGGGACGATATTGGCGTCATACATCATGTGGGGCACGGCTACTCCCCTTGCCATGACAGTCTTAGTGATGTACTACACGCGACTAGCTCTACACAAACTTCCACCACGGGAGATTGTTGTTTCATCTTTCCTGCCGCTGGGTCCTTTGGGAATGGGTGGCTATTCCATCACACATCTTGGTTTGGTTGGCCGTCAAGTGTTTCCCAAGACGCAGTTCCTCGCCAGCATTCCCGTAGCAGGCGACATCTTCTTCGTACTCGGCGTCTTCATAGCCTTAATTATGTGGGCTTTTGGGCTTACTTGGCTGTGTTTTGCGCTGGCGTCCATATACAAGTCTCGTCCGTTTCCTTTCAACATGGGATGGTGGGGCTTCACATTCCCACTCGGAGTCATGGCGCTCAGTACGATAGAGCTGGGGAACATCTTTCCGAGTCTCTTCTTTAGGGTATTGGGAACAATGTTCGCAACTTCCGTCGTTTTTCTCTGGTGTGTAGTGGCAGTTGGCACGGCACGGGGTGCATGGAAAGGTCATCTATTCTATGCACCGTGTCTCAAAAACCTACCTAAGAAAGAAATCATAGGAGAGACCGAAGCACAGAAAGAGAAGGGGCAACTGTAAACAGGAGCTCCTCTTTCTGTGAACACAAGAGCAAACTTCACGTTGCTGGAAAGACATCAAAATAGGGAGTTTGGGATGCCTTCTCAGATATCATCATGTTCATTGCATTTCGTTAGGATATGGTGATATATAATGCTCCTCAAACAATAGTTTACACCTATTGCCGGTGATGAGATATGGCATTTTAACGCCATCCGATGTTTGACCGTCCCAGACGTCACTTTATCCATACTACACGCGACTGAGTACTTGCTCAAGCGCTAGCTGCCGAGCATTGTTCTAAAGTCTTGTCAACATCTATCATTGAATCTACGGATAAACTATTACTCACGCTTCTGTGCCTGGCAATCATCCGTGGAAATATCGCCTTGTCCGCCGTTTGCCAAGTTTGCGCAACCGTTGAACTGCTGGTCGCAGGATCGCTGCACGGCAGCCGCAAGGTTGACAAAGGTGTCGCCCTTGACGCTGAAAGGGCGCGTCGCATCGCCAGAGTCGAGAATAGGTGTGGCTGCTACGCCACCAAGAGCGCCAGTGAAGGGCTGCGAGTTGGCCTGGCGGACGTAAAGGACGCGTGCGTTGGTGAGAGCAGCGACGCTGAGGACAAGGAGGGTGGTGGTGAACTTCATTTTGGCTGTGTTGGAAAGATTGTGTCGGAAAAATTGCCCTGTGTAAACAAAAGAAAGGTATTGGGTATCGTAAAATCTAATGAATGGGGCGACCTAGCGCTGAAGAAGAGAATGAACGTAGAGAATGGATGTTGAATGAATGTTGGTTTGCGGATTGGATTTCTGCCTCATGTGTCTGACGATGGATTAAATACTCCTACATCTGTGCCATACTGTATCTTCACTGCCTTCTACCAAGCGCGCAAAATTATGAGGCCTGCATCGCAATGCCATGTGTTGGTTCTGGGCGTTCTTGCCTCAGGCATCTGAAACTCCGCCGGCTGTTGAGGCGACACGCCAAATGCCTCGAATACTCCTTAACCGACCATGTCGGCGAAACAATTAATCCAGTAATCGCCACAACAAGATTCGGAGTTTTGTATACTGAGCGTTTGCCGGTGCAAGACGGGTGTCAGGGATGGTGCTGCTTGTCACAATACCTGTTTGGCGTGGCGATCATACCGAACATGTGATAATATGTGATACATTGTAGTGTTCGAGGGTTTTGCTGACTGAGTCGATGGGTAAGAGAGAGTCTTGTAGTACCATGTGAGTGTGGCGCGGGTCAATTCATCTTCGCGACGGTTCAGACCGGAGGTTCCGTGGCAAGCACCCTTTTGACGCATATCGGTCTCACTTGGTCGCCAATTGACCCCGTATTAGGACTTTCGGTCATTTAGATATACCGTCTCTTTCTGTCCAGCTCCGCCACTATTCCCACATCGTTCTTTGCAAACGCTATCGCGCCCACCGGGTCGTTTGGGCAAACGTCTCCAATGCGCACAGGCAAGTCGCGCAACAGAGCTGACCTTTGCAAGCCATTCAAAGTAGTTCCTCCCGTTGGCGTGAGAAGATAAGGGTTCATGATTGTGAGCGAAGAGGCGTAGCCGATGATGTCCGGTGCGATGGTAATGTACTTGAGTACAAGACCAATGTACCCAGCAGCTAGGAGTATCACCGAACAGACAATTAGGGCCGTAAACCACCTCCATCTTACTTTCTGGAACATGTGATTGCTGTCCAAGAAGTTGGCCTCGCTTCTGATGAATGAGACATTGGAACCGGATTCGACGGCGTCCAATCGGCCTGTTTGTAGGACGGATATAGAAAGATTTCCGCCTAACGTCCTAGTTCCGTATGTGGATTGCCAGAATGTGTTGTACATGACCGTCAACCGTTCTGCGAAGACATCCGGAGGAAGCTTTCCCAATTCTACATGCATGGGCCCAACCCCGATAACATTGGACGGATCATTGATATACTTCTCCATTATCGTTGAGCCTCTCATAAATGAATCTCCTGCGCTGTAGGTGTCCGCGACAGGGAGATGAACAAGTTGATTGGCGACAAAAGTCTTTCGGAGCCTATCATCGTCACTTAGGGAATAATGCTCGTCGAACAAATCCAGCTCTCTCATTCTACGAACAGCGCATATCCATTCATTGCAATGCACTTCCATTTCGTAGTATCCAAGCGATAGATTGCAGTCGGCCATTGAAACACCTTTCGAGGTGAGAGATTCACTGCGGATTGGACAGGGATAGCCATTACAGTGCCCAGTAAATGTACAGTTTGGTCTGCCTTCGCATTCTGGCAGCGTGGTATTATAAAACATGATTTTCCATGTGTAGCCTGTGTCTAATGTTGCCTGTTGTCTTGTTACAATCCTATTGCTGGAGCATGTAAAATCCCATTGACGAGCTTTGATGGTATAGGACTCGAGGAAGCGCTCACCGACGGCGGGAATGCCAAGCAGGGAGGCGTATGATACGTTAGCGTCCAGAAACTCTTCGGGGAGCAATTTCCATCCGTCTGAGGAACTGTTCTGTATGTTTCGGTATATAGGGAGTCTCACACTTCCCCATAAGTCTATAGGGAAGGTCTGGAATTGGTTGCTGCTGAGGACAGCTCCAATGAAAACCGGCGTGAAAGTGCTGCGACCACTGCTGGCAGAGCTATCATCAGACATAAAACTGTCCATTATCGTTGCAGGGCTCAGGTATCGCATTTGGCCAGTCCAATGTATTGCTCCAGATTCAGAATTTAACAGGCGTAGTCCTGACCTATATTCGGCGTTATTAGTTAGGGCTTTTCGCAAATGGAACTTACAGTACTCACTGTCCTCCCAGCGGGGAAAGAATCCAGACCAGAGTTGATGCTAGACCCACAACGGACCATGAACGAAGACATATCTGACGTTCAAGCGCGGAGAATCACAGTCCGCAACAATCAATTAAGTGGGTCCTAGAAGGTTCAGATTGGATTGATTGATTACCGCTTTAAGCCTAGTAGTTACCTATAGGAGTTTAAGCCCTACCTAGATAGGTAAGTGGGTCTAGGAGAGTGACCGGATTGAATTGATTGTTGCGGAGTCTACGGAGAATACAGATTGACAACCGATCAAATGTTCAAGCATACCGAGGGTTGTGCCCTGTTGAGCTAACCAAAGACTAAGGTAGCGGAAGAGCCTCCCCATCAAGGCTGCGAAAATGAGAGGAAATATGGTGGGCAAGAGGTAAAGTTTCTCATCCAGGCTGACCGCATAGTCTGAACGCTCCTTTCCATCTATCTTGGTAGCTAACAATGCCAGGGCTACAAATTATCAGTACTCAAGACTTGGCGAGAGACAAAGCAGAACATGCGTTATTCTTACCAATAAACATGATGGGTGTAGATGCAAGAAGCGTATCAAACACGACGACCAATGCCTTCCTCAGGGTCACTTTCGCCATGCGCTCCGAATTGGAAGGCCATCTTCCGATGGGTACTTCATTGGACAAAAGAGTGTTCTTGGTATCCTGGGCTCTATCTTTGTCCTCGCGATCTTGTGCATCGATTGGCAGCGGGATGTTACGATGAGACCCGGAGTTGTATTGCGTGCTCAACTCGATGTCTTCTTCTAAGCGAACGTAAGGGCCATTCAAGTTTGGGACAGGTCCGTAGGCCATGGCAGTTGAAAAGTCTAGACAGTACCGACGCAGCGAAGGTGCGGGAATTGTAAGGGGAAGGCAGAGACAAACAAACGACTGGAAAAACCTGGGACAGAGGCAGTGACACATCATACTATCCGATCCTTTCGGTTATATCTTACTTTCTGAAACTTGCATCGTGTACTGCGGCTACGGGTGCCTTGTGTCGGTACATGTTCGCGTTGTATGGTTAAAGATAGGGGGTATTGGCTGTTGTGCCCGCAATGTGATATGTGGGCGTCACTATCTCAGCTCCGACCATCTCAGCTTTGTCAATCTCAGCCTTATCAATATTGTACAAGAATATACATGCAGGGTGTCCAGTGAGGTTTGAAGGTTGTTAGGTAGTTGGGTCTGGCCCCTAAGCTACTAGCGTTCCACGGCCCGCAAATAGAAGCGACAAGGCCTGTTCACATTGGACAAGAACAGCACCATGCAACTATCTGCACCTTTACACATGGTCTGATTACCGGGACCCCGCCACCACCGGATCGGTACCCGATATTTTTGTCTTGAACATCAGCCTCCTTCGACGCGGGACATGCTGCCGCAGGCGCGTGCACGTGCTCCACAATCGACGCATCCCTGTCCAGCAGAAGCAACATGAGGATTGCAGCCGCACTTTGGCGTCAGGCAGCACCGATCCCACGACGCACCAGTACGGAGCGAGTCAAGGAACTTCTGGGCCTTTCTAACGAGCAATGGCCAAAGTTTTTGGTAATTTACTTCCCTCTGTGTGTGAATTTGACACTTCGTCTGGATGGAAAATTCAGACCGAGAAGCGTCTGAGTTTTCCGGCTGGGAGGTTGCCGGTAAACCCGAACAACCACTTAAGGCTGACGCAAAACGGTAGGACATATCACTGGAGGTGTGCAAAGATCATGCTGGGTCTAAACTCAGTGAAATCAGTGAGGAGGATAAGATGAAAATGAAGACGAGGATCAAGGACGGTATGCGCAAGAAGCGGCTTCCAAGAATCGATAATGAAGCTCTCGAATGGCGTATTTCAAAGTGCTTGCCAGAACTTAGAGTCAAGAATCGCGGTACGTAATTGAATGCTAGACTGTAGATGCAACTAAACTGGGAAACTGACGTTGTTGCAGATATAGAGCAAATCCACGGATGGGAGGAGACTACCAAGAAGTCGTTCCCAATAGTTAGTCTAGCCTCTCTACTTGTATCACTTTATGGAGAAAGGAACTGACCTAGCTATTATTTATAGTCATTACTAAAGGAAGCAGTCCTCACACACGCTGATAAACTGCCCGCCGGAAACTTGAGCTACTGGTCACAAATTCCAAAGGACGTGCAGCTGATATTTGCCGAGGAAGCTAATAGGCGACTCGCTGAACGCGGCTTACCGATATTGGATGAGACGGCTTTACTGTACCGATTAAGAAAGTACATGAATCACTGGCTCAAATGGGGTTGTGAGTCGATAGTGCTGCTCTAGATGGTCCATGACGACTAATGAATAACAGTAAAAGGAAAGGCAAAGGTCGGACAGGAAGTTCGCGATGATCAACCGGCTGTATCGAAAAGAATCAAGGGTCGGTAGCCTATCATAGTTCGATGTGTGGCCAAGGTGGGCGGGCATTGAAGGATATCAACGTTCGTCGAAAGCTGCAAAGCTGTTCATTTTTGAAGCTATGCTGTATACACTGCCATTTATTCCCGAAGAGGAAGATTATCCTGGTTTATCATTACCTTGATCCCTCCGTCCAAAGCACTACCTTACCATGACCCCTTCCTACCGCATCCATCCACTCTCCGAACACCATCATATCAACCCTGTACTCTTCAACGAGCGGGGTATTCCCTGGCTTTTCCAGCTTTATCACTGTCCGTACAAACTTTTGAGAACCTGCTGGAGGTAGGTTGCTAGACGTATCCACTTCTGCCAGTTCCGAAGCGCTCTTCGAACGGATGGCTTCGTAAAGACGCTTCCTTTGTGCCTCTGGGTCCAGGATCTGAGAGATTGACATCAACCGCCTCAATGATCCGCCAGGTGGCTGTGGACGAATAGGAGGAAGTGTAGTGAGTGGTGTATCCTTGGGGTATATTGTATGAAGACTTTCCGATCTGCTTGTGACGGCAGAGGTTGGCCATGCAAGTAGAACAAAGGAGGGGCTTCCCTCTCCAGGCTGCATACTCCTACGGTCTTCAATATGAACAAATGCCCAACGGCCCTCACCGACCGGGTTATAATTTTCCAAGGTTCTGAGTCTTTTCTGCCCCTTACTTTCGAACAAATCGACCTCTCCATATACTATACTAGTGGCGTCGCCGGGGCCCAAGAAACGTAACTCCCGGTGCGGGTTTGTGGTGGTTTCGTAGAAGCTAACGGATACGGGGCGCTTGCGAGTGGGGTGCGTCATGTTCAAAGGAAAAGCAGGGTTAACGGCAAAAGCCTGTGGGTGAGGAAGGCGACGTTGGAACTCCTCCATGACCTCCAGCCAGTTCAACAAGATTAGTTGCAAACCGGGCGTATTTCCCGGGAATTTTGGTCGAGGCACCGTCACCCATCTCCATGGTATAGTAGGTAAGCCGGTCTCGCTTGCTACACGAGGCTCCTTAAGCATAGGCCCAAACAAGTCTTCTCTCCATGGCGATTGTGCAGGATTATTGGTATTCGGCAGTAAAGGACCACCAAAGTCCATATTAGGACTATTGGGTCTGGTGCGCGTTGATACGTCTTGTTCGCGAGAAGCGTCTTTTTCAGGAGCTGCGTCTTGTCCGCGAGATGAAGACGGTACTACCTGTTGACCAGTGCTATGAACAGGTGACATTGAATCCCCTTTTCGCTGAGTGTCAGTGAACTCAAAGGTATACTGAACTGGAAACTCACTGTCTTTCTACTCCATGATTTCTAGCCATCGTCGCCGCTGCTCATCGGTTGCTGGGTTGTTTGCATCAATGCCATACTCTGCCATTCCTTGCTCGAACTCTTTCTTCAAAAAATGCGGCACCGGAGGCGGTGTCGTGAAGGGGATTGGTTTACCCCCTCCTAGCGCTCCGAATAACCTCTTTGTTGCCTCAATCGCACGCAGGCGGCCTTCCTCACCCTCTGCCCCATGCTGCGGCAGTGACCTGGGTTGTTTAATTTTGCGTCCGAACACATATTTGTCCTGCGGCGCGCTCATCGTGGGAGGCGGCGAGGATTATTCTTCAAGCGATCCGTCGTTGTGGAAGTAAGGGCGAAGGCGTACCAGGGTCCCTGACTTGGAAAAGATTCCTGCGTTGCAAAATCGGCGGCGACCTGGTGATACCAGGATAATAACAAGACTTCCAAAGTTGGTGCTGATACGATGATTGTGCAAGGCGAGGGATACATAGACAAGAATGGGGATAATGCCGATGACCGTATGATTGGCTGCTTGAAGTGTGTTTCTCGCCACTGTCCAGATACTTAAAGGGCTCATGCATTCAAATGAGAAGGTACAATTCAACATCAATGGCAACAATGATGTAATGATGTTAACAATTCATGGCAGCTGACAGTTTCGGTTCGCAGGAGAGAAAGAGCATGTGTGACAAACTGAGTGAAGCAGGAAAGAGCATCTATTACCATTACGGCATCCCGATGAGATGTCCAATTATTCTATCATAAGTGGTATCATGAAGCTCATTTGAAACTCTTATGAGTCTTCGATAATTAGTTGGTCTTGGAAAAGACGTACTTGGCCTGAAGGTTGAAGGCACCAGTGGAAGGACCGAAGATCTGCTTCTTGTCTCGCATCCACGCAGGCTGGTTGATAGCGTCAATCCAGTCCTGAACCTCCATCACAATGCATCCGTACTTGGGGACCAGTCCACTACCGCCCTCGGCACCTTGAGTAGACTTGTAAGGGATCGTGCCTGTAATTGTATTAGTATTTACAATATTAGAAGCTCCTGATCCACAACATACCATCTTGGCCAGGACAGCTGTACATCTGGAAGGCCTCTTGATCTGTGTAGATATCCAGCTTGATGCCAGACCACTGGCTAGACAAGGTAGCGACGGGTCCAGAGTTGACCCAGTCGAGGACTTCACCTTGGTCGCGGTTCACGATGTAGCAATTGTCGTAACCAGTGCAGTTGGTACCGCAGTTACCGAGTAGCTCAGGCGCACTGGAGTTGGCACCGATCTGCTTGGGGGATGACCAGAAGTCGTTGACCGAATACTTTTCGTTTGCAAGGATGCTTCCATCGGGGATAAGAATGGCGTCTACACCGACACGCTGGCCAGAGTAGGGCATGTAGAAAGTGTGGTTGAGAGCAGTCTCGTCGTCGGGGTTACCAAAGCCATCCAGGTTCCAGTAGGTCTAATCTGTCAGCATCAAGTTTGGGAGCCTGTGAGCGGGCTAACTTACATGGGATGTCAGCATGATGGGCGTTTTCTTGGTGGTTGCAAGAGCCACGATCTTGATGTTCCAGGTGTTTGGTGTCATGGTGTAAGTAACATAGCTCACAACCTCGCCTGGGAAGCCCTCCTTGCCGTCAGGGTCGACAATGGAAAAGGTGATGGAGTCTTTAGTGTGCGACACGACCGTGAAGTTACGGTAGTCCCACCCATCCGGTCCGCCGTGCAGAGTGTTGTTGTTGTTGTTCTCGTTCGGCAGGATGTGGAAAGTCTCACCATCGATCTCGAATGTTGAGTTCTTGATGCGATTGGCGTAACGACCCGGTACACCGCCAAAGTGGGGGTGGACCTCGCCCTCATAAGCGGTCGCGTTGTCAAAGCCGAGGACGATGTCACGCTCTACGCCGTCCTTGCCCTGGATAAAGAGGTTGGAAATGGACGCGCCGTACGCAATAAAGTGACCACGGATGCCCTCGGACGAGATTTCGTACTTGCCGTCCTTGTCAGGCCCAGCAGTCCAGTTTGACGGAGAGCTGTACTGCGCAAGGGCAGCCGCCGTAAAGAATGGCAAGAGAGTGGAGAACCGCATCGTGACTAATCAATCTCGGGCGAGTCGAAAAGTGGACTTGATGTGATGTGGTGTGGAGAAGCGCGCCAGGGGAGGGAGTAGGGTTATTATATAGGATTGTCAAGGCGCAAGTACCACTTCACAATTATTTATGACTGGGATCCTTTACCGGTTCATCTTACCTCTCCAGCCTCCAGGTAAAGGCGCGAACTAACTAGGGCCACTAGGGCCATACTGGGGATGTGGAACGTGCGTTTCCCCGCAGAGAGGCCCCCAGACACAGATGTCATGGTTATCAATCCCCAGGAACACAAACTCTCCATAACGACATCGTTCCCCGCAAGCGTGGGGAAACAAAACCTGTCATCCCATGTTATCAAATGAACTAAATACTCGCATCTTGCTGTTTCTCTCAATTGTGACTACATCCATTGTGACCTCTATCTCGGTTGCGAACAGCTTAATTTTGCAAGCCCAGTAGCCTCGGTTGTCATAGCTCCAACATCGCGACTAAACCAACTCACTTTGCAGGGATTAGGTAGGCAAAAGGCACCGGCAAAAGTCACGATTCGCGGAAAATCGCGGAAAAACCTACACGGCTGCAGAAGAACATGGGGAGAGCTTGGTGGATGATGTGGAGAACGGCTGGGCTCCGGGGTCCTGCAGCTCATCCTTGTCCGTGGGCCGTGAGCTTACCCATTGTACGGAAGCTTGACCACGCCACCAAGTAAGGAGATGAGTGGGGGATGGTATACTGTATCCAGAAACAAGGCCGCGAACTGCGTATTTCCGGAATCGTTTGTTGTCACACTTCTATACCGTCAACCGACACTCACATCATTAACATTGAGCGCGGGGGGCAAGTCATCTGACATAACATCCCGTTACACGATCCATTTTGCAACTATCGCCCTCCGAGGCACCGCCATACACATTACATGATTATTTACAGTCGTCCTGTCCAACTCCATCCTTCGCTGGCCTGCGTATGCACCTCCACCGCCAGGTTCCCATCGATACACTTCAGACTCCATCACTGCGGGATGGCCACTGAATCACTCGGCCTATAGCTTCACCCTATGCACAAAACATAAGAAACATAGTCACTGCCCTAGATCCGCCTGTTCTTTGGTTCTGACTTGGGAGAGAAAGGTGGCTGGAGAGTAGCGCCCCTGCTATGCATGTCGTCCAAGATACGCGTATTGGTATCATCCCAATAACCATCTGTGGGAGAACCTGGAGAAGGATTGGGTGCACGGGCTGCCCTTCGGCCTGGTAGCGCTACGTCCAGAGGTACATGTATGCCCCCGAACGGGTAGCTAATGCCAAGTCCCTGCGCAGTGTATGGGTGATGTCGACCGTATGCGGACTCACTTTGAGGGATACCGGAGGTTTCTTGCCAATTGGCAACATACTGCCTATTACGTTCGATAGCGGCTGCCTGAGCATCAAGCTGAGAGACCACGGAGTCGATGCGTCCTTGCGGCTGTGGTGCATCGACTTGGGCGGCCACATTGACAGCAGTGAGCAGATTGTCAAAACTGGTTCGACTAGGGAGGTAATGAGAATGATATGAACCTGGGTCTCTGACAGTAAGAGCCTCTCCGTGCGGATCATACAGATCGGTAGAGGGTTGAGGAAGGTCGTGAGGAGTGGGCACCGGTGGTGAAACTGATGAAGCTCTCTTCCTGGACGGCCTCTGTCTCTTCAAAGCAGGACTGATTTTCTTGATCGCCGTTGATGCATCTTGGCAGCTTGGATGCTCATTCCAAGTCATGTTTGGCTTCTTGTGCTTCGCCCAACAACCTGTAGTTGTTTCCAGATCATCCATCTTTGTTCCCCAATGATGCTTCTTGACTTTAGACCTAGTAGAGAAGCCCTTTCCACAAAGCTTGTGTATGTACGGTGCAAAGCCTCCTTCCTGAGCTTGGTTCTCCTTGTGCTCCTTCGTTGGCTGGGTTGAAAGGGTCGATTGGGTGTTGTGTACTGAAGGGGTGGGCTCCTCGTCTCCGGGATCGTTTTCTACGCATGTACTGTCCCTTGACTGAAGGCGGGTGGTCGATTTTTGGCGGCGACGCTTCTTCGGAGGTTCGTGCGAGTCATCCAAAAGCTGACCTACAGGAACTGCAATGGGAGCTCCGAGAATAGATGGGCTGGCTGTTGCAGAAGTTGTCCTCTCAGACGACACAACTTCATGTGGGCGATTCCCATGGGAGGAGGTGGAAGTTTCCACATGGTGGCTAGCAAAGGATTGTGCACGATGAAGCACCGGGTTGAACGCCTCGGGGGAGCAGGTTTGGCCATAGTAAGGAGTAGATTCTATACTTATGTCAGTAGAAGTTCTCCAAGATTCCACTCGAACCGAATGGCATTGAGATGTTCTTACGGTGCTCTGATCGGCCCCATCCAGGCTGTATGTGATCAAAATGTAGGCCTTGAGGGCTCGTCTCCGTCTCGTAGGTTTCTCTCATTTGATGTTTATACGACAATGGTTCAGCTACATGAGGCGATGTAAACGCATTGGGAGTGCCAAAAGGACCCGGGGGTGTCTGCAGTGTTGCTGGTGAAGCAGACTGGTCATAGCCAAAGTGCCCAATATAGCCACCCGTCACAGCTGGGATACTTGACATGAACGCCTGGCTACCTTTGAACCATGTTGGAGAAGGTAGGTGCATCTGAGGCTGATGGACCGGCTGTAGGAATCGCGGGCTAGGACTAGGAGGATTGGTGGGTTGATGGCAGCTAAAATCGAAATCGCCCATGCCCCAGTCTGCGTCTCCATGGAACAGTATGTTCATCAGGTCTTGCTTTAGATCTATTTGGTTACCAAGGGTAATCCGGATCGTGATAAGAGTGTCTTTCTTCGACGCCTTCCCGGCTCTGAACGCGCCCAACACGTTGAGGATGGTAGCCACCTCAGACGAGTTGTCACCAAAACGCAACTTTGAATGTTAGAAAGTATCTGCGAGAAGAGAGTAATACGGTGTCTCAACGACAATAGCTTACCTTGATATTGCTTAGAAATGTATCAACGACATCCGAGATGGTAGTAGTTGAACGGTTGAATACTGGAAAATGATGATGAACTTGTCCGCGGTTGTCTTCCGCCACTGTAGGGTGTCCTAAGCCGTTAATACTTGGCGACTCAGCCACGGGAGGTTGCGCTTCGCCGACGCTGTGAGTGTCCATGATGGCGACTTGGTTGGGTCTCACTGACGACCTGATACTGACGACCTGATTATAGTCTTGGTTGTCAACGTGGCGTATTTGCTGAATTGGCCGTCGAATCTTACAGTCGTGGTGCAGGTCGGTGCTTTTGGTAGCCGAGTGTGGTAGCAGATTGCGCCCTCCAGTGGTGAAGATGAGACAAACACGTGAACCGTCACACCGCTCTTCGAGCTCACAGTGATATAGACGCGGTTCAGCGTTTGTATAAAATACAGTAGACGGATATGCGCAGTAGCATGCTCGATGGGTTGTTTGTGCGAGGTGTCACGAGCACGGTATCGGGCCCCACTCAATGACAGTTGCAGTTGTGAAAGGAAGTCACGATCAACGCCAACATGAGCACCCACCCTTCGCAATTCACCAAGGCCGATGAGTGGGGCACGTAACAACTAGCGCATATGAGACGAGGCTCCATCAAAGCCCGCAGAGATCATCCGTCAGCGTTTGCATGTATGCTACGATGACTGTTACTGGAAATAACCTTGCGTCATTGCATCGGTGACCTGCAGCGTAGCGGTCATTTGTAATAACATGTCATAGTCAGTATCTTTCAACTGTTTTGTGCAGCCAATCGGCCTCTGAAGACCGTTTGACGGGTACACCCGGCATCGTAGACCACTTCTACTATGCTCTTCCTACAGTGCCAACCGCTATCCATTCTATCGAACAATACAAAGTCGGCAGGCTGTCCAGGCTTCAGCACTAAAGACGTTGGCTTGCAGCCAATCGCGGACTTCGCCCGAGATGAGACGGTTTCCTGCATAAATCCAGATGGTCAGTGGTAGGCCTCAGGAGGACAAGGGTCACTTACATATAGTAGCTCCGCATCTTTCTTTGTCCCAGCCTGGTACAAACCAACCCCCAGAGAAGCAATACTCTAGAGGATGGACTTAGTTGTCGAATATCATCTGAATTGAGAGGAACAGGTCTTACCAGAGGATCACAGTTGCCATACGGCGTAAATGCATTACCCACATTATTCACAGCAATTGCTGCATCGAAGCCGTGCTCGATGATCAGTTCAGTTATAGGCAATGTCCCTCGTACGTTCTCCGGTGTTCGCATCATGAAAAGATCAGAAGTCGGCAGGCCGACGAAAGAGACGGGAAGGCTGCCTACCTCTTGTTTCAGATGCGCCCACTCGTCGTTCCGAAATCTCGTCAGTCGGGTACAATGACCTAGTGTAATCTGTTTGTCTCCGCCTTTACTCTCCCATTCTAGTTCTTTGAACATGCTCAGTGTTTCCCAGACCAAAGGCTGTCTGTCTTCTTCCAGGAAGTAGTCTAGGTGGAGGTCCAGATGTTTGTGATACTTCAGGGCTAATTGAGTAATCCATCGCACATTATCTTTAGGTTTCTCTTCGTTATCTTCAACATAGGGCGTACTTCCAAGCACGTCCACATTCTTGTAAGATGCAGCTGTAGTCATCAACTTCCTTACTTCTGCACCTCCATCCTCACCAGAAAATAGCGGGAGCTGGGCGAATGCGCAGATCTGCACTTCACATCGATCTTCGAACCTTTGCTTCAATGCGAGACCCGCATGTAAACACTTCAACTGTACTACCCCATCAACTTCTACAAATGCTCTCATAGCTGTGACACCATGCTGGATGCTTTCTTCGATCAGACGGGTGCCCCTCCTGAGCAGATCATCTTCCTCAAACCTCGACTTTGCCTCGCCCGTCATCTCCATAGCCTCCTTGAAGTCGCCACTTTCGATTTGGAGATCAAGAAATTTGGGGTCTTGAAGAAGGAAGCATTTGTCGAGATGGATGTGGGCGTGACAAAGCGAAGGCGCAATGAGACGGTTGCCTCCATCTAGCATGTCTTTGCTATTGTGGACCAATGAGCTGTCGTGGGCGTCTACTGAGGCTATCTTTCCATCCTCAATGGCGATGTCCCAGAGCGATGACGACGGTTGATGTGGTATGCGAACGTTTGTAATCCTGCTGAGAGGTTCGCCTAGTTCTTGATCCAGCATGCTTTGCGTCTCTTCACTGACGAGACGGTTCCAGGGGTTGTGGTGCGATGAGATTGCGGATGAAGCAGTGCAACTAATAAAGGCACAAAGACAAGGAAGAAGCACGATGATGCGTAGAACTGAGAGACAGCTGGACGACTTTACCGAGTGACAGTGATGGGATGCCAAGAGCAGTGCATAAGCAGTGAAGGAGGACAGATGTGAGCAGCAACAAGTAGCTCTTCTTGAGCACTACCTGCAAATCACACGTATGTATCTGGTTTTGATGAGGCCCAAGACGGCCAGACGGATAAGCGTGTGCATTGAGGGCTGGGTGGGGGGGGGGGGGGTTGTTGCCCCGCATACATAGGGGGAGCTAACAGTATCCGTGCATGTAGGACGTACCTAAACCTCGACGCGTCTCCGGAGAAAGTTACCATCCTATCCACCTTCCATCTCCACTGACGCGCCCGCATCGCAAATTCCGCTGCCGTTCATTTTTGCACGCTTTCGAATATGCAGCCGAACTATCAGGCACGGGGATATAATTATCCGCAACAGCACAATGCGGCCACTCCCTCCCGACGACCAGGTAAGTACGAACCGTCCACCACAGCTTTCACTTCACCACCACGTCCATTGCTCCTGCCGCCTGCGCACACACGCCGTAAAAGACGATGATTAGTAGGAACGACCTCGCTCACTTGTTCCGCAACCCAGGCCCCATTGTCCATCCACAACACCCCGTCGCGCAACCCCAGTACAACAGCGCCAGTATCCAGGCCACCCAGCGCGCCGAAGCTGAGCGTCGCGAAAAGATGCGCCGCATCGCCAAGAACCCGACCGACAAGAACATCCCCGAGGGCGTCGAAGATGTGTGCATCGGCGACGGCGTGGCTCGCTACAAGGAATTGCGCGAGGTCGAGCGCACCCTAGACGCGACCATGATGCGCAAGAAGCTCGATGTCATGGACTCCAAGCACCACTCGCGCGCATCGCGCTATGGGACTATGCGCATATGGATATCAAACACGGCTGAAAACCAGCCTTGGCAGAGCAGCGGCATCGACGCCGACGCTTTCGACTTTGAGAGCGAGAACAACGCCACGTACCGCGTGAAGATCCAGGGCCGCCTGCTCGATGAGGAGGGGGACGAGGGTCTCGAAGAGGACGAGGAAGAAGAAAAGGACGCCGATGCCATGTACGTACCAGGTCGACCGCTAACGCAATTTTGCATCTGCGCCAGAGCATCCTCGATTGGTGCATGTATCATATACTATCCGAACTTGACTGATTAGTGAATAGGGACGAAGATGGAGCCGAATCTAAGCCAGCTGCAAAGCCGAAGATGTTCTCACATTACTTCACGTCCATCAACATTGACTTCGACCGTGCCAAGAGCTTACAACCCGACAACTTCACCCAGATCGAGTGGAAGCGACCCGAGAACCCCACTGCAAAAGAGGCCAACTTCAGCGAACTCGAATTTGAGCGAAAAGGCGACGAGAACATCAACATCACCATCAATCTCCAGCGGTACCAGAACCCCGAGGTATTCCGCTTGAGCAAACCGCTCGCCGAGCTTCTGGATACCGACGAGGAGGACCGGGCCGGTATTCTCATGGGCATTTGGGAGTACGCTAGGTCACAGCATCTACAGCAGGAAGAGGACGAGCGCAAATTTGCATGCGACGCTAGACTGAAAGCTCTGTTTGGCGGCCAGGATCATTTCTTCTTCCCGAACCTGCCTCAGCTCATCAAGCAGCACCTAACCACACTCCCACCCATCCAACTACAGTACACCATACGAGTCGACAAGGATTACATCTCACCACCCGCCGACTCCGGCAGGGCTCCCTCCGAGCCTACCGTATACGATGTTCAGGTAGCGCTTGAGGACCCGATGCAGCCTTTGTTCCAGGACATACTCCGCCGGCCAGACAGCATCCAAACCCTCCAAGAAATTCAAAAGATCGATGAGCAGCTTGTGCTATTGATGGGCGCAATCGGCCAATCCAAGGCAAAGCACGCCTTCTTTACCAGCATGTCAAAGGATCCAGTGACCTTCTTCAAGCGCTGGCTGTCCAGCCAAAAGCGAGATCTGGAGGTGCTTCTCGGCGAGGCCACTCGCGGTGGTGGGGAAGATGTTTCGGGTGAGGAGTGGCGACGAGGAGGGGCTGACGGCGTATGGGGCAGTGAGGTCGCGAAGGAAAGTGTGGCATTGTGGTTGGCGAGGTCCAATATCAAGCCTCATTAAGCCGGAGCCATGACTAGCATGTGATTTATTTCTGTTAAGTTGGAGGAGTTCAACCTCGAGTATGGGAAAATCATCCTAGGGCAGGATGGAAAAGCGGCGTTCATATCCGATACCCAAACATCAGTTTCATCTCGATGTTCCTGCCACATATTTGCGGTGATAATGGTCTAGCTTCTTCGGGATGTGTCGTTTAGTCATCTTAGTCCTCCACACTGCGACCTCGGTATGTTCTTGCCTAGACTGCAAGGCAACAAGACCCGCCCGATTTACAGTCCTTTCATGCCACCTTCACAATAATGTTCTTTGCCCTGGTCCTGCCGCAGGACGATGACTGGCTGTATGAGTGAATTCGGGTTATATTGCACTACGTCATCGTCTGCCTCTTTTCGCATGCAGTGTATGTTGTGAAAGAACGCATCTTGTGGGCTCTTAACCACGACAACAAAGCCATGAGGCAATAGAAACCAGAAGTAAATAGGCGGCACAAGCACAACTATACATGTACTGCCCGATCACTCTCCGGGGTCGGCGCTTATCAGTATGCCTCCGTCCTCAGCCTTGCTGCAAGCAGCACATGCAAAGGTTTGAATGGTATTCCTCTCGTCCATGACTTGCCGCGGTTTGTTTAGCACAATTGGTCTAGCGCACAATTGGAGGACCTTCCAAAGGTTTCAATATGCCTCCAACTCTCACTTCACTTCTACCTAGCGTCTTGTTATGGAGGCCTACCTCTCTGGACTAACGCATCTGACTGCTGCCTTGCCGCCGTGTCATTTAATAACAGACCGGAATATGCAGTGTGACATGAAAAAAAGAACTCAAGCATGCGGGGTATCAACAAATCAATAGCAATTCAGTGAAGTGTGTAGGAAATTGCGAATCCTGTGAGCCAAGATATGGAACGGACGAATAATGAAAATAAAGATAATAAGTGGCTCTAATGTCTGTTCTGTGGAACACTATTACGACTGACTACCATTTTCCTGCAACCAAGACATTTTACTGTACTTACGGCACCTTGGATCAGTCCCGGAGGCATACTACCTCCTCTGTTCCAACAGGAATATGCTATGATGCCATAATGATGGATACAAAGAGAATGATCAGATTATTTTCTTCTGTATGGTCATCACGCTTTAATGTGCATGATGAGGGCAAAAAGCAGGACATCAGCCTACTAGGACGCAGCTCGCATGTATGTTTGCCTTTCCATCGTGCCAATGGAACGCCTACATTTGATGCGATCGATATCTCCAAGAGCAGGAATTGCTTCTGGATCCTGAAAAGGACGAAGTCCTCCAAGTCAACGCCACCTGCATGTTTGGTTGGCTCTAGTAAGTTCATAACAGTATGCCTCGCTCCGCCTCTCTGGAGGTCCCAAGGTTCTATAATAAGAGCATTTCATGCTCCGAGCTCGCCCAAAATAACTGCCCTAGTGCTACTTTCTCTTCACCACGCACAATGGCCCCCATCATTACTCAACGCCGCTCCACAGAACGTACTGCTGCGCCATCCTACAGCAGGCGAGCATTGTCTTCCCACAACGATGTTTCACTCGCCATTGGCCTCACCGTATCCTTGGTTTGCTTTGTTGTTATTCTTGTTGCAGTATGGTGTCTCTTGAGGAGGAGGAGGATCATGAGGCTGGGGGCGACACCTGTGGGCTTGGAGTCACCCGTCGATGAAACCTTTTCACCGGTCGTTGAGATATGTTCGAATTCCACTAAATCTTTGTACAAATATGAGGGAGACTCATCGTCGTACTATTCCCCACTATCCCCGGTAGCTCCCCTAGAGCTTGATGCTGGAACACCAAGGAGCGACGTTTCGCCTTTTTCACAATATCCGCCAGTATCAAACAGCTTATCGAGGTATACTCCTACGAACGGAGAGTCATCTTCTGCTTCAAAACGAACATCTCCATTCAGTAAGGAGTACTACTTTACGGAACCAGACCACAGAAGTAAGCTCAGAATGTCATGATCTACATGTTCAAGTTGTAACTAACTATGAATTGACAGGTCATCCAATAAACACTGGCTTCGGCTCAGCGGGCACTGGAAGTAGTAGATACCCAAGGAAGCAGGACATAAACGTTCAAATCAATTTCGTCAACCCGCGTGACGTAGAGTACCGACCGAACCGCGTCCTACAAGCCGAAGAACACGCTATCTATCTGTCATCGTTATCACTTCCTTCCCGAGGTCGACCAGCATCTATATACGACAGACCTCCATATTACATAGGGATGGACGCATCAAACATAGATACTACCAACAAAGGTAGCCAAAGGACATCCCCTAGCCCACTCTCCGACCGCAATTCCGTTCAGCGAATCTCGACTCTCCGCGAGAGTCTGCAAGATCTTCATCGCCTGTCAATTATCGATGTCCCGAGTGAATCATCCCACGATCACGGAAAGTCAACCCAGAAACAAGAGAAACGTCGGAATCAGCGAAGCCACATGATGGAAACTTCCTCCTCAACCTCATTCTCAACACCACTATCCTACTCCAACAAATCCAGCCCCATCTCAACAACCACAAGCCCCGCCTCCTCAACCACCTCCTCCAGCACCACCACCTCCCCATCCACAACAACAACAACCTCGCACTCCCCCACCAGCCCCTCCACCCCCGTATTCCAATGCCCCTCCTGCCGCCTCACCTTCCGCACCCCCGGCCTACGCCGCAACCACCACAACCGCAGACACAACCTACGCTACACATGCATCGTCTGCACAGCGCCCTTTGGCCTACGAGCCGACCTGGATCGCCACCAGTATACCAGACACCCGGAGCAGTACCGGGCTGCGGACCGCTTCTGGTGTACGGTTGAGGGGTGCGAGAATCCGGGGAAGGAATGGAGTCGGAAAGATAACTTTGAGAGGCATGTTAGGAGGTGTGAGGGGAGGGGTGAGGGGAGGAGGGCGAAGGGGAAAGAGAGGGTTGGCTGAGTGGGGGTATGTGGATGAGGGTTTACTTGCTGTGGACTTGTGTGTCTGCACCTGGGTGACATGGAATACTTGACAGTGACAGCGTGGGTACATCCTGGTATTTCATTCTTGATAGGCACATCCAGCGCCTTCAATGATCTTTGTATACTAGGGTGTCAAGTCTCGTTCTACTGTTGGTAGATTAAAGCTGATATTGTACACAAATGCCTACATCTTGCTATGCCTGATTATATCGACGTGCCCTTGCCAAACTCCGTATCTTGTGGACTGGAGAAGACGGCTGCCGATCGATCATTCACTCCATTTTGTCACGAAATTCAAAGGAGGTTAGTAACACAAAGATTAAGAGTAAAAATCTGGGTATTTGATATTGACAATGCGCGCAACGAGAAGCACAATCCCCCCATTAACTTTAAGAAAACGGTTGTTTACTACCACGCGTCGTAAAAGACAGCGTCAGCCAGCCAAAGAAAGGCCCGTCCCACCCGGCGTTTCACCATATACACACACATTCAAATGTACAGCCAATAAAAATCCTCGTCCACACCGTCGTTCGAGAAGGAAGCTTTTCATGGCCTTCCTCTCGTCCAGTCTATATTTCCTAGCTTCATCTTCATCCCTGCTCTTCTCGTGTCCAGAAATACCGCGTTACCGACTCGTTTCGTATTCTCACCGTGGCGTGCGCAACTTGCTTTGCATCTTACGCGTTGATGTTGTGAAGCAAAGAAAAAAGGGGGACAAGGGAATCCCGCCGCAAACAACGCCAATCTCGCACCTTGACCGTCTTTGGTGGAGATATGCAAAATTTGCGCAGTGATGAAGAAGGCAACGGGCCCAAACCGTTGCAAATTTGGTGGGCATAGAAGAGCAACGCCACAACGCTACGCCCAAAAGTGGATTTCGATCGAAAGAAATTTGACCAAGGGAACTCGTGGAGCGTGACAGGCAGTCGGGCGACAGAGGGTATTCAAGTGTTGCTGATGATGACTCTGGCACCCTCCTTGCCCAACACGCCCCTCTCTTTGGCCTTGGGACTCCTGTCCCGGCCCTTTTTGCGACTGAGGAATCCGAGCATACCAGATGGTTTTTCAACTTGAGCATTCTGTACGAGCGCGGAGCTCTGGTTAGCCATTTCGGTCCAAGAACCAGTCTCATTGAGAACTACCTGTACGCCGCCGCCCATGCTAGTACTACGTTGTGATCCTCGCTGTCGCTGGTTCATGGGGCGGGAAAATGAAGGTGTCGGAACTTCGGTGCCGTCAGTGGGGAAGTAGTCGACATGCTCGCCACGTTGTGATGTAGGCGAGGCGGTGTGTGGGGCCTGGTTTGAAGCCTGGTTAAGGGCAGAAGTGGGAAGAGGAGGACTGCCGTTGGGCGATTGCGTCGATCGTGCGGTGGTAGTGGACCGAGTGGGATGGAGTTCGCCATCCTGAGACTTTGTATTTGCTAGAGGACGTCCCCACGGATCTACTTGCGAAGTGGCGGATGCCGAAGTGTTGTCAGGCTGGCTTTGATTGCTCGCTCTCGAGCCAGCAGTCGAGTCTTGAGGGTCTATTACTGCAACAGCGGCCGGCGTCCGTTGATCGCCAGCTGTAGTATAATTGAAAGGCTCGAAAAGGGTCTCGATCATTCTGTGCAACTCCTCGGCCCGTATCTCCTGCTCGGTTGCATCGTCCTTGAGAGCCTCCCTTGGCTTTTGCCTGCGCGCTCGCGCTTCGAGCGGCGCCTCTTCCAACAGCAGCTCCTCGAGATCGTACGTGGCATCGAAGTTGGTCTTGTCGCTCGACGGTACGAAGATGGGCGGGATCTCTTTGCGTTCAAGCGCGACAAAATCGATGGGGCGGAAGAAAGGGTTGTCGATGAATGACTCGAATCCAATAGCTCCTATGCGCTTCTTGCGGTTCTTTTCGAGTAGCGAGCTTATGGCGTGCAAGCAAGGCATGCTCACAGGCGGACTGGTGACGGGGTAGGTCGGCTCTCCCTTGAGAATCTTGGCGGCGAGCGAGTCGTGGCTACTGGCTTCAAAGGGTCGCTTATTGTATATGCACTCATAGAAGAGCACGCCGAGCGACCACCAGTCGACTTCGCACGAATATCCCTTTCCTTCGTATACTTCGGGCGCGAGATAGGCGAGGGTGCCGGACTTGCTTGTCAAGGGCTTGTGCGGGACAAAGTCCGAGGCGACGTTCTGGGGGTGAAATTAGTGGATTGAAGGGGAAGGGACTGCATGCAATTGAACTTACGAAATCCGCCAGGTGGACGTGTCCCTCGGAGTCTAACAGCACATTATCGGGCTTGATATCCCTGTGTACAATGCCTTGCTGGTGAATGTAGCGCACGGCGCAACCTAACTGGGCAATCCAGAAGCGCACCGCCTCCTCTGTGAAAGTCTTCCGCGAGATGTGGAAACGCAGGTCACCGCCGTTCATCAGGTCAACCACGATATATCTGCCCTTGTCAGCGGAGGGTCCTTGGCAGGCGCGGCCGGGTTTGTTGCATACAGGTACTCAATGTCCTGGAAGCTATACCGCAGATTGCACAGGAAAGGATGGTTGAGGTGCTCGAGCATGCGGCGCTCTCGAATGATGTTGCGTACGCTTTCCGACCGTACCACTGTGGCACAACGTCAGCACCAGACCCTGCTAGCGGGCTCCCATGCCGGGCGTAGACATGCATACCTTCATCTTTCCGTATATACTTGAGCGCAAACGTGAGGCCCGTATCTTTCCGCTCGACGATGCGCACCTTTCCGAAAGCGCCCTTGCCCACGACGCGCAGCAGGCGGAAGTGGTTGAGGTTCACTGTTTGTCCGTGTCAGTCGAAATCGTGGGTGGGGCTCAATGAGCACAGGGAAAGGGAATAGGCACCTTGGTCGGTGAAGACGACGGGCTTGCCGCTATTCTGACCCATGGCGGGCTACAATGGCAGGCGGGCCTATGGGTTGGGAATCGACGTCTCTTAATGCATCAGGTGTCTGGATCGGGGTGGGCAGCTCGGGCGGCCTGGGGGTGGTGGTGGTGGTGGTGGTGAGGGAGCGTAGGGAGCGTCGTTCACAGGGCTTGGGGGTGTCGAGACGTTGGGGCGGGGATTATTAAGGCGGTTCACAGCAACAGCAGCTGAGATGCTTGGGGCAGGAACGAACAAGAAGTTGAAAGGAGGCCCTAAGACTGAAGACGCACGTTTCGCAGGCGTGGCGCCCAAGTCAGATTAGCTTCGCAGACGTCGGCAGGACTAGTGGCTAACGACATGGATGGGTTACACGTTTTGAGTCGCATCCTTGCACACGAATCGTCGTGAAAGCAGGACGCCTCCGTCAGGGCAAGCGCGGCAGGGAGCCAGCTAGGCTTCTTAGTCATAGTCAGCCACATAGACGCCCTACACCTCACAGTTACGATAACGATATCCTCTCCTCTCCGCTGCAACTCTGTGTAGGCTGTACGCTGCACTTGACACAAATTCCATGTGGCCGTGCCGTGCTGTTGATTACTGTCGACTACATGTACCGCGCTGACGGTGAGCGAGTACGAGACATGGTAAGCGGCCACGGCCAGTGCCTACCCAGATTCGACATGATCAGCAGTGAATGTCCCACCCCCTGGCACGTCACGGGACTTGCGCACTCTATGTGAGGTCAAATTGCCCTCCGGCATGCGCGAGACGTTGTCTTCGCTTCCCGTCTGATCTGCATGTGCTGAAACTATATCTTCGCCCATGCTCATGGCGCCGTGCATGGCAATGCATTCGGCTAGCGTGATATTCGCCATGATTACCCTCCGCAACCACCACACAGACGCTTGCTGCTGCTTGTTGTCTCGGCCTTTGCCAGACCACAGGCGTCTGGTGGACAAGATAGTGATTGGCTCCATGACGGCCTTTCTTGTTCGGACCCGCTTTCTTCTACGTACTACCAACAACAACGTAGAACCGTGCGACATACGGCGTCTTCATACCGACGTCGGACTGAGTCCATATGCGGGTACCTAAGCCGGCTGCAGCCTACGTCAAACAAAGGTTGTTTTCGGCCCGGAGCTGCTCCTCGTCGTATTTCTCGCCCACGCGAACACGTCCAAGCCCGACGACACTGACAGCACGTGATGCGCGGTAGGTTCAAAGCCGGGAACCACCACCCCGCCGACCCCCCAGCGATCTAGATGGCCCGGAACCACATGTTGCCCGCCCATCCATCTCATGACGCGTATTTGTTATCGGCAGAGCTACCTAGGTACCGCGGAACTTTCAAGCTCCAACCAGCCCAAGCCAAGCACCTTGGCTGCCACCTTCCGCGCGCCTTACACACTTCTCCACAAGCGCCCACAAGCACCCTGTCGCTGGCCCCCACCTCCTCATCAGCATACACAAGCTCTTTTAGTATCCATAAATGTAGCCAAGAACACTGTTTGTAGACTTCACTTGGTCGATTATACAGCTATGCCAGGGCAATAACCATCTGGCTAGCATCATATGCTAACTATCATGAGGGCCTGCCCCTTCTCTTTACTTCTCTTCACACCCCCACATGATTGCACTGCAGCTTGGCACATGTTGTCTTTTCCGGCCACGCTTCTGCCTCCCTGACTTACTCCTCGGCTCACACTACAATTATCTGTCATTGCGTACACCTTCTAGAATACTTCCTTTTCTGCCCGGCCGCAGCTCTGTGCCACATGAGCACGCGACACTACTGCGTGTCTCATGCAGCCATTGCTCGTTCCTTCAGCCTCATCCATCCTCACCCTCTCGTTGACCTGCGCTTCCCTAGCGTCGTCCCTCATCAAAGCTTGACATCGCTAACACTTGCAGTTTGTCTGCTGAAGCCACACAACCCTTTCCCACTCCTTTGATGCTCAGCTGCGGTACAGCAGGCCCTGACGCATGCCTTATGCGCTGTCATCCAATCCTTGATCAGCACATTCCCGCCAAGTCCATGCTGTCTCCGGGTCTTTGTTGTTGGCGTCATGCCCACGAGACGCGGCCCAATGTCTCTCCAGCAGAGCGGTGCCGGACGGCTAACCATCGCTACCGTCCAGTCCCTTGGGTTTCAGCCTTACAGACGTGCGTAGGGTCTAAGCGTTTCCGTGCGAGCAGTCATAACAACATCTCATGCACCACACCCTTTCGAAATCCCCTTGGTTTAGTATGGGATTTCATCAATCTGCAACAGTCTGCAACAGGCTGGTAATGACCGTTCAAGCTGAACCCCTTATCCTCCATTGGCTGGAAATAGGACCTTGCATGCAGCTTGCCTTGCAGCCTCACCACGAGACTAACACCACCAGCTTCTCTCTGGATGCTAGTTAGGCGACCTGCTCAACTTGAAGTGTCTTGCCTAAGTGATCAACCGAGCCTCTCACTGATGCACTGGAGTTTGCTTACAATTGGGCGTGTCGCGTCTACGTATATTGGCATGCATCTCATCATATGCGCAGATACGCCACATCCTACATCCAGATACAGTGGCGCCGGAAGACATTTGCCGGAGAACTTTCACGTCCCCATCGAATACAACTACCATGGCATAATCTGACGAGGGTATCTTCGTCTCGTATATTACCATGTAGAGAAGGAGATGGCGGCCGAATCGAGCAATCGCCGATACCGTATACGGTAGCATGAAGACCTGGTTGTAATTCCAACATCGCTTAGATGCACCACCCCAACTTCGTGCATGCAAGCCATAAAAATCCCAGCAACCTGAGTTCGCGGCGAGCGGGTTTCTAGCTTGTGCTACGATAGCCTGGCGAGAAGGTTTCACGCTGATCTCTGCACGACAGTCTGAAATATCGGTAGCGGTGTGTCGTTGTAGATTCTGGAACCCGGGCTGGCGTCCACATGGCCAGGGTTTCAGCGAGTACAGCAGTCGCGGGTCAGATAGACCACGTGGAGAGACCCGTGTCACATTGACCCGGTCATGGTGGTACAGTACGGGAATATACATCCGGCAAGCATAGAGCTGACTGGGTTTCGCTTCGCGCCCACGAACAAGCAAAGCAAGAAGGCCCAAAGCAGGAGCTCCCTACAAACCCGATGAAAGCGCTAATGGGCTGGCCTCATCCATTCACGCCTCAATTTCCTATGCGAAGGGTGGAATCCATGTCGACATATGCGGTGCGACCCGAAGCTCGTATTCTCTGACAAACCAAAGAGGAAAGAGCATCGCGATGAACGTTCGCAAAGCGAGTGAGCCAAGTCGACTCAGCCATGGCACGGCCGTGGGTTTGATTGACTTTCCGGTCTGTCCAATGTTGGAGACTGGTAGGCGGTATATGCCGGTGCCAATCTGCATTCTAGGTATATCCCATAGGCCTACAGAACCAGGTTGATCTGTATCAAAGGCAATGGATGCGTGCCAGACAGTCACAGCGCCAGTTTCTTATCGCGAAACTCCAGTGGTTGCTTTTGCTGGACACTGGCAAATCCAAGGCGGAGAAACGGACGAAAAGCAAACAGAAGGCTGTTAGCGATGCCCAAAACGAGATGCCGATAAGCTCCCGATGTCCGATCTCTTTGATCAGATCGTGTCAACTTCTATTGCGACAGCGATCGAAGCTACCCTAGCCCTCATTATGGTAAGCGATATAATGCTTGTTCGAACCTTCATCCTTTGAGAATGGTTATGCTTGATATCAGCCACTTGTCTGAACTTCGTAAGCCGGATGGACATTCTACTTTTGCAATAGGCGGCTTTCCCTATGGGACTTCCCTGTACGGGCGCATTTGGGCAATAGCTCTTCGCATACATATCTCCATTTGCTCGTTATATGTCTTTTGGGTAATATTGCCACATGAATCGTACAAGTAAAGCACCCATGGGCTTGGCTTATAGAAGACGTGATATTGCGTGTGACAAGATAATAAGCTACAAGCGTTATAGCCATCTGACGATTGTCAAAGACGCGTCAATACCTAACTACATAGGCAGACCTAGCCTACATGGGACTCATGGCGATCAGGCGTACGTACGGCTGTGGGGGTCTTAGCCTACCGTCGGGGTAACCATACATTTGCAGCATGTAGGTATCAGGTGATACTCATCACTATTCACACTTCCAAGTGAAAAAAGGTTCCAAGTTCACAGAGTGAAAGTCTGGGGTCACTCGGTTCGGTGGGGACGCTAAGTCCGAGCTTCTACCCGTACGTCGCTACCTCTTCGAATACAAGGAGAAGACACGCAATGCACTCGCGCAAAGATTCTAGCTCCGAGCGCCATGAACGGGGCAGACGTACGGACAAACGGCGATTCACGTATAAGTGAACAGTTACCAACGCCAACGCTGTCACCAGAACCGGACGACGTGGCATTACCGAATGTTCGCCGCGACAATGACGCGAAAGGCGACGAGCCTCTACAGAACGTAACAAGCGGTGCCAATGGCATTGCCAGCTCTACCTCGACGAGTAGAAGGCCTAGTGCCCATGAGGAGGCCATAATGTCCGACACCAACGAGAAAATTAGGCCCATTAAGCGGCCTGGGGATGGTCCGAGGAGGAGCAGCGTGTCAGAACATGAGAAGATGCTCAAGCTCAGTCCCCGCCAGGTCCAGGAGTTGACGAGCGAACCTGCGAGTATACCTGTACGGGCAGCGACACCAATCCTCGAAGACGAGCTTGAGGATGTGACACCGTTGGTGACCGAGGGCCAGGGCAGCAGCAAGCTTCTGGGCGTGGTGCTGGAACGACCGGTGGAGTTGCGGGATTCGAATAAGGATAGGGTATCACGAGTCGGAGAGGGGTCACGGGAGAAGGAAGTTGTTCTGATCAAGACGTCTGCAACCGAGTTGCGCAGTAGCCGGCCAGCTCTCTCGTCACGATCAATTACCACACCCTCGCTCGTGCGGAGAACGACGTCAAGATCGCGATCGCGGAACCCTAGCCAGGTCCGGGAAACAGATGATAGGAGGCAGGGCAGACATGTTCCTGCGCCTCTGAGTTTCGACCATAAGGATGGGGCTTCAAAGGCTCAGGAAAAGCACAAGGAGATACGCGAGGTGCGGCATGCCGTTTCGCCCACGGCTATTGCCCTTCCACTTCCCCCAATGTCAATGCCTACCTTTCTGTCTCTTGAGCTTTCTGCGAACCGTCCCTCTCCCTTATACATCTACCGTCCCGCTACTACCGAGTTTCCATACGAGTCATCCGAGATCAAGTATGAGCGTTTACTCAACTTTTTGAGGATACCGCTCATGATTGAAGGCATATTAGGCTTTGGTGCGCTGGCTTGTCTCGATGCCTGGATGCATGTTTTAACAATCCTGCCCCTGCGCTTTTTGCTCGCTGTCGCTATCCTAGTCAAGTGGTGGGGTTCAGTAATTGTAAAAGAGTTTCGTGATCTTTGGGCTTTTGTTTACAATGGGTTACCGCGCCTTTGGCAACGGAGAAAGCATACAGACGGTCCTACACCTCTGCCCACGCCAACCGAAGAAGAGGCTCCATCCATGTCACGGAAGCACTCTACGTCAAGTGTGCCATCGGCCAACACGACAGCCAGACAAAATTCTCAAACGTCAACGACTTTCAAATTCCCGGACTTGAAAGAGCTAAAGGCACGGCGGCCCCGGAACTCCCGATTTCGCCATCGCCGTACCAAATCAACACCATCTACGCTACTGCCAAGCCACAAGGCAGACATACTCAAAGGTTTGCTGGTTATTGCAAGCTGTTTCGTCTTGATGAGGTTCGATGCAAGTCGCATGTATCACGGCATTCGTGGTCAGTCAGCGATCAAGCTCTACGTCATCTACAATGTTTTGGAGGTCTGCGATCGCCTGCTGTCGGCTGTTGGTCAGGATGTTCTCGAATGTCTCTTCTCTCGCGAGACACTCGATCGCAATCCTGATGGCAGAAGCAAGGTGCTTCGGCCGCTCGGCATGTTTGTACTTGCTCTTGTCTACACCGTAGCCCACGCTACTGCACTCTTCTACCAGGTCATCACGCTCAACGTCGCAGTCAACTCTTATTCGAACGCGCTACTAACGCTGCTCATGTCCAATCAGTTCGTTGAAATCAAAGGCACAGTGTTTAAGAAATTCGAAAAAGAGAATCTCTTCCAGATTACTTGCGCAGATGTTGTGGAACGCTTCCAGCTCTGGCTTATGCTCCTCATCATCGCTATGCGCAACGTAGTCGAAGTTGGCGGCCTAAGTATCCAGAGCAGCGATACATCTTGGACAGCCATGTTCACTGGGTCTGCCAACGCCTCCTCTGGGACTGCTTTCAAGGCCTCAAGCATCATACCCATGAGCTTCACCATTTTTCCAAAGTACATCGCTCAGGTTCTCAACCCGTTTCTGCTGGTGTTGGGCAGCGAAATGTTTGTAGACTGGCTGAAGCATGCATATATCACCAAGTTCAACCAGTATAAGCCAGAAGTATACAGCAAGTTCTTTGACGTACTGGCGAAGGACTACTATTCTAATGTAAGCCATCGAACTCACCTGGCATGATTGCACTAACATGCCATAGGCATTTGCGGATGCAGACTTGACGCGACGCCTAGGGTTGCCTGTCATACCACTATCTTGTCTCTTCATCCGTGCTGCCATCCAGACCTATCACATGTTCATCGCTATGCATATGCCACCTCCACTACACGCCACATCTACCTCCCTGACCTCAGACCCTACGTCGTCTCCAGTCACAACTGCCGCCTTGGCACACATTGACCATGTCTTTCGCCGCGCACTAGGCCGCTCCTCTTTTGGCGCCGGAATTCCTTCACAAGTCTGGTACAACCCTCTCTCCTACAACTTTGATGATCTCATCGCCGGCTCAACAATGCTCATTGTATTTCTCATCATCTACCTCATGTTCCTTGCTTTCAAGCTCGTCCTTGGCATGCTCCTCCTATCCGTCAGTCGTAAACGATATCATGGTATGCAGGAGCGTGAGAAGCTCAATGTGGAGACTGGAGGAAAACGGATTGGAGGTTGGGGTGTTGTGGACGTGGATGAGGAGAAGAGGAAGGTGATATACGATGATGATCCCGAATCTTTGAAGAGACTGAGGGAGCGAGATGAAAAGGGAAGAAAGAAAGAGGAACACGAAAGGGAGAGGGGGACGAGCTTTGGACATGTTAGTCGCTATGCTATGGTCGCCAAGAGAATATGGTGATGAGGGCATTTGCATGTTGCTAATCTATCAATTGAACTATCCAAGTAGCCACCAAATAGATTATCTTACTTGATTTACGGGAGTTTCATGCTTTGGTTGTCGGATATCTCACAAAAGCAACATGGGTGTGGTCATTGCCGACCCCCATTCTCTCCAACTCTGCCTCTTCGACGAATCGGCTCAAGTTTCTGATGGTGTGACAGCCTTGTTCTTCGAATCCAAGTCGTTTATACAAGTGTGCGGCACTATTATCACTGGCAGTATCCAGGTATACCAAGACTTGCTGCTTATCGGCCTGGGAAAGGACACGCTCTATCAGTTGCGCGGCCAGGCCCTGCCCTCGATGGTCTGGGTGTGTGGCGATATTCTCGAGCAAGAAATGTTTTCGCTCGCAGAGCACACGCTCCCTCAGGCTCCGAAGTCCAACGGTGAATGCCATAATCAGGGGGTTGTTACAATATTCAGGCAATGAGTTGTAGTACACCTCATCTTCAAACTCCTGCCGCTCTTCCCTCTGCCTCGCCGACTCCACCATAGCTGCGTCAGACACATCAGAGGGCACAGTCCATTGCGCCACCGATTCAACTTGTTGAGTTCCACGCCTACGCGCCACATGGAATAGCATACTTGCATCCGTTATCTGCTGGGCGATGCGAGGTGTGATTGCAGCAGCTAGTGTGTGTGGATCCGTACTTCCAAACTGGAGCTGAGAGAAGGGCGATTTCCACGACAGTGCCAAGATGGCGGCTATTGCAACAGCATCTGAAGGCAACGCGTTGGAGAGAATATGGGTGGATGACATTTGGTAGCACTGGTGATGTGGTGGTGCTGGTGATACAAGTGCAGCAGTGATTGCGAGATGCTCACTACCATGCCAAGGCGCTAGTTACATTGCTTTGCAGGCAGCGAGTCGGCCTTCAGCGGCACGCAGCACTCATGTAGGTTGGAAAGCACTCTCTACAAACCCGGTGTCAACTGCGGACAACGCCCTGCGGTACTTGATGATGCTAGTACTATGGATATGTGCCCAAAGCCCGGGGGCTAACGCGGCGGGCAGTACCTGAGCACGGACCCACACGATTGCCGAGCAGCGTTCACCAGCCAGCGGCAGCGGCATGCAAGTAATCGCTTCCTTGGATCTTCTCTTGGGGGCCTTTCGTCTCTGGCACCCAACTGTGATAGGAACGTGACCACGACCACCAACTCGTTAAGAAGCGTGCATCAGCATGTATCATCGGTGGCATGACTGCTGATCTCTCTTTCTCCTCTTACTATTTGATCATCGTATTCCCAGTTATAAATGGAATCGTGGTGTTTTGTGCGTCAGCGAGAGGACAAAGAAGGCCCGTCTCAACGAACGAGATCCGGCGTGGGGAGGACGTGATTCTGGAGTTTGAACGAGCAAGTGGGTCGCGGCACGTTGTGGTGTCGCTATTTATATCGCATTCTTGTGGAGTTTTGCACATGGCCGGCTCTAGCACCCCAATCCTACGAGGGTGATCAGACACCGGACAAGACAAACTGAAGACAAGCGGGCGGAGACATGTCGGCGAGTCTGGAGCCAGCGCTGTGATTGATATTGCAGATGGAGAGTGTTCTGTGTGCGTCGTAGTGTAAGTGGTCTGAGGCCTTGGGCCCATGTTCTTTACTTAGCCGCCGGCCTCTGCTCGCCGGGTAGGGATGCTGCAGCGGGACCATGTCGCCTTTTGCATGAGGCGGTGCCCATTCGCTGGACAAGCAACAGACCAGGCTCGCCTCAAGGCCAAACCTCCATGACTGATACTGCTTCGGGCCTAGACGCATTACTTGCCCAGGCCTGCTCTCAAACCGTCGTGGCCGACATGATCGACCCCGTTTGCCAGGCGTCGAATTGGCCAGCTGGGTGTCAGTCCATCACTGTTTCCGTCCGTCTTCACACTACACCGACACACAGCATGACCACGCATCCTTGCGCGCGCCGGCCTCTGCATTCTTGTGTAAGGTGACAACCACCTAGTGGTGCAGCACCCAACGCCGCCCCATATTCGACCCGTTGCAGGATTCGCCCGTACCACTGGCTGGAGCCGCTGAGGGCTTCGGCGCGGCACATCACGCTTGCTCTAACTATACTCGTAGCATAGTCTAGGTAGTAGACCAAGAGGGTTAATACTAGCCATGGCTTCAGAGCATGCCTACAATCCGGCGCCGCCGTCTCCCAGATTGCCTCCACCACCTCCTTCACCGCATCCCTCCCATCTACAGGCTCCGCAGATATCTCCCAGGCGCTTCGCTGTCCAACCTCCCCTCTTGAACACGACCCTCGCGCCGCCCCCACCGTCCGGGCACGCGTATTTGCATGGCTCGCAAAATACTCCTGCGACTGCCTCATCTTTAAGTCTGCCCTTTTCGCCATCGCGCACCCCCTCGACGTATGCGCCTTCTCCAGCCGTCGCCGCTTCTCCCATGGCTATGAGGGGCTCGGGTCCGACCGTACCATACAATCCGCAGCAATGGACGCGGGGTGGGAATACCAGTGGCCAGCATATCCAGCACAGCCAGACGTCGGTGCCGACGAGGCTTCAGGATGTCACAGGCATGGAAGGTATATATTGCTCTTCCCTTGCTTCCGAAACCCACATCGAATTCAGTAGATCCATTGAGTCTTCTATTTCTGTATAGCGTGGAATGTGTAGACCTGTCCTTGCATAGTGTACCTGTCAGCCTCGCATATGTTTCGACCATATATTTGACGTATAGCAATATGTGATGCTAACTGTACCAGCGTCGATGCCCTCCCCTCCACCTCCATATTCGCCTGGTCAAAATCCAAACTTGTCACAGTCTCTGAGTACCAGCACTACCTCATCCCCTCAAATGTCTGCCGGCGCGTTTCCTCATCCTTCCCCGGCCCCCACCACCGAGCAGCAACCCATCATCCAGCGCGACAATCTCGGGGTACCATAGCCGGCCGGGCTCTATGGTCATACCGTCGAGTGCAACGAGTATGACGTCGAATCCACAGTTTCCGCCTCCACCACCCAGAAATGGAACAGGTCGATCGGTCTCGCGTGACAAGCTGGCTTCGAAATTCAGTCTGTCGTCGTTCAGGAACCGGAATAGTGATCATAGTCCTGGCCCAAGCAACATCGACTCGCTCCACATCAGCACTTCAGATGCGATCCAGAGAGCCCCAGCTTCACCTGGGTTGGTCGCACAGCGGGCCACTTCCAAGTATGCATTGGATCCGAGGTTATCAAGCACGTCAAGACTAATGTAATTGTAGTTACATAGCGAACACCTTTGTTGAGCGGCGTTACAGTCCTGAGACACAGTCGCCCATAAGGCCTCCTACCTCTCGAAGGGCAGCATCTGCTGGCGTACCAGGCTACGAGACACGAACACCCATTGATGAGTCGCCTATCGTCCCATCAGGAAGCTGGAGTCGCAATGTGCCGTTACCCCCACCTCCCCCCGGTCCTCCACCTAGTAGTTCAAGGTCGCAGAGTATGGGGCCTGGGACAGAGCCTACATCGAGCCGAGGACCTACGCTCCCTTCTGCACCACCTACAAGAAGACCGGGTCAAACAACGCTGACGCCCATTCCTCCGACACCCATGGGCTGGCAAGATGAGCCTACTAATGTGCGGTCAAAATCCCCGGCAGCCCATGGCCTACACATTGACACGAGCCCCCGTGCTGTTTGTCCAGGTGAGCAGCCTGGACCGGTATCAGAAAGTGGGAGCGTTTCCGTTTCATCAGGGCCAACTACCATCACTTCAATATCTGCATCCAGTAGTAATCTCCAGCGCACACCTCACAAACGTGACACAAGTACCCGGGGAATTCGAGAACGAAGAAGTGAGAGTCGGGCAGCTCGAGAGCACCGTACAGAGCCAAGCAATAACCCCTGGGCACAAGATCTAGATACAGAAGCAGCCAAACCAGCGAATCTTGATCTCGGAACGCCAGAAGGCGGATTGACGCGTCGCGGTGCTGTCACAAGAGGCACTCCAAGAAGCAGTGGTGCTCTTCGATCACCACGAAGCGGACATTTGTTTGACGATCCTGGGTCTTCAAACTCTACACCTCGAGTGGATACACCTTCAAGGGGCGCATTCATGGCTGTCCCAACACCACCTTTCTCGCCAGGTATGGAATATCTCAGTCGTTCAGCCCAGAAAGCTCCAGTCTCGCTCCCCTCCAAAGCGTTACCTACTCCACCACTTCGTATCTATGCCGATGAGAGGAACACAGACCTGACTCATCAATCAGGAGCTGTAAACGATGGTACTATTCACACGCCAAACGCCTCACATGTCGCAGTACAGGATTCGACGATAACCACACCGAGACAATCAGACGCTCATAATTTTGCCCGTGCCGCCATGGACCGACATCGAAGCTTCATTGAGAAAGAGATGGCGGCTGAAACAGATCAAGATAGACTGGAGTTGTTCGCGGAATTCATTGTTACCGAGTCAAGGCTTCGCCGCGACCGTTACTCTGGAGCCTTTGATGCAATGGCTGGAGATATCATGGATCTGACAAGGGATATGTGGCGCTCATACGGTAACTCCGGTCGCAGATCGGCTACACCAAATACTCAGGTCACCCCTGCGGGACGTGGTAACAGAAGATCTCAAGGCTCAGTCACAGGCGAATCTCCGGATACCCGTTTCTCCAACTCGATGCCGACTACTGCTGCTAGCCCTGCATCTTCTATTGGGAACTTCACGCCGCACACCGAACCAGCGTCTCCGTCCAGTGCATCCAGCCAAAAAGCCCGAGATGTCTCATGGACTAATAATTATCACCCATCACTTTCGCCCATTCCAAGCATGGCTATGAGTACCATTCCTGACGAACAAGACTCCAGAGGTCGATCGGCAAGCCGCTGGTGGGAAAGCGACGGTGGCTCTTCAGGCGTGGGTGGTGACAGAAGACTGGAGCGGAGTAAGAGAGAGTCCAAGTACATGAGTTTGCCGAAAGAGGCCCGCGAGAATCTACAGTGGGCAGGTATGGATCAGAACACTCCAATCCAACGAGGCGAGTCTAGTAGTCGACCAGCGTATGGACCCAACGATTACCCTCCCGAGAAAGTTGGTCTACATGAAGAGAGTCTACAGCTACCACAACAACAACCTTATGGGTACTATGCAAGGTCGACTACAACAACGCCTGACCCACACAAGCTGGATGTTTCGAGACTGGTCACGCTTCCGCCATCCTACCCTCGACATCATCCCGCAGTAAACAATAGTCATCCTGACTTGACTACAATACGGAGCAGCTTGCGCAGTCTTTCGGAACTGGATGAAGTCAAGAATACAAAGGCAAAGTTCAAGGCTAAGATCGAAGCAAGGAAAGAGCAGGAGAATGCTTCCTTATCCGATCGAAGGGCACAACTCCGGTACAATATCCAGGACAATCTGCGAAATGGTGTCATGTCATTTGCAGAGGCTGCGAAGGCAGAGGCAGATTTCGAGAATCGTGAGCATCAGAGAGCTCAAGACGTAGTTCAATGGATATTCGACAGCTTCCAGGCCGAGGTGGCCAATCCCCTGCACGCCATGTTCTGCGAGCGTATCACGAAGGCCACGGCATCGATGGAGCATCTCAAAGGGCGCCTGTCCAGTGAAGCGCAAGAGCCAAACCCTAACCAAACGCAGGAAGAAGGTGATGAGAAACCAGAACTCCTAGAGATGCTCACTTTGCTCAAATGGCTGTTTGAAGCACGGGAACAACTGCACAAGGAAATGTTTGAGCTGGAAGATGAGCGCAACGACCTCTACCGGGATATCATCGTTCTCCCCTATGTCCAAACCAACAACGATCAGAAGGTCAAGGAAGCCACCACATTCTTCCAGCGCGATGGACAAGACCGCAAGGTTGCTTTTGAGAAGGAAACACTCAAACGGTACGAGGACCTCATGAACGTCATTGAGCAGAACGTCACTCGCGGTGTCGAGGCTCAGTTATCTGCATTTTGGGATATTGCGCCTGGACTGCTGGAGATTGTGCAACAGGTTCCTCGGAATCTACAGGGCTTCGAAGTTCTGGTCCCACCGCAAGAGTATGAAGAAACACCGGCATACCATGACTACCCGTTGCAGTATCTCTACACACTTCTAGCGCATGCGGGTCGCTCTGCACATCAGTTTATTGAATCTCAGATCAATTTGCTGTGTCTGCTGCATGAGGTCAAGACCGGAGTCATGACGGCCGGCTCGCGACTGCTTGAGACACAGCGACTGATGGAGGGCGAGGATCTGGCAGGAGTGAACCAAGAGATGAAAGCCATTAGGGCAGACGAGGAACGACGACTCACGGATGATCTGAAGGAGAAGGTCGGCCTGGTGGAGAGCCAATGGAATGAAGCGCTTGGCCAGGGTTTGGAAGACTGCAAAACACGAGTAGAGAATCACCTCACCGAGCAAGGTGGCTGGGACGATACTTTGCGCGAGTAATGTTGTATATACGGAGCATTTGGAACATGATTCTTTTGGCAGATTTTAGCGTTCACGCGCGAGCACCGATACCCTTTTGCGAACTCTGTTTGGACGACTGTTGGTTTCTATCATGTTATTTGGTAGTTTGAATACAACAGGGATACGCCTTGAAGGCGTCGCGATTGTTCTTTCCACAAGCCCATCGTTCATCTGCCGGCATCGTGCATGTATGCTGTGTATCGTCTCACGAGATGCGCCTTAACCTAGACAGTCGTGGTGGAGAATTTCTTACCCCTCACTACATGAAAGCCTCTGTGTCTTTGTTCCTATTTCGTAAATATCACCTTTGATCCGCACATCCTTTATCTTGAAGCCACATGTACGGTCCGGCGCATTGGTACACGCCCGGGCCTGTTGTAAGGCGCTCGTATAATTTGCGAATCTGACATGTGATACACCCCGCCAGGGTCTATTTTGTGGCCGTTGCCGTAGCCGTTGCGCTTGTGTTCGCCTTCCCGAAACAGCGGCAAACAAGAAACATGGCACTGCCCAGGTGCCCTCTCCTTCCATGGTTCTGATGTCACTGCACTTTTTTTCTGCCCCTCCATTGCCATTGTCGGTCCCGCAGCAAGGCTCTTTCATTCACCGCCCTGGCTGCGCTGTCCCAAACGGGCTAAGCGGAGAGGGCACGGACCGCCCAAAAAAACGCCGCACACACCTGCCCATAAAGACTGATGACCTCGTTGTGTCTTGCACCCCAAACGCTTACCCACGCCAACTACACTCACCAGCTCTCAAAGCCCCGGTTCCCAGCGGACCGTTCATAACAGAAAAAGAAACAAAAAAATACAGAAAACAACAAGAAAAGCCCGTCCGACGACGACCTCGCCAACTCTTCGTCTCTTCCTGTCGCTAGCCCCCGACAGACGTCTTACTTGAGTTCGCTTTTTTCGCAAGAAGAAGATTTCAGCGCACTCGCCTCGCAAATACCTTTGAACCGGTATTACAACTTTGCTACCCCGCACCTGCTCTGTTGCAACAGTTCGAAGATCAAGGTTCGTGGTTAAACTTTTTTTTGCGAAGCGAGCGCACCTGCACTTGTCGACCCTGAATCCTGCCCGCAACATTCGGGCAAGTTCGACTGACCTACCGCCACTCAGATAGACACACATCATGTCTGAAGTTGCCAACGCTACCTCGCCCGTCCAGGACGGTGCTGACGCCAACGGCGCTCAGATCAACACCAACGTCCCCGCTGCCCAGGGCGAGGTCTCCACTCCCACCTCCGCTGCCCCCGCCCACAACCAGAACTCTGCGTCGCTGTATGTTGGCGAGCTCGATCCCTCCGTTACCGAGGCCATGCTCTTTGAGCTGTTCTCCTCCATTGGCCAAGTCGCGTCTATCCGTGTCTGCCGTGACGCCGTTACCCGTCGCTCGCTCGGTTACGCCTATGTTAACTACAACAGCTCTGAGGACGGCGAGAAGGCCCTCGAAGAGCTCAACTACACCGTTATCAAGGGCAAGCCTTGCCGTATCATGTGGTCTCAGCGCGACCCCGCTCTGCGCAAGACTGGTCAGGGCAACGTCTTCATCAAGAACTTGGACCATGCCATTGACAACAAGGCTCTCCATGACACATTCGCCGCTTTTGGTAACATCTTGAGCTGCAAGGTTGCTCAGGACGAGCTTGGTAACTCCAAGGGTTACGGGTTCGTGCACTACGAGACTGCTGAGGCCGCCAACAATGCTATCAAGCATGTGAACGGCATGTTGCTTAACGAGAAGAAGGTATTCGTGGGCCACCACATCCCCAAGAAGGAGCGCATGAGCAAGTTCGAGGAGATGAAGGCCAACTTCACCAACATCTACGTCAAGAACATCGATCTCGATGTCTCTGACGAGGACTTCCGTGACCTCTTCGAGAAGCACGGTGACATCACCTCTGCCTCCATTGCCCGCGACGACCAGGGCAAGAGCCGTGGATTTGGTTTCGTCAACTACATCAAGCACGAGGCTGCCTCTGCTGCTGTTGATGCTCTCAACGACACCGACTTCCGCGGTCAGAAGCTCTACGTCGGTCGTGCACAGAAGAAGCATGAGCGTGAGGAGGAGCTCCGTAAGCAGTACGAGGCTGCGCGTCTCGAGAAGCAGTCCAAGTACCAGGGCGTCAACCTGTACATCAAGAACCTCAACGACGATGTCGACGACGAGAAGCTGCGTGACATGTTCACTCCTTTCGGTACCATTACCTCCGCCAAGGTCATGCGTGATGCCATGCCTGCTGCGGGCTCCGAGGATGCGACTGATGAGAAGAAGGACGAGTCCAAGGAGGAGTCTGAGGAGGCCAAGGACGAGTCCAAGGAGGATTCCGATGACAAGAAGGATGAGAAGGCCGACAAGGTCACCATCAAGGGCGAGAAGAAGATCCTCGGTAAGAGCAAGGGCTTCGGTTTCGTCTGCTTCAGCAACCCCGACGAGGCTACCAAGGCTGTCACCGAGATGAACCAGAAGATGATCGAGAACAAGCCTCTCTACGTCGCCCTTGCCCAGCGCAAGGATGTCCGCAAGAACCAGCTCGAGGCTACCATCCAGGCTCGCAACCAGCTCCGCATGCAGCAACAACAGCAGCAACAATTCGGTGGCATCCCTCAGATGTTCATTGCACCTGGTCAGCAGCCCATGATGTTCCCTGCCGGTGGCCGAGGTCAGATGCCGTTCCCCGCTGGCATACCTGGTCAGCAAGGCGGCCGTGGCGCTGGCTTCCCTGGCGGCATGCCCGGTCAGCAGGGCGGTCGCGGCGGACCCAACGGTCAGCAGATGCCCCCCATGTACATGCCTCCTGGCATGGCACCCGGTGCCTTCCCTCCTGCGTACATGAACCAGCAGTACATGCAGCTTGCACAGGCAGCACAGCAGGCTATGGGCGGACGTGGTGGTCGCGGTGGCGTCCCCATGGCTCCTATGCCCGGTATGCCTCAAGTGCCCATGGCTGGTGTTCCTGGTATGCGCGGCGGTCAGGGCTTCCCTCCTCAGGGCGCTGGACGTGGCGGTATGCCTCAAGGCCGTCCTGGACAGTCTCCTATGCCTAACTACCCTCCGGGTGGCCGCGGCGGTCCTGGAGGCGCCGGTGTTGACATGAGCGCTTTGCAAGGTGCTGCCCCCGGCCAGCAGAAGCAGATGCTCGGTGAGGCTCTTTACCCCAAGATCGCCGAGATGCAGCCCGAGCTTGCTGGAAAGATCACTGGTATGCTTCTCGAGATGGACAACAGCGAGTTGATCAACCTGTAAGTGTTACCTCGCCTTATTCTAACTAGTTGGTATTAACATAGTCAGCACTGCCGACGAGGCTGCTCTCCGCGCCAAGGTTGACGAGGCTATGAGCGTCTATGACGAATACGTCAAGAACAAAGAGGGTGAGCCTGAGAAGGACGCTCCCAAGGAAGAGTCCAAAGAAGAAAAAGCTTAAACTTCTTTCTAGTTGCCGCTGAGTAGAGCTCGGTCCGCGATTCTCTCGAACGGCAGCAAGTTGTGATGGCTTAATGATTTCTTTCGGCGGCGAATGGCGCACGGGCAACGGTTTTCTCTCACGACATGGGACGGCTTTCATGACCAATTGCACTCAAAAGTTTTACGATTCGATGTCGGCTTTCTCAGCTTCCAGGTTGCATTCACCTCACGGCGAGCCTGGTAGTAACACCTTCTTCTTTAACGACCGACTCCTTGACTGGAACATCGGACGTGATACGAAATACTCAATCTCCATCTTCCGAGTTTGGTTCTTCCCTTCTTTATGGTTTCTTTCCTTGAAATTGCTTTTAGTATGTATGATAGACGGCCCCCCGTCTTCTGACGACATGACAGGGTGTGGGCCAGTGGTGGGACTTTTCAGCGCAAACAAATTTGATACCTCACAAGTCGGCAGCCATGATGAATGAATGAACTGGCTTTTACATGTTTGGGGTTCGGGCGTCTCGAGAATGGTTTGGGACAGGGCTAATGGATGAATGGTAGATGATGATCATGGTGGATGTGGTGTGCATGGCTTAGTGTTTGATATATCTAGTACAAGGCTGGATAGGTCAGTGAGGGCGTGCGCTGCGATAGAGATCTTATGAACGTAGATGATACTCATTGATCTCAGTATAGATTACCTGACTTGTTGTGGTGATTTCAGACGCTGTGACTTGACAATGACCTTCATGAAGAATTTACTTGATCGTCAAAGCCTCTGCCATGATCGACTTGTTGGAAAGAGGTAACGTATATCACAGCACATGACTCCATGTTATCGTTGGGCGATTTCTTCACATCGAAATCAAAGTATCAGATAGTTGTTTATTACTCTCGAGCATCAGCGATACAATCACCCTATCTGCCCTTGAATCATTACGATATTTGACAACAAAGTGTTCTACCGCCACCTAACCAGCACACTATTTCTGATATTTCTTGTGCGCGTCAATGACCTTTTGGACTTCACCTTCTGAGCCCAAGAAGATGCCTGATCGGTCGTGGATGTGCTCGGGAACGACTTCGAGCATGCGCTCCATCTTGCTGTTGACTGCCAAGCCGCCAGCTGTGCATATGTTAGTACTTGCTATCGGCATGGGGGATTAAGTTCGGGAGCCATACCATTCTCGAAAACCATGGCCATAGGCGCGCACTCGTAGAGAATGCGCAGCTTGCCCTTTGGTGTCTTCTTATCTGCGGGATATGCGAAAATACCTCCATATAGCAGTGTTCGGTATGCATCTGCAACCATGGAACCAATGTATCGTGCGCTGTATGGTTTCCCGCCCTCGGCAGGGTTCTTGAGGCTATTGCACCAGTCCTTGACGGGCTCTTCCCAGTACATGCTGTTACCCTCGTTGACAGAGTAGATAGACCTAGTCTTGGGAACCTTCATGTCTGGGTGAGTGAGGATGAACTCTCCGAAGGCGTTGTCAAGAGTGAAGCCGTTGACATTGCCGCCCTTCATCGTTATGACTAGTTGAGCAGATGCGCCGTACATGGTGAAGCCTGAGGCAACCATTTCGGTGCCAGGAAGGAGCAGCTCTTCCTTTACACCCTTGGAGCCCTCGGGAAGCTTGTATACTGCGAAAATCGTGCCGACGGAAACACCAGCGTCGAGGTTGGAGGAACCGTCGATTGGATCGCAGGCTACGGCGTAGCGGGCATTGGGGTGCTCATGGAAGACGATGGCCTCTTCTTGCTCTTCAGAGATGAGGAGGCGCACGCGACCCGAGGAGCGCATAGCGCTGATGAAGAGTTCGTCGCCAATCACATCAAGCTTCTTTTGGTCATCACCAGTGGTATTAGATGTACCTTGGAGGCCAGTGAGCTGCGCATGTCAGTCGATGTCAGTCAGGAATATGGAGGTGTCGCGTACGTTGATCAATGTTGCTCTTCGGATGTAGTATGCAATACTCTTGAAGGCGAATTGAAGCGCGTGGCATAGCAGTCTGTAGCAGGCAGAGTTAGCTATCTGGGTCCAAAGTACTAGTTTGACATGTGAACGCACGTGAAGTCTCCTGTCGCCTCCTTGACCTTGGCCTGCTCTTCAGTGAGGAATCGTGTGAGGGTGATGATGTCTGTGTTGATCTTCTCCTGCGCAATTGCTCCTCCCTCGCCGTTGCCGTTGCTTGCCATATTTTATAGGCTTTGTTGTGTCGGATATATAGTACAAGTGGTACGTGGTTGAAGGGCTACAGATTTCAATAATGGTATCAACGATGAAGCAAAGATGAGCGTGAGTATGGGGAATGGGGAAGTTTGGAGAAGACGGTGAAAAGCTATCAAGCTCGAGTTCAGCAAAAGCGGAGCCAGGTGTTATTATGAAGTCAGGGTGGGTAGAGTCGGGCAGGCGGACCACACTTTTGTGCCATTTGTTTGGCAGGCGCACTGGAGCTATAGCCCTCGGCAAGAGATCGGGTGTGACGAGCTCACGATACCTCAACCGCCGATAGCAGCCACAGTCAGTCCGGATGAAGGCCGAATTTCTCGTAAAAGATATGCCGAGATTGGTGCTCGACGCGGTCTGGTCATAGACGAGACGAGTAGATTGCTGAGCTGGGCGGCATTTGACGCGCTTTGTTGCGGGAGCGCGCGTGCTAAAGGCAATGATGCGGTGCGGAGGCGGAAAAGTGGAGGGGCACGAGTGCGAGGGGTTGGCGGGGCTCCTGCCCATGTAGACCGCGACACTGACGTTTGCCCGACATCTTCCGGCCCGCGGACATAGAGCCATCCCATCACCATCCTGTGCCCGTCAGCTTCAGCCTCAGTCTTTTGTTTCGCATCGACTTCTACCTGATATGGCTACACTGCAACACGGCTAAAACTAACTGCCATTCAATCCCTCGGAAGAATTTCATCACATGGTCTTGTGTAGATACATGTCGTTCATCGCGTCCCTATCTGCTTTGATCAAGTCACTATGTTTCGCTCTACTTCACCCGAGACCCACGAACGAGTCGGAACATCTTTTGGTTATCACACGGTCTGTGCTTGTGATCATACATGCTACAGTCACGGCATGGGAACAGATACCGAATTATAACAGAGAAACATGCAGCTTTTTTATTACACTAGAGCAAGCAAAACTCCGCAGTGATGGAAATATACAGCTACACAGTCCTATAGACCCAGCCACCTAAGTCCCAATTCGCCTTCATGGCATCGCAGGAATGGGAATAATGCAATGCAACTAACGATAAGTCTGGCCTACAGAAGTCTAAGAGAAATCCTACTCGCTCTTCAACTTGTCCTGCTTGACCGTAAAGGCCATCTCCAACAGGGCCTTCTCCTCGTTCTTGTGCGAGACCTTCAGTCCGGTGGCAACGGATGCACTGGGGTTGCGCCCGGCGTACATGACGTGCCTCCTGTTGTGGTGCTGTGTCTCGTTGAGAAGCGTCTCGATTCTGGGCTGGGTGAAGCTCCATGCACCAGCATTGAGTGGTTCTTCTTGGCACCAGATGATGTTCTGTGCGTTGGGGTACGAGTCGAGATTGTCCTTGAGTTGCTGCCATGGGAAGGGGTTCAGCTGTTCGATGCGTGTAATGGCAACGTCCTTCTCGCCACGGGCTTCACGCTCCTTGACGAGCGCTGCGTAAACCTGACCTGTGCAAATGATGACTCGGTTGATTCCCTCATGCGACTCAATCTCACCAGTTGCGTGCGCCGGGTCTTCAATGATCCACTGGAAGTGTGAGTCTCCAGTGAATTCTTCAATGTTGGAACGCGCGATCGGGTGTCGGAGGAGCGACTTGGAGAAGAAGAGAACAAGCGGCTTGCGGAATTGACGGTTCATCTGACGACGGAGAAGATGGAAGAGGTTCGATGGCTTCGTGGTGTAAGCAATCTGCATGTTGCAGTCCTGGTGTTGACGGTCAAGCTTGTCCGGTGATGGGAAGATACGCGGGTCCTCGTTGCACAATTGCAGATAGCGCTCCATACGTCCCGAGGAATGTTCAGGACCCTGACCGTCGTAACCGTGTGGCAAGCTCATTACGAGACCGGAACGCTGAAGCCACTTGACCTCACCAGAAGCGATGAATTGATCGATGATGACCTGGGCCGTGTTGGCAAAGTCACCGAATTGGGCTTCCCACATAACGAGAGCGTTGGGGGAAGACAGCGAGTAACCGTACTCGAAGCCGAGCCTGCGAATGATTAGCTAATGTGACGTGTAACAAGACGCTTCCTTTTGCTTACACTCCGTATTCACTTAGGGAAGAGTTGCTGATGGTGAAAGTTGCCTGGTCTGGGCTAAGGTCTTGCAGAGGTGTGTATGTCTTCTCTGTCTCCTGGTCGTGGAGCACAGCATGGCGCTGGGAGAAGGTTCCACGCTCGACATCTTGTCCGGAAACACGGACGTGATGGCCTTCCATGCACAGACTTCCGAACGCCAGTGCTTCCGCCGTGGCCATATCGATGTTCTTGCCGTCCATGACAGTCTTAGTGCGGCCAGCTAAGATACGCTTCAAGTTCTTGTGTACGTTGAAGTCCTCCGGTGCGCTTCCAATCTTCTCCGCAATGTGCTTCAATTGAGACTCCTCGATTGCAGTTGGTAGATGAGGCAGTACTTCGGTAGCAAGCTCCTTGGGCGACTTGAAGCCGTTCCAGGCCGAAGTGAGCCACTCCTTGGAGTTGGGAACGTAGTCCTTGCTGCGGCTGAAGCTCTCATCTAGCATACCCCAGACCCAGGCCTTGTGCTCGTCAATGTCTTCTTTAGTGAATGTCTTTTCTTCTAGGAGCTTCTTGGTGTAGATGTCTAGTGTTTGCGGTTGTTGGGAGATCTTCTTGTACATTAAAGGCTGAGTGAAGAAAGGCTGGTCGGTCTCGTTGTGACCCTGTTTCCTGTAGCAGACCATGTCAATCACGACATCCTTCTTGAACTCAGCACGGAAATCGGCTGCAAGTTGGCAAACAAAGTTGAGAGCCTCGACATCATCACCGTTGACGTGGAAGACAGGTGCATCAATGGCCTTGGCGATATCCGAGCAGTATGGAGTGGAACGAGAGAATCTGGGATCGGTAGTGAAACCAATCTGGTTATTGACGATGATGTGGATTGTTCCACCAGTGTGGTAGCTGGGGAGCTGGTGGAAACCCATGGTCTCGTATACAACACCCTGTGCGGCGAAAGCAGCATCACCGTGGAGAAGAACGCCCATAGCACTCGTGGCGTCCTTTTCGTCGTTGTTGTAGTGCAGAATAGCGCGGGTCTTTCCAAGAACAACGGGGTCCTCGGCCTCCAAATGGGATGGGTTAGCGACCAGGGAGAGCTGGACACGCTTTCCAGATGGCGTGGGTCGCTCAAAGTTCATGCCCAAATGGTACTTGACGTCACCAGAGCCCTCCTCGTTGGCCTCGGCAGTACCAGCAAATTCACTAAAGATGGATTCGTTGGGTTTCCTGACAACGTTGGAAAGCACGTTAAGACGTCCACGATGCGGCATGCCAATGACGATGTCCTTGACGCCAAAGTCGACACTTCGGTCAATCAGGGCCTTCATTCCCGGAATCAAACTCTCACCACCTTCTAGACCGAAGCGTTTGTCGTTGGGGTATTTGGTAGCCAGGAAAGCCTCGAAATTGGTACCCCAGATGAGGCGGTCCAGGATGCGGCGCTTCTCGTCGACAGAGTACTTGAATGGGGTGGGGACCTCGATGCGTTCACGGAGCCAGTCGCACTGCTCCCTGTCCGGGATGTGAATGTATTCGATACCATAGGAACCGCAGTAAAGACGCTCACAGGCTTCAATGATCTCCTTTAGCTTCATCTTCTTGCGGCTCTCGGTCCTGAAGCGCGGCAGAATACCCGGGCCCAGCTCGATATCTTGCTCCAGGTCCTTGTCGGTGAAGTTGTAGTGCGACAGCTCAAGCTCACGCGGCTTGCTGTATCCGAATTGCTCGGCCTCTGAGCGAATGCCCAGTGGGTCGATCTTTGCCTTGTGGTGACCGCGGGCCTGGTAGGCTCGCACGAGCAATTGGACCTTGAGATGGTTCATGACCTCGGTGCCTTCGGCGGCGGCCATGCCCATTCCCGGCTTGTGGGTGGCGCCCTGGGGCGAGCTCATGATGTTGGGCGGCGGTTGGAAGGCTTGCGACACGGGCATGTCGCCAGACTCCATGTTGTGGAAATAGACCTGCCATGAGTAGTGAACGCTCGAGGGGTCCTGCTTCCACTGCATGTACATGGCATCGATGTAGTTTGCCGTGTTGCCTTGGAGAAACGAGTCGTTGGGGTCCTATGCGGTCATGGTTAGCCATGGTCGCAGAGTTTGAACATGAGGTCTGGGGCTCCACGCACAACGCCCTTGTTGGTGTCTTCCGAGGAAACTGCATATTGGCGACGCTGCGCAAGGGCGAGAGGCCTGCGACATGTCGAAATGGCAGCCCTCGATGGCTGTGCGAGGCTAGAGAAGGATGCCTTTGCCGGCGTGCTCAGCAGCTGGCGGGAGCATTGGCGCAGAGTATTGCGCAGCATGGTGGATTAAGATGTCAAAGCGGACGTGGGGATGTGTGTCATCCAAGCCGACGATGGTGGACAGAAGAAAGCTTCTGCGGTAGCAATGTGCCGTCTACTAGAATATGAGGAAGCCTGGCATGAGCACATGCGTACGGCCCCGTGTCCTGGTCTAGCGCGCGGTGGATCGAGCCTGGTTCCGACTGGCCTCACCAAATGCCTCAAAACACGATTAACTCAGGCAAGTGTTTGAGCCTGACTCAACTCCTTTTTCCTCGCTACCGGCCCTGTGACGGGCATAAGACGAGTGCCGCGTACTACCTCTTGCCTTTGAATGCGCAAACATGACACTGCCCTTTGTTGCCCGTCACAGCCCAGGAACGAGACTGACTGCCTATGACGCACCAAATGCTCATGAGGATACTCGGAGGCGCACTAGCCAATAGTAGCGCACGTCTTATGTAAAGCCTGGCGCAGGTGTGTTCTGCAGCCGATAGTGTTTGCACAAGTGGCCAAGCCTACCGCGCTGACACGGATATGTATCCGCTGCAGCAGAACTGTATTGACCTTCTTGGCTGATACGCTGCCCATTCACCCATCTGCGATGACATGCGTCAGCATCAGTCAATGAACAGTCAAACGAACGAGATACCACGGTGGGGAGAGGGGGGGTGGTACGCTCCTTGGGCCCGCCCTGGTTTGCATCTCATGTCCGTCAGTGGCTCTTGATTAGGTCAGCGGTCAAAAGCCAAATACCTAGGTACCTTACCAGTGAGGGATGCGGCTAAATGTGTAGATGCGGCTGATGCGCGGTCACGTGCACCGCGTCAGTCTGGGGAAGCCAAAGATAGACTAGTACATACTTCCATCGCTGGTGCGCGTCAGACTCAAAGACTCAACACCACAGCCGCCACCCATACTCGCACTAGAATGACTGACGCCGCGGCTCAGTACAAGAAGCAGGATGGCATCGTCTCTGTGTCTGCCGATGGCAAAACAGTGACCTGGAAGTCTGCCAGCGGTGCGCTTCCTCCGCTGTCCATAGCCATAGCAGACATTGGAAGTATGCCTACACCAAGACAAGGGAAGTTGACAAGTTGCTAAACTGTTCAGATCTCCAGCAGACGCCCGCTACCTCGGCCAAAGCCTCCATAAAGATTGTCGTAAAGGAGCCATCACCGCAAACCGGAAACCACACTTTTACCTTCACCTCCACGGCCGCTCGCAATGATCAGCAGAACATAACCAGCCTGTTGCGCAAGTGGATTGAGGCTTCCAAACAGCAAAGTGAAGCTTCTCCAGCGCCTGTTGCTGCTGCTGTTGCTGCTACTGCTGGAGCCGGAGGCGACAATGGCGCATCGGCTGCCATGGCTATGGCCCAGACCGTGACGGCAGCTGGCAAGGACAAGGAGGAGACGTACGAGGATGCAAAGCTACTCGCTGATACTGCGCTTCAAATGTCACTGCTCAACTCGAGCCCAGCACTTCGTCAACGCTTCGATCGTGCTCTCTTGGAGAAACCCGAGTCTGTCGGCGTCTTGCAATTTTCTATGCAGTTCTGGTCTACTCGCGTGCACATGTTGAGGTCACATGCGACGGAGAGATCGCAGACTACCGGAACATACAACGTCTTGTCCGTTATCAAGTCAAAGTCAGTCAATGGCACTCTGATGCTAAACTTGACAAAAGAGCAAATTGAGCTCCTTTTCAGGCAGCACCCCATAGTTCAGAAAGCCTACAACGAGAATGTTCCCCAACTGAGCGAAGGCGATTTCTGGGAGAGATTCTTTCACAGTCGCTTAATGAAAAAACTAAAGGGCGAGCGCATCCAAGATAAGGATGTGTCCGACCCGAAGCTCGACAAATATCTGACTTATGATGAGGCAGCAGATAGTTCCCAGGACCTGCTTGCTTCTTCCATTCCCAACTTCATCAATATTGAGGCAAACGAAAACAATCATAGTCAGAAGCAGGGCAACCGACCCGACTTCACCATGAACCCATCCAATTACGAGAAAGCACCCATCCTCCGAGTCCTGAATCGTATGAGCGAGAAAATGATGAAGGATGTCCCACCTTCCGACACGAGTCGGCATGGTCCAGTTGGGCTCGATGAGCAGACCTACAAGGAGTTACGGTTGCGTGACTTGCAGCTTGCCGACGATGACAACAGGGTTGTTCTCAAAGTACATGATCAGAGCCGATTCTTCTCCGCAGGCCAGAGCGTACACACGTCTACGAGTGCTGCGACATATACGAAGCGTACACCTGCTGAGGCACTTTCTACTCTGCAGAAGGATCTTCGCAAGTTCGACGAGCATAATGGTCGCTCTTCGACCGTTGATCTCCATTCCATAATCGACATCAACGATGAAAGCAGTAGTGATGAGGAGGGTCCTGCTCCCAAGAAGACAAAGGTTGGGAGCAAATCTTCGCGCAGTGCAGCCTCTTCACAGGTTCTGACTGCTGTTCGAAAACGGCATCTGCACAATGACGACCTGTCATCCTCAAACTCTATATCTACAAGTGAACGAGCCAAGGAGCTAGACGTTTCCGAAGTGATACTTGACGATCTTACCATGACACACAACACCACTGTCGAGTTTCTCCATTACTTCTGGGCGGTATTTTATTCGGGGGATCCAGATCGCGCCAACGAGATTGCACGGCTCATTGAGACACTGGATAAGTCGCTCGACCGCATCAAGGCTGTAGCCGATAGGGCAGAGGCAGACAGGGTGGCCAGAATCGAGCAAGCACGCAGAGAAAACGAGCTGTCCAATCAACGAGAGAGAAAGAAAAGAAGATTCGATCCTGAGGCCATCAAGGGTGGGAAACAAGCCATTAATCAAATCGTGGATCCTCTGCTTCGAGCGATCGATGCGGCGCGGGGTCAATACCAAAAAGCACTACAGGAACAGATAGCGCGCAATTCCGCGAACACAACTGCATGAGCTGATCAAAGATCAATGTGATGCAAACGTCGACTGCCTTTTCATTTCTTACATAGCGAAGGCGTTTGTGAACCTGGCTCTTTGCACAGTAGACATTCGGAAATAATCATTCATGCCACTCAATGCTTGGGATGAACTGCGTTATGGTTCAGAGACCGACTATTATTCCATCATCTCAAGGTCAGATGTAGATCCTCTATATGAAGGTCGATGCTTTTCAATCTCCATCAATGTGCAGATAGATGTAATCACTTCAGGTAGCTCGTTACAAACAACAATGACATGTGCGGATGCATACAAGCGAGACTTGCATCCAAAGTGGGGCATTCTATCTGACAAGCGGAGTTTGGGAAACTGAGTATGTTTGCAGTGATGGTCTGATGTCACGAAGCTGCTGCAGTGGACTCGGCAAACTCCACTAGTTGGCTGCATATAACGCTAGATAATTCGACGTGTTTTTGAGACCCTTAAGCCGGAGATCGCGTTACTCTACATGTACATTTCTGTATGACATACCCAGTAGACAACAATGACGTATAACTGCAAACAAGGAGAACGGAAACTACTGTGTCAGGAACGACAGTGGGTAGATTTCTTCAGTCCGGGCTTGCTGTCCGGATGTAGGGTGAGTATTGTCAATGCCTACTTCAACCGTCAATACGCACCAAATGAGCTCGCGTACTGCACACGAACATGACCGTCTACGGGCCCGGAATACACCGGCACGAGACCCCTGATCTGAGCTTGTGCCCCACTTATTGCGTAGTTTGACTATGCTCTGGGGAAGCTTATCGTCACCACAACTCACTCATCCAAAGTGACCAGCACAGGCAGTTGCAGTACTAACATTGAAAGGAGACCGTCATCCAAACAGAGAATGTTGGCAAAACTAATGAAGGTTCGAAGCGGTAGAAATGACCTCTGTCGCTTCTGGAGACGAAGACGACCACGACCGAGCCGACCGCAAAGCGAACGGCGCTGGGAAATCTTGTGGCCGAAATTTTGCAAGGAGAAAAAGTACAGGACATTAAAGAGCGATACTGAAGAGCAGGAACGATTGAACGCCATCGCTGCTGGCCGAGCGAACAACAAACCGAAATCGTAACACCTATATCATCCAACTGAGCAGAGTCTGCACGACATCCTAAACATCTACAAAGGCAGGTGCCGTCGCAGACTTGCGTTCTTCTCCTTTATACTACTGTCGTCATTTTGAGAGTGGTGTATGGACTGGACCTCATCTGCGGTAATAGTCACGAGCTGGATCATAGTATAGCTGTGTCCCTAAGGCTAGTCAGCGATGAACACCCGGTTTCGAAGTTCCCTCTTCTCACTAGTACATATGGGCACTCACCTCCACCACGTGGGGCACTACTGGTGTTTGGGACTCTATCTCTCGGCCTATTGTCCCTGCAAAGACAATAAGTGCTGCCCGCCGATGGCGATATGATCTCGTTCAACGTACCTATAGCGAAAGCTATGCCAGAGGTACCACCTGGCCACCCAGTTTTCTTCATTGACCTGTGTCTGATAACGCCCGAGTTCGTAGCACTTTCGTGTTTCATCGGAAGCACTGCGAACTACCAGCAAGACGTGCGAGTGCTTCGCAGTTTCCGATATCTCGTCCCACCTGTAGGGCTCCGCTACAGAAGGATCTGCTCTTGAGTGTTCTGTCAAGCTATACGGGTTTCTGCTCAACGCGTCACGAGCAGCTTCGGCTTCTTTCTATACACGGACTCTATCAGCAACAGAATATCGACAGCAACATATTGCCTTACAAGAAGTAACCTGTGGACGCGATCGTTGATCCCCAGACGTTTGCAAATGGTGCTCTTGTCGGCACTCTGGGAGATAGGAGGCAAAGTCATGCTCGAGGCCTTGGCCTTTGAGGATTGTGTTTCACGCGGCGATTCGAACATCGACGCTTCGTTTCGTGGTGGCCAAATGCACGAGGAAATGGCCTTTGCCTACCGTCTTTATAGCCCCATTCGGGATCCGACAGTTTGGATAAGACCCCTGGCCTGGAGTGGCTGTCATGTGACCTTGATGGCCGGTTATCTTACTTTCTCGCCATGACACGGGGTAAACGCCACAGTGCCAGAGCAGTGGGATGCGCTGGGGCTTTACTTCCTGAAGATTAAGGACGGATCTGACTTCTTTCCGTTCGGACCGGAACGCCATCTCATTGACGCGCTTGACATGCAGCTAGCGAATCCCAGGTATTATGCTTGGTTCTCGGCGATCTATTGACGTGGACAAGGTGGGTCACCTGGCTCTCGCCTACCCTCTCGTGCAGTAACGGCAAGTAGATGCGTAAGATACTGTTGCCTTGATTTGTCACAAGAGTGTTTGCTTCACATACATGGGCTGAGCAGCGCACTTGTCATGGCCTATCGATTACTAGACATGGAACGTACTGGATTTTAGTTGCTGATCCCAACAGCGCATGCTTAGTCCATCTCTCCAAACGACGTCCACATGTCAGACTTCGGGCCGCCGATGAAGCAAAGGCATGCTGAGTTCCGAAAGCCAGGTCAACGGACTTGAGCGCTGGTTAAAGAGGAGAATAAGCAATTACTGCACGAGAAGACGGGACTGCGTCACTGCAGTGCTTTGACGGGCCTCATGGCAGCTGCGAACAGGGCCGAGGGTGATACGGCTGGATTGCATGGCGCATGTAGCGGTCTTGACGGGTGTCGGCTCGCTACGTCGAGATCCTCCAAACTGCTGACCTCAGATCAAATCGGAGAGGTGCGGGTGCAGACGCCTTGGGAGACAGTGCGTGCGACGTGGAATGACAGGGCTGCATAAGGTCGACTCGTGTACTCGGAAATAGGTGGATGTTGGTCTCGAGATACAGGCTTGTGGATCACGCCCCACAGAAAAGTACTTGTTGGTCTCACATGTGCAGCATTCCAGAACGTAGTCTGCGACAAGCTTTGAGTGTGGTGGACGTCGTACTCGTTACCAAACCCACGAGGCAGGGATCGCCATTCTATCCTAGGTCTACCGATGGTAATCTCAGGCGGCCAACGGGTTCAGTTGAAGAGGTTGCATGGATAGTGGAAGAGTGACCGGAAATGAATGAGCCGATGATTTAAACCTGGTTTGCCGGTATGCATCATCGCTACCGACCATGTCCAGGTCCAATTGCACATGTCTCTGGAGGAGTTATGCGCATCGAGCACATTATAGACTTGGCATTTCTACGGCTGCATTTGAGATATTTTTTCGCGCTACGTAGTTCGGCAAGTTTTGATTGATTAAAAAGCTACCCATTGACCAAGGGATGCACCAGAAGTATTGGAGTTTGTCGACAAGTCGTTCTACTGGACGGAATTTGAGACCGGTTGGATGCCTGAAGGAGGCTCTTGATGTTGCATACAGCTTCTGCATGGCTCAGATGACAGAGAAAACCATCATGAGTGGCTATTTTGAGTAATTAAACCATGCACGACGCTCACTGGATGGATTGCTAGCCTGACGTATCAGACATCAAGTAAGGGTTGGAAAAACCGGCATTGACTCATTGGCCAACACGCATACAGCCTAGTATTGCAGCATTTCTCAATACCTGGGGACATTGCACACGGTACATGATTATTGAATGGATCAGGTTCGTGGAGTTTATGTTTTTGGCTGGCGCTATTGGAAGAGAGGGCGCGCTACAAGGGGTCGATGATAGGCTAACAGCCACACGCGTTCGGCATCTTGACGTAGGACCGTTGCGGGGCCTGATACGCCGTGTTCTTGAAGGGAAACATGATCAGTCCCCACTGGCGTTCCAGCGCTAAACACAGGCTGAGTGAGTGCCGGACCTTCACATCAAGTTAGAATGTCTTATTGACGCCGCAAGCGGACGGCTGGGGAAAAAGACGACCCCTTCCGCTTTAGTGCATGTGGTATACAAACAAGCGTAGGAAACGGCCCACTTGCTCCCGTAGCAAGCTCGTTGAACGGCAGCGGGTCAGATGACGGGCTGGCAGTGTACAGGCTGCAGGATTATAGTTTGGACGCTATCCAAAGACCCACGTCAATATCATCTGGCTGGCGAGTCGTAGTGGGCAAGTTTAGGCAGCAGGAAGGTGTCCTCGTCTTCGCACTTTGTACAGCTGGGTTAGAATGAGCCGCGTTGCCAATGGACATGGCTCATTACTTCTTGGCAGCACTGGGGCAGGACAGGTTGAGGCATCGGACCCGAGAGCACCTTGACCTGGTCTCGCAGCGAGCATGCATGCAAGCATCATGACTGGGTTCGGCAGAAGAAAGCGACAATGCTGACGAAAAGGTTGGACATGGAGTCAAAGGTAGTTTGGTCTGGTTGCTTTTTTTGCATGTCGATTGCGACAATCGGTACTGTCTTGGGTGTTGGGGGCTTGGAAGATGGAGCATTTTGATTGGGCTGCCCTGCGCATGGCTGCCGAGTCAGATATCTTCCTCTGCGCTTGTGGCTAGTAGGCACCAAGCAAAATGGGACTTTAGCTTCTCATATCACGCTGGCTAAGCTCAATGTGCCCACACGGCGTCCTAGGTGATACCACGTCCACGGTCACTCCGGGCGGCAGCGACTGAATTGAAGACTGTCGGACAGGCAGGACTGACATGACGGACAGCTACTCAGGAAGTGTGTGCCTGTGTGCTTGCCTAAAAGATGCAATACTGGCAAGGACATGGCAAGAAAACTTGCAGCTTCTCAGCAACCCCCAAACACTGCCGCTCTGCCATCAGTAGGGTCCCACAGTTATGCACATTATGTCCTGAACATCGATCGGATCTCATCTTTGGCAATATATCGATGACAGGGCACGAGCATGATGCCTGCCTCTCAACCCCGCAACCCCACTCTACTGGATCGAAGCAACCGCCAGGAACCCGCGTCTAGCACTAACAATGCAAATGCGCGATACAAGCCCCAGTCTGCATCCACAGATCTGGCCGAGGCATCAAAGGCCAGCCCCCAGCGCTGCTCTGACCAGGGATTGAGTACAGATCCTTTCGCCTACTACAACGCTATTAGCGATACGAGGTCGTATCAGTTGCAGCCGCAGCCGCAGCCGCACACAGAAGGGAGCAGCCGTCATGACGTTGTGCCAGAGGACGACTATGGTTACACGTGCCGTGACATGAGCTGTACAGACATGGTTGAAGACGTCGGAAATCAGCAACAACAACAAACCAGAGGTCGAGCCGTCCCCTACAATCTTGCCGTGCGGCTCGCAAATCGCTCCAATGGCGCGCCACTCGCCACTATTATAGAGCAAGGTTCGTACTCGACGCTAAACTCACGCGGCTCTCTGCTGAGCGTTGGACGCTTCCCTTCGCTGCGAGGGGTGGAAACGACGTCACCAAGCCGTACTTCCCTCAAGCTGACTTCGGATGCGGACGAGCACGCTCGTCTTCAGCGCATCACGGAAGATGCCCAACTGGAACAATTGCTAGGCCTGACACAGGAGACGCCCAAAGAGCCCTCGTACAAGGGTTACGGCAACACGCTCCCGGTAAACGAGCCCGCTACACCTTCTGTACCCACTATCCCTCAGCGCTCCCAGTCCGCAGCATATGACACCGGCGAGTCCGAGTACGATGCAAGTACCAAGACGGTGAAAGCCTTCTTTCGTGGGGTTCTGCACAATGTCCGAACTGCCTCGCGAACACGCTCCCGTTCGTCCTGCTCGTCCTCAACACATGATGCATCATCTATCCCTGAGCACCGCCAGCACCGCAAGGAAGCCGATGAAGCTGTTTCATACAGCCAACTACAAGCTTCTGAAACTTTTCTCTTGGGCTATGACAGACCCGTAGGACATGGTCGATGTGAAAAGCCATATGATGTGCCCATGCCATCTTCAACCGCCATTATAACGCATGGCTTTGACCACCAGAATAGGCAAATGGACGTTTCCACAGCGTATCGTATTCCTCCGATTTCTTTGGACCTACCCTTGCTCAATGTTCGTCCGTATGCGTTGGAACCAAACACTGCGTCTGTGGCCACACCCCAGTTGCTGCCACCTCCGGCTGTAACCCATCCACGCGAAAGGTCCCCTTCTGTGCGTCTTGTACACCCCGAACCACGAGATGAGGCGCAGAGTGGCTGTAGTACTGGGAATGTCTTCTATGCCATCTCCACTTTAGGTAACACCCCCCATCCGCTGGCAGAGAATGACTGTACAACGCAAGCCAGCCGAAATGCAAGCTTCTGTACCATGTCCACATCCTACTCCGGACCAGTGGTCGGCGTCGACATTGACCTTCAGCACGACTTCCCTCACCCAGTATGTCGCTCCCAGTCGACTACACCCGTAGCGCCAGTATGGTTTACACCTCAAATGGCAGAGCTCGAGCGGCAAGCCTCAACCTCCGAGTCTCCTGAAGCTACGCAAGCCACTGAGACGCAGCCTCCCCGTCGCTCCATTACCTCGTCTGCCCTGACCACACTACTACCAATAGCTGCAGCGTCGGGTATCGTTCGTCCCAATTATGACACACCAAAAATATCTTTCTTCTCGCCGTCCGGCAGTCTCATCCAGCCAGAGGACAGTTCGACGCCCGACACTACGACCGCATCGGAGTTCAGCGGCTCGCCTACCAGAACTTCGTACTACGGCAATCCCAATGCTATGGCAACTTACACGGCATTTCCACCAAAAACGTGTCTGCCGCCTCCGAGACCTCTGCGACCGATGACTACACCACCCACGTCTTCAGCCCCCCTTCCCGCACATCTACGGTACCATCACAACTACAGACGTCCTGAGCAATCGCAGATCGACTCTACAGTTAGCTCTACAGAGTCGTTCATAGTGCCTACTCCAGCGGTAAAGGGCTGTGATGGTATGATGCGATCCGAAAGCATCGCCCTCTATTCTCGGGCGCGCTATTCGTACGAGAAGACCAGGTTACGCCAACACTACGGAAGATGCAGATCAATAGCATCCCTTGTTGGGGACCTCAAAAATGAGGCAAGAGTACACAAAGCCCGAACGATTACTGCTATCATGGCACACTGCACAACAAGTGGAAAGGGGAGGGTCCTTCGTAAGCGTGTCACTGCAGACCGGAGAGCCGCAGCAACTGCGTACGTCAGTATGCCTCGCGAAACGATAAGTGGGGCAGAAAGTGCCGGGGAAAAGGGTAGGCGAAAACGAAATGTGCCAGGTAAGCGCGACATAGGGCTTCTCGGACCGCTTGCCGGGCATGCTTTGAGAGTATGTTTCTGCCAGCCATTCGATGGCGCAGGAAAGCCGACGCATGCTGTCGCGTCGGAATCCTTATGCATGAGCAGTCACACGATAAGCATGCGAGATGAATCGAAGAAGGAAAATTCACACACAGTCGTGAGGGATGTGGAAACGGACGCCGTCTTACCAAATGCTCGGGTCGTGAGCAGCACCGAACGGAACAAGGACAACAGCCTGGCCGACGACATTGTACGCAAGCGCTCAGTGGTGTACAAGGGGGAGAGGAGGATTGCAGATAAGGAAAAGCACAGCCAAACGCGACGTGATAGTTTTGTGGGCGTTGGGGCTGCATTCAGAAATGTGGTTGTGGGTGGGTGATCACCACGCCTAGACCCGATCGGCAGTGACAGCAGGTGCCGATGTGGGTACAGGCATGAATGGCGTCTCGGTTCCTTACCAGTCTGGCACGAAGCGTTTACTGTCAGGTGAAAACGGGTAACGGGGCTACTACAATAGGTAGCAGCCTTGGCGTCTAGAGGCTCGTTTCGGTAAATACACTAATTTCGTTTTTCTGGTCGGCGAAGAGGAGGCAAAGGATGAGTTACATCGGTACGTACTACTTTGGATATGCGGATGTAGGGTTATACGATATGGTTAGTGGCTTTTGCTAGGCATACAAGTATGGTAAGGTAGTGAACGGTAATGGTTAGAGTCAGGATGGCGGGGAAGTGGTAGAAGTAATGAAGTGGTAATGATCGGCTCCAGCATGATTTTTTTTTCCATTTTTCCATCTTCTTTGAATGTAATTGTATGGGGATGTTCCACCTATGACGCCCTTGTTCGACTGAAAGAGACTCCAGAGTATGTATGTGTGTGGAGAAAAAGGTTATCAGATCCGGATTAGATGATCAAGGAACGGCTAGACCTCGGGGCCTGTGCCGATCCCATCACGTGCAGTGACTCGTTACGAGCGGGATCGACTTGACCTCCTTCTCGCTTCCAGCTACCAGAAAAAAACATGTGATGGTATATATGCAGTAGTCACAGGCTACTGTGCACTCTTCAGACTAAAGACGGCGTCACGGGAAAACACGGCTGACCCAGCATGTACACGACCGAAAAGCACCTTGTTTAGTCCAAATCCCAGCTCATGCACCACAAGCCTCACAAAACAGCAGTACATAATCACATGCCTGGGCTTACTCAACGCAAGGGACGGGGCACGTGTTGCATGCATATCATTCAGAAAACGTGGGCTGATAGTGATATCATAACCGCATGGGATGGGAGGGCGGGCAAAAGGATCCAAGTTGCCGGGCTTCTAAGTTTGCATTGATGTGATGCGTTGTTTGGATCCTCGGATATTCATCGGTTGGATCACATGTGGACGCAGGGAGTGTATCGTATCGAAGCGAGAGAGAGAATGTGTGTGTGGGCTGCTAGACGGGATGGAAATAACGCAAGAAGGGGGAAACCACGAATCGGGCACGAGAAGTGGCTAGGAACAAGGGAGTAAATTAAGAAACACACGGCTGGGTTGTGGCGTGATTTGGACGAGGAACCATTGCCATTAGAAGCAGGTGTATCCATCAGCGGCGTACTCCGTAAACGGTATCGTATTCTCACAGTGCGGTATGTGCTGGCACGGCTGGTTCGAGGGATAGTCTTCTGCGCTCAGCTCCTAGCCTACTGTTATGTTATGTCCGGATAATGAGCACATACACATAGGTATCGATGTAATAATCGCCGATGACAGTACTGAACAGGACGGTGAATATGAGGTCAAATTAGAACACCAATATCCAATCACGCCCACATAGCAGGACGGGCCCATTCCCTTACATCTTACACAAACCAATCATTCAATGTCATCGAAAACCTCCGGGTCAACCATCTTATCTATACCGCGATCATCAACTTGCGCGTAATCAAACAGGCTACACAGACCAATCAAGCAACCCGGCGCCATGACCAAATCCTAGCTTCGAGCGTGGGGGAACCACTCATCTATTGACACCTACTTGACATCAGCACCTGCCGTTGGAAAAACAAGTCGGACCGAGACTCGGTAGGTATGGCTGCAGGTAGTGACGCATATGGATATCGGGAACTTGGGAGAGAGGAACAGAGCGCCAAGATGGCGTTGTCGTGGTACAAAACCCCTGTCTTGTCTCGAGCCATGCCGTGGGTGGTGGTTTGTCGATCAAATCCTGTCGCCTCACTTCCTGCATTATCGACCCAGGACCTCGGTAGCGCCCAACCTGGAAAGAAGAATTTGGGTGTGAAGCCTGCATCTTTGATCCACTCCCGGATTTGAACGCAGGTGCATATGTCAGGAGCGCCGAAAAAGAAAGGAACTTCCTTCTAGCCACCGTTACACAACGCAAGCGGGGGTAGGCGAAAGAGGACTTGAGGCTTTCTCTATGCGATGCCGTGCATGAGAGATATTTTAGACGACGGAGTGGGTTTTAATTAAACAATGTCGGCGTCCGTGGAAACATGATTGGTTTTGCGTGGGGGGCTTAATATGGATTGCTCGACTTGTCGGCCCAAAGGTCTTTCCAGAACTGTCTGAAGCCGTACTGCTTCTCGCGACGCTCGTCTCTCACGCGAACGGGTCCGCCCACAATATTGTCCAGGACACTCTTTTGGCCCGAATTGTGCCAACCCTCAGCCTTCTTGGGTGGTCTGCGTGCGCGATCGATGATGGCTTCAGCTAGCTGAGGCGCAACGTCGGCGAAGCAAGAGTTCAGCTCACGTTGTAGATTGAAATAGGGCCTTTTGGCTAGCTCGGGTGCCTGCAGGTTGTAGCTACGTGCCTTGTCGTTGAGGTCCTTGATTGCAACAGCCAAGTATTTGCCTTCTATGCGCTCCCAATCGGGGTCGCGGAAGGGATAGGCCGCCGGACGCACCTCTTCCACGGGAGTTTGGACACGCACCTCCATTGTCTGGGTGGTGGTAGCTTCTACCTTTGGTGCTTCCGGTGTGTGCGACACGGATTCTAGCGAGGCATCAAGTGTGACCATGTTTGCGACTACTTCTTCCGTCACCGTTGGCGCCGCATCCAATCCCTCCGTCGATGGGTTTACTTTCAACTGTCCCGACAAAGAAACTTGCGAAATATGACCTTGATCATTGACCGTCGTCATAGACTCGTGCTTCTTTTTTAGCGGATTCGAGAGAAGTTCAGCCTTTGCATACGCTTCAGCTCTTTTAACTTGATCTACCAGTGAGCCGCCCTTGCTAGCAATCATACGTGCGGCATGTCGCTTCCAATCCGCTCGTAACCGACTTCTGAACTTGCTGGCTGCTGACGTAAGTTCTTGCTGCTTCTCGATCCATGGTGGCACAATCTCTTGCTTCTGGATGATTTTGTTCATGAAGTACTCAGTTGTATCAATAAAGGGGCTAGACGCGTTGTAGTCCCTTTCCACATTTGCAGTCTTCCCCCGGGGTATGTTCTTGAATTGGCCACGAGCAATTGCGTCTTCAATCCTCTTATTTGCAAGCGAAGCGAGTCCTGATATCGATCCAGGGACAATGGTGCGCGCATGGGGGTCAAACCGATCTTTGAGATCTTGTAGTCGCCTCTCACGTTCCGTAGCCTCCAACTCCTCGGAATCCTTCAGGTTCGAGTACACTGTACTTCTATCGCGTGCATTGGCTAATCGTAGCCCGCGTCCCTCACTATTGCGCTTGCGTCCGGTATCTATCGACTGCGGTGGTGGCACACCTGGCATCTTCGGCGGCTTTCCCAGTCGCAGAGGTTTATGGGCATCATTTAGCATGCGCAGGCTTGCATCGTGGAGAGACTCGGTGCCAGTCCATGCTTCGGTCGTAGCAAGGTCGCGTGTGTGGCGAGAAGCAAAAGCGGGCAAGTCTGCTTCAGAAGACCTGAGGTTGGCAGCGGCAATGCGTTGTTCTAGCTGAGCCTTGAGGTCTGCACTGAAGCCTGCTTCCTCTACGGCCTTGAGCGCACCATGTCCTCCAGATTCAAGGGCATCTTCACTCATTTCACGCAATCGCCGCGTCAGTGCCCCCTCTTCCTTTTCTTCTCCCACTCCTGACTCCTGTTGCCCATTTTCCGGTAATGTGTGTTCATTGACCCTATTATCTTGCTCATTGGCTTGACTTGCCACCTGCCCATATCGCCTCACAGGGTAACGCGCACTGGATTGAGAAGGAACGAAGACATGAGGTGCTCGTTTTGCGCGCAGACAGGCTGCGCAGATATAACGTCGCGGAAATACAGAAACGGTCATACAGGATATCTTAGCGATGGGACAGGACGTGAAGAGAAGATGCTCAAGACGAGATTCGGGAAAAGAAGCTGTCACTCACGTCATGAACCGCCGTATTGCTAACAGGGCTTAGCGTGGCTCGTTATCGATAGTCAGCTTCAGCCGAGGCTGCCATTCCATATTGCATCTTCCAATGCGCGGCCCTGGACGTCAACGTACAATGTTCAGGGTAATCGAGTTCAATTAGCAAAAGTTAGAATACTGCCAGAATCTGGGCAACTACCTTATAGGCTACTAGTCCTGGGGAAGAACGAAACCCCACTCTGATATATGTCTTGGCAAATTTGCTGACGGAAAGTTCGTGCGCTTCATGGAACGCTTGAATGATAAAGAAGCCTTTTCTCTTGTTTTGGGAAAATACATGCGCAATGAGGAGGTTCAGCGTCGACTCGATTCGAGAAAACTCCAGACGCAATGACGTCCTCGTCGTGTGAAGAGCCGTCCGTGCTTTAGAAACATGGGCGCTAACAACCAGCCCACCAGTCTTCACTATCGTCGTCAACAATGTCACGCACTGCTCTACCTCGTGTAGCCCTACAACTCAGCTCTAGAATCCCATTATGCGCACATCCAAGGACACTTGAGGCACCATGCCGTACCCTGTAAGCCACAATTGCAGTTTTGCGCAAACACCACGCTGAGCTCCGCTCACACCACCCAGCCCTCTTCTTCGCACATCAACACCACAATGCCCTTCCTACTTTGTCCGAAACTTCTCGTCAAGTACGCAGCTGCAGAAAAAGGCCGGCAAAGCGAACAAAGCGCATGCGCGAACCGATTCGACCCCTCCCGTCGGCACAGTTGAAGAGCCCACAGCCACAGACAAGGCCTACGATGTCTCTGAGCTGGAAGCTTCAATTCTTAAAGCGCTTGAGAAGCTTACGCACGACCTTAGTCAATTGCGCAGCGGGGGAAAGCTTAATCCGGAAATCGTGGAGAGCTTGAAGGTACAACTGGGCACGGCAAGCCATGGCAAAGAAAGCGTTAGATTGGGAGACATCGCGCAAGTTGTGCCTAGAGGGCGAGTGCTGAACGTTATTTGCGGAGAGGAAGCGGTAGGCCGAATGCAACCCCTACTATTTGCTAAGCCATAGCTAACACGGTCCAGCACGTAAAACCCATAACCACGGCCATCGCTGCTTCACCGCACTCGCTGACTCCCCTCTCCCCTGAGTCCAACAATCCGCTCACTATCCAGGTTCCACTTCCACCACCTACAGGCGAGTCGCGCCGTGCGGCTGTAGATGCGGCTGGAAAAGCGTCTGAACGGGCTGACAGGCTCATACAGCAAGCCCGCCAGGAACACAACAAGAAGCTCAGGCAGTACGGCTTGAACCGTGAAGTGCTCCCGGACGATTTACAGAAAGCGAAAAAGCTGATGGAGGAGGTGGTGAAGAAGGGCCACGTTGAGGTCAAGCGCATTGTCGATGGCGCAAAGAAGGTGCTTGAGAGTCAATAAATGCCATCAACGTAAGCGTGTCATGCTTGGCCGAAGCAGTGAGCTCCTGGCGGACGCACTGAATCCCGGACGAACTCAGGACTTACGAGCTTCCCCCTTTTAGTACGCGTCTGGCTGATGTGAGCTGAAATTTATTGTGCAAGCATGGTATTCCCATGACAAATGGTCTCTCTTCCAATGCTTCTCGTCGTGTGCGGCACGCTGCCTCTGTCTTTCGTCTTTTGTATCTGTATATCCCAAATGGCATCCTCCGAGCTGTTCAATGTCGGTAAAGTTACTTTGTCGGGGCCAGCCTCTTTTGATCGTAAGATGTTTCCTCCCATACCATGGCGCTGTGGATGGGTGCGTACACCGACAAACATGGCTAATGCATTAGCATATGTTGCAACTATCGAACCCTGATCCTTCACTCGGCTTACATAAAGCAAGATGTTACCACTCTCTACGCATGCAGCAATGATTGACGATAGTTAACTCGAAAACATACTGGACGATGTTGGTGTGCGGGGGATGGTGCATTCTCTCGGCCGTATTACATGTACCTGAGTCTGCAACCGTGTTGGTCAAGGGTCTTGATCGAAGCATGTGGACAGCAACACTTCTAGGGTTTCAGAGGATGAAGCCTGTATACACCGCCTACGATTCAGATGAAGAAGACGGGGCCGAGGCCGAAAGATCAGATACCTACCAGTATCGTCGCAATTGCGCATAGAGACCACAGCTCAAGTACGGGGATTACTGGCGGCCAAATTCGCGGCTGGGAACACTAGCCGCTTACCTAGGTAGTGTCATGTGTATGGGGGCAGTCCGAATGAGGTAGGGTTGTTCTATGCGCCACACTTGTATCGCTTGTTCGCTTATGCCACTGGGGGTATACGCAACAGAAAACATTGCCCGCGTTTCTATTCAGGCTGCCTAGTTAAATAGCTTCGATAGTGGGCAATAGGAGCAATCAATTCAGATATAGGAGTAAATCCCGAAGCAAAATGGTTCAAAGTGAAACATTTGGGACAGGTATGCGGGCAGATGGCTACATCATCCAAGCTACTGTATGACATCATCCGGTCTACTACAAAGCACAGCCTTTCCGTTATTTTTACCTTCGTCTTTGACTCGACAGATACATGGTCTGTTTCAAGCCACAACACTTGCACGAGTGCCTGTCATGGTATGGATCGCCCTCCTTGATTCTGCTGCTCACAGTTGTACAACAGCCGTGCTTACACCGAGGGAGACGTTGCGGTTCTACTGCCTGTCCAAGGCAATTCTTGACCGCTGCTTTGAGTTGTAAATGATGGAACGCAGGCGAGCCTTGACAGCGGTTTTAAAACACGACGACGAATGTGTATAAAGTTCAAACTCGTGTTCAGCGGATCAAGGCCCCCTGCACCGCGCCTCAGCCACGGCCTGACATCACCGCCGATCGACAACGCATCGTCCTCAGTCGCTCGTCATGCCTTGTAGTGCACAGATGTATCAAGGAGTCAGCGCGACGGCAGGTCCCTTTGAATTCTGCTTCATGGTAAGATTTTAAGACGACGGGATGCCCGTTGCGACGGCAAATCGCTGAGGGGCTCAATCGAACAAAGGCCGTGGCCAGTAAGAGATGCTTACTGCGGTCAGCACTCCACAGCCTCGCCATGTCCGTCTCCAGACCGCCCATTACCGCCACTTCGGTAGCTTGGCTCAGTTAATGATTGCCCCAGGATCTACCGGTAAGCTCACACGTTGATCATATGTAAAGCAGCCATGAACCCCGCCTTTTATCCAACTTGTTGCTGCCACTTCCGTCTGGATGAGCATCGGCCCGTCGTCGTGTCAGACCCACATCAACAACAACACCATACAGACAGGACATTTTGTGGCAAACAATCTTCAATGTACATGGCTCCAACAAGGACTCCCGATCCAGCCTGATTTGCAGCAAAGAATACGACTATGGCACCACTCAGTGATAGCATGGACTTGCTAGCATTGAGTAAGCGATTTCCCGAGCCGGCGACGACGCGCACCTCACCCCCAACAAGGGGTAGCATGACCACTGAAGGAGGATTCCTCGAAGCATGGGCACAAGGATACAACGTAGGCAGCTTGATCATTTTGATTCTGTTGGTGTTCTGCAACTATCGATCTGGCATACGGTTACACAAGCTCATTCTCCTTGAGGTTAGTCCAAGCTTGACACATCTTAGGTGTCGAAACTAAGACAAATAGCTCGTTCTTGCAATCTGGCACGGCACCTTCATCTTCGTCGAGGATCCGCGATATGGCTGGTATCTTAGCTCCACAGCGAGTCTTCTCTTCATCTCCTACTTCCTCCACAATGTCGTCTCGTGGCTCAAGATCAGGCCCTTTCTACCATGCTGGGGATCCCGTCTCTTCATCATCTCGCTCCTCTGCGTTCAGCCCTTCTGGGTCGTCGAGGCATGGTCCAACTTTGCCTACTTCAACCAACTCAAAGTCGGTTCCAAAGTCAACCTCCGCACACGCCCCTGGGAAGCTTTGCTCCGCGATCCCTGGTGGATCTTCACAACCTGGAAGCTGATGCACTCGATCAAGCAGACTTATGCTTACAGTATTTGGACTTTGATTTGTATCAACAGAAGGTTCGGCGTCATGCTGGCATGCATGTTGCTCTCTATCGCCTTTCTAATTGCCGACGTTGTCGTAAGCGCCGCCAAGATCACAGCTCTCAGCGGCATAAACCCATACTGGCGCATCGCACTAGTGTTCAAATGCGCATCCGATACCATTTTCCTTGACGACTTCAAGTCCGTACTCGACGACATTGTAGCGCGCAAATTCAGCTCTGCCGGTGACACTGTGCATCGCGGGTCCGTTCCTGGCACCGTTACCAACCGACGACTCTCCAGATCGCCATCCCGCGGCGAAGAGTTTATCGAGTGCAGTGCTTTGGAGCCAATTAGTGCACCAGCTGTACATAACGAGCAGAAAACGCGACCGAAATTTCGCCTTCTATTCTCGAAGCCCAAGAAATCGCCAGAGATACCCATAATTCAGATACAGCAGCCCACCGCTGAGTCCTCGCCGACGAGAAATCTGAGCCAAGATAGTTGGGATAGCGAAGGACCGGTTTTACCCAGACCGGCGCATACGGTATATCGCAACCCGGAGTTGCGGGCAAGTGAGAGTGATGGGAGCTTGCTCATCGGAAGACTCGTTTGAGTGGTCATGGATTGAAGAGACATGAATACTGGCTACTTTGCCCTGGCTGTCACGCGCCCGTATTATATGGATTTGGGGCGCTTGCATTTCATGAAGCGCGCATCGCCGGACGATCGTCCATACTCCACGTTCAAGCATCCGCGCGGGTATATAATTGCTTGACGGGCGTATCATCGAGAGCTGCTATACTATAACTACTGCTTCAGTCGAACTGTTGTCGTAGAAGGTGAAGGAAGCCTGCGCTGAGGGACGCAAGGAACGAAATAAGTGGTAGAAGAAGAGGAGCATCCAGAAGTGGAAGGAAGCATTGCATTATACCCCGGCGTAACTTTTATTTGTACACAATATCAATGGGACTTTGATGTGAAGAGGGATTCACATTACATAAATCGCTCAATTTAAGAATAAAACTACAAAAGATCTCATATCCAGCTATGATGAGGTTGGACAGCGGGCCGCGGTAGCTGCGGTGATGTACTCAGTTGACTCTGGCCCGATACTCTCCATCCAGTCTTCGGGTTCAACCTGATGCGGACCTTTTTCGTTTCCTTTGTGCTGTTCCACGTTGATGAATTGGTAAACTGGCCCTGGGTCTCTTTGGGAAGACCGTAGATGAGAGTCGGCATAGCTGAATTCTTGAATAATCTCGTTTCGTTGTCTTTTGAGGTCTTCATGATGGTAGAAACCAAGAAAACGAGAGTGAGAACGAGGAGTATGAACGGGAAACTGAGCCATGCCCATCGCACTGAGATGAAGGTCTCCATCACCCATGCGTCTCCGGAAAGCATCTCCATGTTTTCGGATGAGCGTATGATATTAGTCATTGCTGTAGCAAAGCGTTCCATGTGCCTTGTGACATTGTTGGGTGAGATCCATGGGTTGAAGTCGAGGATCCGGTTCCATGCTACATTGGCCATCCAAGTCTTGTACCGCAGCAACGGAACAGAAGATTCGTTCATTACGGTTGCGAATGCAGGGAAGACGTCAGTAAAGCCCACCGTGATAGACGCAACGCTTGAATTGGCCATGCCGTACCCCGAGATATTACGCCCACTCGGCGTAATACCAATGTCGATGTGGATATCTTGGAGAAAGAAAGAATCTGTCCCATTTGATGTTCCATCCGAGAAGGAAGATGCTATCCAAGGCCAGGGTCCAGATGTTGTATTGATAAAAGTTTCCAGTATCTCTTCTTTGTACTCGCCTAGGCTGTAACTAGACTGCATTGTCTTGACACACCAAGTCAATACGCACTCCTGTGCGATAGGCGTCTCGTTACGGTGAACAGATGCTGCTGATCCGTTCACAGCCGACACGATGAGCACATCCTGGATGGTGTTGCGAAACTCCTTAAAGTTAATTGATCCGTTTCCATAGAGAGGCTCATGTAACAGGGTTGTTGTCAAAGGCAGAGTCCTCATGATTAGCGTTTCGCTATAAGCCGATGTATTCGAGTTGACAATGTATCCAGACATGAGGATAGGGTTGTGGCTTGTGATATTGAGGAAGTAGCCACACATGGTCGCGTTCGGGTAGCCGCCTTCTACCATAAACCCACCCGACAAGGAAGATGTCCAGTCAACCGTGTTCACCATGCAGGCAAAATCAAGGTGCTCTGAGATATCGGCACATTGGCTGCAGACTCCCAATGTGTCGTACACTGGCCATGTACAGTTACTTGTCGGACAAGACTGAAAGAAGTGTTAGCTATACGAATGCATCACTAATCAGTGCTTGTCGAGGACTGTACTTACGAGGGGTATATCAGGACGTGTACCATTACCAAACGGAACTGGTTGTGTGCCGTTTCCATATGCAAACTTCTCTACGGTGTGAAACATATCTTTATCGTCTGAAAGCATTTCCACGCCGTCAACGTAGGCGTTGGGTACTTGTCCAACGTAATGAATCGTCCTAGGTAAAACGCCGGAGCTGGCATGCAGCTTCCACCGATCGGGAAGGTCCACGACTTGCTGGAAGAAGGTATCGATCGCAAGAAGTAGAACAATTAGCAGTGCACCAAGTGCAGCTAATGAGCGACCCTTTGTTCGATACAACAACATAAGGGCACCAAGAGGGCCCCTAGAAGCCTTGTCAAATATCTCAAAATCCCACATCGCTTTCGATTTGTGGAACCAATTCCATTTCAATTGCCCGAGCGCTTCGGTGGTTGGGACGATAAGAGCCGCAGAGGATATCTTTCCCAGTACATTAATCCAGTTGAGGGACGAAGGCTCCTGGACCATGGGCTTGCTCTTGATCCGGAGGTTTATAAGAATGATCGCAACCATGCAAGACGCACTAACGAGCCAGCTCAACGTTTCAAATAGCCACCTCTTGAATACATTGTCTGATGCATTATATCTAGCCAAAGCCCTCTCGATTCTTTGGGTAAAATCCAGCGACGGCTTCTGTTTCTTATCTTCATGGAATAGATATGTTGTCGAGGGCTCAAAGTTACGCATATTTTGCGCTGGAGTGTCTCCGGATTCGTATTGCGTAGCCATCGAGAGGGGGGGCTTTGCGTCAGCCGTAAAAGATCTTGTTGATCACCGGTTATGTGCAGTTGATTGGGCCCTAGAAGTGACCGATAGGAAACTATTTCGTGCGCTATGTCATGATGGGGGGGAGCAGTGTATATGAAAGCCAAGAGTAGGGAAGGCGACGATAGCAAGCATGCGTCTCTGAGGCTATATTGTACACGCAGCCGCCGGAGTTTTTGCCGTGCTACAGAAAACGTTGACAATGCTGAAATTAGCGCTGAGCCTGTAGCCGACATGATGTATTTTGCAGGGTACCATGTGTCGACTGCAAGCTTACTTACGACATTATTCTAGATCGTGCGCTTCGTTATCGTGTACCTATAGGGGCTCTGCTTTTAGCGCCGCAGCCCCGTATAGGCCCACCCCCAAACCCCTCCAGGTACACCCGTCATCACTATGTTACAATCGGATACAAACCGACATGCGGCTGAATACCGCACACTGCGGTGCTAGGATGAACCTAATTATCCACCGTGTGGTGAATTGGGGCGGGTTCGCCCAAAAGTTCGGTGCTGCCCAAGTGCCACTAACTAAGTAGCATGACTAACCTATTTTGGAATTAACTCTCATATTTCCATGCAGTCATGACGTGCATTTGCTCACGGAAAGAATAAGGTCTCTGGTATATACGAGAAATATAGTTGACAAGACACAAAGGGTGGACATTTGCACCGATCATGTCGGAATGAGAGCGTAGTGAGTACCCCAGACCATTGTACCTGTGGTCGAGAAGAGAGGATATAAATAAATCCATTATGATGAGCTTCGGGATGGCCTGGCGACGTTGTGAAGAACGCTTACATTTGATTTCCTAATGACATAGCTATGACTACTATATGAACCCGGGTGGTGCTGCTGGCCCGGCTTGAACATGACCAGAGACTCTCCATCCTTGCTGTGGAGATAACTTGATCCGCACCTTCTTCGGACCTCTGCTTGTTGAGCTCACCGGAGCTGCCGTTGAAATGAGATCCTTCTGCATTTCCTTTGGCAAACCGTACACCAGAGAAGGGAGAGCAGATGTCTTCCAGATTCCGACTTCGTTGTGGGTATTGCTTGAAGTCTTCAGTATAGTGGCGGCCAGGAACACGATACTCAAGAGAAGCATGGCGAGAGGGAAGGTGAGCCACGCCCAATGTACTGCAACGTACGTCTCTCGTATATACGCAGTGCCTTTAATAAGCTCATGATCGCTAGGATAGGATCGGATCGCATTGGTCACGGCTTGAGCCATCCGCTCCAGATGGTGAGCCACATTGTTAGGAGCAAGCCATGGGCTGAAGCGAACAGGGCGAAACACAACCTTGTCTGTGAAGCTTGTCCGAACTTTTATGAATGGTGGCGCTGATGCGTTGGACACGGTGATGAACGAAGGGAAAACCTCGTCCATGATTGTGACAACGTCCATGAATGTTTCGTTGGAGACTCCAAAGGCGGTCTTGCTGTTGTTCATCCATGGCGGTTGTATGGTAATGTTCGCCTTGAACTCCAGCTCAAACATGTCCAACTCTGGCAAGTCTTGGGACCACCATGGCCAATCAACGCTGGTCGTGTTCTCGAAAGTCTCCAATATCTGCTCTTCATACCCCCCAGATACATAGGATGAGCGAATCTTTTTGACGCACCACGAAAGTACGCATTCTTGAGCAACCGGGGGCTTTTTCTCGTAGACGCTGTCTACTGAACCATCTGGTGAGCTCACAATCAAAGCGTCCAAGATAGGGTATGGAATGTGTTTGAATTTGATGCTTCCGCTGCCGTAGAAGGGATGTCTTAAGGGGTTTGTGATGAGCGGTAGAGTGCGCATGAGAAGGGTTTCTCCCTGCAACGATGGCGTGCCATTTCCCACTCGATAACCCGACATTAGGACCGGGTCTTCGCTGGTAGCATTCAAGAAGAAACCGCAAGCAGTTCCTGTGATATGAATGGTTAGCAAGTGGTTCGGTACAGCTTTGATTCAATGACGACTCTGTATCCGGTCCGAATCAGGCTGGAATGAGGACCCTCCATCTTTGTTTCTGATAAATTTCAATTGCGTTTTTGGGGTCCCACGTACCATTTGGATATGTTCTCTCTGTACCTGGCCCAGTAGAGTTCTTCATCCAGTCCATTCTCGTCGTGAGACAGGCGTACTCGAGAAGATTCGATACATCCTCACAAGCACTACAAACTGACAAGGTCTCATAAGCCGGCCAGTCACATCTACCAGTAGGGCAAATTAGTGGTATCTCGGCCTGAGTACTATTTCCGGTCGTAATCGGCTGGGTACCGTTCTTGTCGTAAAAAAACGGTTTTATCACCCTACTTAATTCGCCGTTTACTTGTGCTATTGGAACATCGCTGAGATTATCGTACGCAGTTTCGATGGTTGGTTCGTAACGAACGATGCGCGGAATGAAGCTATCCCCTCGTGGCTGCCAGCGTTCTGGAAAATCAGTCACTTGTTGGAAAAAGGTATCGATTGCCAGTAGGAGCACTGTCAAGAGTGCACCCAAAGCAGCAAGCGACTTGCCCTTCGTCCGGAATAAGAGCATGACTGAGCCCCATGCACCGCGTGATGCTTTATCAAAGATTTCAAAGTCGAACACGTCCCTAGATTTCTTCCCATGGAACCAAGTCCACTTCAGTTGTCCAATGGCCTCCGAGATTGGCAAGATAAGTGCTGCTGATGCGATCTTGGAGAGCACTGTGATGATTGTTAAGCCCATAGGCCATTTATTGAGGGACTGGTCATGGAGATAATGCAGCAATCCGATTATTGCACCTATTGTTGCACTTAGGCACGTGAGAATACGAGAAGAAAGAATGGAGCTTTCATACCCATGCAAACTGCGCTAATTGTTACGCTGATAATCTCGAATAGCCAACGCTTGTATATGCTCTGGGATGCATTGTATTGTGCTAGCTTTTGCTCTATGCGTCCTGGGATGTCGAGTGAAGGCTGGTCGTGCACGGAGGCTCGGTATGACGGAGGACGTGGTCTACTTGAATATTCATTGGAAAATGATGCTTCGAGGCGAGAAAGGGGTAGGTGGCTGTCGTGTGTACGTAACATCGTGTATTCTTGCTGAACCGGTATTCGAAAGCGCGAACGCTCACTAGATGTGATTTCTCGGAAGAAGTGCTAAGTTTGATGATTGGTAGCCACGTCCGTAGCGCACCATCGATAACGGGCGCTTAGGTGCTGCTGGGCATCCTGTTGACGACATGTTTGCGGGCGTGTGCCTAGAATGGCGCATGTGTTGGCGATATAATCCAGATGAGGGCAAAAAGTGACATCCATCGTCCTCAAACCTATAGAAGCAGAGCAATTAGCGCCGCAATTCCAAGGTTGCGAGCCAGATCTGCGGCTTCGGGGAATTGATCGGTCGAACGGATCGTGTAGCCGCCGCGGTGGTAGCGCTGGCGGAACATCCCTGCAAGCATGGCATATTGAGCGCGCCAACTGTGAAGCTTAGTTAATTGATAAGAGTGACCCTAGAGGATGTTTGGGGACGCTTGAATTGCTGATGACTTGCTGAATGTCTACTCATACAGTTCAACTCCACACGAGTTGAACAGGCGCACATGGCAAGCAGCATTTGTAGTATATCCGTGAACACATCCAAAGAGCTAAGCGCTGGAAATTTCGTAGAAAGAAGCGTATATACTATCTGGGTAGGCGAACGCAAGGCGACCTGGACTCATCTAGGTAGTTACTTGTGTGCCCAGCCCCCGGAATGACTGATAGTGCACGGCACAGTCTATTCCAAATCGGGAACTACCTAGGTAGTTAACTTGTACCGAATAACATTACACTTCTTTGTCTTCCTCTTCGAACGGCAAACCTACTGAGATACTCTCTCTGCGCGCTCGGTTTTCTCTGAAAGTGAGGGAGACGGCTTAGGCAAATGAGCTGAAGACGATTATCGGTGCAGAGTGGCCATATCTAAGCAAGGCTAGCATTATGTGGCCACCGTGACATTTTTGATAAGCGATATCGATGATAGCAAAGATGGTTCGAGATTGCTATGGTGGACTACCACCTGCCACCAAGATCTTCGCTACGAGTTGACATGGTTGGCAAGCGCGCACCGCACCCTACTAACACTGCACACTTATTTGACCAATACAGTATGTACAATAGCTTAATACAATGTTAATCAGATAGTTAAGGCTATTGCACAACTGCGCAGTTAAAACGAGCACACCCACAGCTGAGATCACCCATCCTTGGCTGGATGTACTTGCCTAGGTAAAAGAGGATTAGGTAAAGTGGATAATAGTGAAATCTGATGCGACAGCCACCATACTAAACTTAATATGATTGACAACGAATCTGGAGAAGCTAGGTCCAGTTTGCAGGGAATTTCTACCAACTTAAAACAAACAGTAGCTAAGAGAATCATCTATCACACATGACACGTGCCGAGAAGGCAGCGGGTATGAATATGAGAGAGATGGATGTCGAGAAACTGGATAGGGAGTGAGGGAAGGAGTGAAACTTAACTACATACGCTTTCCAGATAGCAACTGAATTCTTACTTCATTGCTTCACCAAGCGCGGGTCGACGACTCTTTTTCTCCTTCGAGGTATCTTGATGATACTCCGATAGAACAATTCCAGGAGTCGTGTGACATAAGATAATTGCCTCTTGTTGGTTGGCTTTGCACTAAGTGCGTAAAGGGAAATAACGATAACTAGGAATGCATTCTGTCCAGTGGTTCTGATTGATTGTCTACGAACATAGCTGCTACGAAGGTATACCTAAGCTCTGCGCAAGGTGGGCCGAAGTCGGGCCGAAGTGTCAAGCAGCCGACGTCTCTACCGATACTCACGATCCGACACCTCTGATAATTTCTCTGGGGACTATGAGGGCAGTTTCCTGATCCAATACAAGACCGTGCTGTAAGCCTCGGAGGTTTTAGCATCTGTTGGCAGGAGGCCGCGGTCGGCTTAGTATTTTTTACTGTTGAAACGGTAGGCATATGGGATATGAAGCGCTGTGACAGATATGGTAGTTCGGTGGACTTCACCGCTGCATGAGGGAATGGACGGCTGTGAGCCGGGATTATCGTTCGGCTTTGCGCATTGACATTTGAATAGGGCCGTGTTACGAGCGTTGAAGTGCGCATGAGATAGTGAGGTGTTTGATAGAGCCGGATGAATTATCCGGCGTCAATTGGGGTGAGCCTGGGAAAACGAGTCGGCATCGGATTTACTCACTCTCACACTTGGGCAAGAGCTGGTGGTGTGCATGCGTTTCGTCTCATCATTTCCTTTGCATACTAGCCCCATAAGGTCGTAAGCTCATTGCCAACAACATGATCTGTGCGTCAAATCATGAAGATGCATGTACCCTTGAGGGTCATGTGTATCGCGCTCTAGGGACCGGTATAGCCGAACAAGGGCTTCGTCAAAGCGGTCTGTCATCAATGCGACACTACAGATAAGACTCAAAACTTGGCATAAATTGTATAATACTTGAGTCTTGACTGTACGAGCGGTCATTTTGAAGCGAATGGGTGTCTTTAGAGGGCAGGCCCAGTGCCTGCGGCCCGCCGTTGCGTCCACCGTGCCGACAACGGATCGACACGCTAGGGGACACGAAGTAGGTACCGGGTACGTACTGTATGTCATCATACCTCGGCCTCTTTGAGGGCCTTGTCGCCATTAGCAAAGCTTGCCAAGGCTGTTAGAGAGGGTATCAGTGAATATTATTTGACGCCTTCACATTGTTGACACTCACTGCATATGTCGTTGGAATTCATATCCATGGTACAAGAGATACATCATCAAACTCATGGGCCGATAAATCTATCGGGTACGGTACTGTAGAATCCGCACAAAAGGCACTGAGACTTTACGAAATTGGCACACGAGGCACTGACGTGTGATGCCCAGGAGGCGATGCGACTAGGTTTTAGTGGGTCATTTCTTCTCTGTATTCACCAGATTCTATCATATCGCATGCGCGATGTTGCGACTCTGAGCTTTGGGTGAACTCTGGCCCAAAACACCTCGCACAAGGTGGGGAGTTTGAGCGTGCACCCGAGAAACCTCTGACAACAGAATGCACCCGTCAAAGATTAAAGTCGACTGGTTGTCAAACCTGTGGTTACAAAAGCACACAAGAAGTGCATGTGTGAGAGAGTGGAACACGTTTCGTGACATGTGGAAGCGAGGTGTGGCAAAAATTCCGTGGCTGCAGCTTTAGCAGAAACCAAAGTCTGGGGTTGAGAAAAGAAAACATCAGAATGAGCTGAGGTGTCCGCGCCGTGATCAAGGTGCATTGCATTGCCTTGATGCAGGTGCTAAAATTCACGCAGTCATACTCCCATGACGTGATCAGATCTGTAGCGCTCGTAGCAGTCGCTCAAGCACTCTTTTCTGGTCCAGATAAGTCAAGGACTGAGTCGCGTGGAGTTCGTGTTGATAAGGTTGACGTGCAGGCAGATTGCATCGGGTGAGTGTGATATGCCAACATCAGTGTGGGCTGTGGGCGCCTAATGGCTACTCACTATTGGTGGTATCTTTTCGACATCTGAAGACAAAGTAGTCCCACAAAGCGAAGCATGAATATTGATACGATAGCATGGCTAAGTAAATAAATGTGTAATACCAGACGGCTCCTCAAATTTTGCCAGTGTACATTCACTCTTTAGCAATCCTATGATGTATCGTTGTCAGCAAGGGAAAGATATGTGGAAAACGTAAATATTAGTACACTGCATGCAATCACGGCACGCTCAGTGCTAGAGGCTGCATGATGCAAACGAAGTCTTATGAGTGTACAGGGATGTTGTCTAGTATGGGAGAATGAGAATGATGGCGACTCAGTGGCTACTCTATGTCTCTTGAATCACAAGCTATTGAGTCTTTACTAGAATCAACAATTCGCTGAAAGCGTAACGCCGGGATACGTCACGTGCACGGGTAATATGTGACTAGGCCGCCGTTGTGCAAGGTACCGATAATGAATAGCCAATCGCTTCAGCTCCCGGGGTAAGTCCAAAACGCCGCCAAGCCACGTCACACCGAGAAAACCTGTCGATTGGTCAGAAATCGTTTTGGCAGTTGACGAAGTTGATGAGGACTACGGGATTTGCGGGTGATGTACTTACCAAAATCTCGACTCTCCCGAATTGCCTTGTAGAGAGCCCCTCCAGCGCTTGTAGTGTGATAACCCGATGTGATGAAAGTTGCCAAAGGCTGCGGGATGCATTGCGACGCGTAGTCAGGCTTTCAGCCTTTCCCATCTAACGCCTTGTGTTCCAGTCGCATCGATTTTTGCGTTTCAGCTTGCCGAATCCGTACCCCAATCATTATGCTTTCCCGGGATCACCCCCAATGACTGTTTAATTGTCACACGGCATGAACAATACGCTGCTCGCCCCTTGATTCCGCGTCGAGTCGGTGGCTTCCAAGGCGGTTATCGTTGAGATAGTCACCGCGTTTCGAAGCGCCGTGGAGGCAACGTGGACGGATAGTGTAGGGATAGTGTAAATGAGTGTGATGTGTGATGCGATGTCGTCAAGCGTTGCTGTGAATCCAGGGTCGTGGATAAAGTCGTGGACTGTTCCCACATTCGAGATACCATCCCAAATACAACACATCCCAGCATACCACCCCATCGGGAACAAACTCTTGCTTGGCTGTGCCAACGATTCTTTTCTTCATACTCTAACCATTCTCCTGTATAACAATATAAAGCTTTAACCATTGTCATCATGCGCGGACATACTCTCTTTCTCGCCGCGTATTTGGTACTCCCCACCATCACAGCGCCAGTACTGCCCAGCAACGTTAGTGCTACAAATTCTGAGTCCGTTGGTCCATCTGACTTGTGACATAGATTAGTCCCGTGTTTCCAACTGCGGATCGTCGCAATGCCTTCCCGGTGACCAGCGCTATCAGCAACATCCTGGAGAGGACCTCGATGGTTGAGAAGGTCGCGCGTTCGATTCGGGTACGCCCTGGAGGCCGGGACGTTGAGCCGACAGAAGAGAAGGCCGAACGTTCTATTAGGGTACGCCCTGGAGGCCGGGACGTGGAGTCGACGGAAGAGAACGTCGAGCGTAGTATTCGTGTACGCCCCGGAGGGCGGAATGTTGAGTCAACAGAAGATCATATCGAGCGATCGATTCGTGTACGCCCTGGAGGCCGGGATGTTGAGCCAGCAGAAGAGAAGGTCGAGCGATCGATTCGTGTACGCCCTGGAGGCCGACGGGATGTTGATTTGACAGAAGAGAACGTAAACGTGGCAAATAGGAATCACTGCGGAGGAGACCCCAGTGGAGAAATAAGCCGGTGATGAGTGTTCGTGAAAGCGGCGACAGATGGTATTAGTTCTAATAATTTCTTAAGAAGTGTATCAATATTTTCTCCATATCCTATTGCGGAGTATGTAGAATAGAATGGAATCAAATCCACCCTGGTGGTGGCAAGTTTGATGGTGCCTTTGGAGTCAAGGGTGTGAAAATATTTCCAGAGCTTCTCCAACCTCTTGTTGCAGATAGTCTGACCCTGAGATCTTTCGCTTTCGTTCTTGGAGTACCTTTTGAGTTCGACTTTGTCAATTGTTTTTGATAATGATCGGGAAGTCCATAGAGCAATGTAGCAATCGCTGAATTTTTCCTTATGCTCACTTGGCCTTTCTCGCTAGCGCTTTTGATGACCGTAGAAACAAGAAATATAAAGCTGACTAAGAGAAGGCAAAGCGGTAGGCTCAGCCAGCCCCAGGTAACTTCGACATAGATCTCGTTCTCATAGGAATGTCCGAATACTGTCTCGCCGCTTGTTGAAGATCTAATTGCGTTTGTGATTGAAATGGCCATCCTTTCCATGTGTCGTGTAATATTGTTTGGTGATAACCAAGGGTTGAATTCTGGAAACAATGTCCTCGCCAAGGTTGGGCTTCCAGTTCTCCAGCGAAGGACTGGAACATCGGATTCGTTCGTAGACGTCGTAAAAGAAGGAAAGACGCGATCGAAAATAAGTACTGTGTTGAGCATAGTATCGTTACTGACTCCCCATCCGTGTTCTGGAAAGCTTTGACCGGTTTGTGGTGCAGATATAGTGACATTCTCGAAATAGTCAGTGAGCGCATACCCTTCGTCTGCCAACCAGGTAGTATGCCAGGGATATGGTCCTTGCGTGTCGTTCAGGAAGACATTCGTGACCACTTCTTGATATGTGCCCAAGTAGTAAGACGATTGGACAGTCTTGACACACCAAGACACGACGCATTCGTGTATTGCCGGCATCTTATCCGAAAATACATCGTCAGTGTTATTGGAGGCGCTAGAGATCAAGGCATCTACGATGGGGTTTCGTATATGCTGGAAGTTGATAGAGCCATCCCCCCAGAGTGCTTCTCGCATATAGTTGGTTGTCAACGGTAGCGTCCGCGACAGCAAAACCTCACCAGATTTGTTTCCAGCTTCGTCAACCATGTAGCCAGACATGAGGATTGGGTTGTCACTAGTGGAATTGAGGAAGTACCCACATACGTTCGCCTTGGGGTATGAAGACTCCGTAGCATTGAGCTTTGAAGTCCAGTCTACCCTTGTGAACATACACGTGAAGTTGAGGAGAGTCGGTACCTCTACACACTGGCTACAGACACCGAGTGTTTCATAGCTTGGCCAAGTACAGTTGCTGCCAGGGCATGATATAGGTACGTCTGCGCGAGTTCCATTTCCGAAAGGCATTGGCTGGGTTCCGTTGTTGATGAAAAATGGGTCAGCAACGCTCCCGATGATCGCATCTAGCTCAGCTACAGCTTCGCCATTTTCGTATTGAACATTGTATGCTGGTTCATATCGTACAACTCGCGTGATAGAGCTGTTTGTATGTTGCATCGTCCAGCGCGTGGGAAAGCTGACGACCTGCTGAAAGAAAGGATCCAATGCGAGGGCGAATATTGTGACTAGGGCGCCAAGAGCAGCGATGGTCTTTCCCTTAGTGTGTATGAGCAAGAGGAAAGCACCCCACGGTCCTCTAGATGCGTTGTCAAACATCTCGAAATCCCACATCTTCTTCGAATCTCCTCGGATAAACCAGCTCCACTTCAGTTGCCCAAGAGCTTCTGCGACAGGGAGTAAAAGAGCAGCACCTGCAACTCGCGAGAGTACAGAAACAAAGGCGTTCAGGGTAATACCGAGGTTGTTGAAGGGCCATTTAGAGGATGGCTTGTCCTTGAGGACGACAAGCACTGCGATGATCGCGCCCATGCACACAGCGCTGATCAACCAACTGACTATCTCGAGTAGCCATCGTTCGATGACGTTGCCTGAAGAGTTATAGCTCCAAAGCTTCTCTTCGATGCGTTGTGCAATGTTCGCAGACGGGTCTGCTTTCTCGTTTTCGAATGTCGGGGGCTGTACCCGGATCGATGGCGGTCTAGGTGGACCACCACTGATGCCTAGACCAAGGTGTGACTTGCGGTCGTTGTCGCTCTGCTTTTCTGGGTTTGAGACCTCATATGGGGGCTGGGGAAAAGCCGTGTCAAGTCGGACACGCGGTCGATCACTGGGGAAAAAGCGAAGAAGTGGTCGTCGGGGCTGCTGCCTCACCACCTCTGGAGGCGGTTCTGGAATTGGCCACACCACTGATCGATGATCAGAAGATGTCTCGATGGTAGTAGTTGGGCTCGGTTCGGCTGGGGTGATGGGTGGGGCGTTGATATGGGCCGGGCTCAGATATGTAGGGCGGCCATGAGGGAGTATCTCTGGTGTTGTGGGTGTTGTGGGAGTCGTTCCGTAAGACTTGGGCGCGATACGGCTGTTCCCTGTATCGAGATAGATTGGAATGTCGGGGAAGGTGGGCCAGTGCATGGGACTACGCTCTGGTTGAGGCATGTTCGATGGAGACCCCGGTATGGTAATGGGGTAGGGCATCGAACTAACGTGAAGCTGACTATGATTATGCTTTCCACTATTAAATAAGAGAAAAGGAAGAAGTGAAGCTGAGAGGCAAGCGTCTTGGAAATGGGAATGCCGAATTAGATAGAAGCTGCAGAATGATTCTGTGTACCCTTACCATCACCACACTATAACAACACTGAGCCGCAGTATAAGCCTCCACCCACCAAATCCATGATTGGAGCATGCTCGAAACATCAAACACAGCTGTTACTGCGGCGTACATGCAAACTATGCCATCCTTCTGGATAGTATGTGCATTACCGAGTTCACCCACCATTCATGGCACGAGCTAGGTGCAAGGACCAAGTCCAACCACGACGAAAGCTCGCCAAGAGAGGCGGCTGAGGGCCGTTCCCACTCCACCTGCGTGCGGCGTAGTCGTCGGGAGCTGTCAGCCCGGAGCGCCGGCGAGGGCGTAGCCGTACAGAACAGATGTATAACCGCTGGCAGGGCCGGCAGCGTAGCCTAGCGTATCCTGTTGCCGCCGTGGTATTAAAAACGTATGCATGCAGGCTTATTCTTAGTTTTGGCCCCTCCGTGACTCCATGAGGTCACTTTGGGATGACGATGTGACACAGTTGCTATAGGCGCTTCGAGCCTCATCGTGCCTTGAAACCAATGCGAAGACGTCAAAGTCGGAGGAGGAGTGTTGGATCCTCTTCTCGGGCGAATGACGATGCGCCGCTCTAGCCGCAGAGGCGATGGCATGAAATTTGCGCGGGGTGGATGGTCGTGGAGTCGGCCAAACATCCAGTTTCGACTTTCTTTGGGGGAGCACGATAGCGGGGGCCCGCTATCGTTAGGCGCGGAGCCGATTAAGAACCCCCGCTTATTAATAGCGGCCTATCATGGTCGAGTAAAATTCAGCCACGTCGTCTAGTCGTCTATTTTTCGAATATTCTTCGTCGCTTCTATCGTGCATATCTGATCTTGGTGCAAGATGTCCACATATATAGCAGTTTGCATGCATGATGCAAGCTTCACGTGACGACAGTTTCCACAGGGGAAGCAGGTGAGGTTTGACAGCATGCTGGGCGACCATCCCATGCTGGTCACATGGAAAAGAAAATTGCGATAGCTGATACCAGCCCTCTGTCAACATCCAACACTTGGCGATATGCTCCTGATACCACGAAGGCTTGAAGCTCGTTGTGCCATTCGATATGTCTTCTAACTGACACGTGTACTAGCAGTGGCGTCTGATCGGCCATGTTGGATCGCGGCTATTGAGGCTCTTTCGGCTCACTCACTGGCCGACGACTGACTCTTTCTTGTTTGTTTCGATGCCACTAACTTGCTATTCGCCCGGGGAATTCCCACTCGTTCCCACTCGGACCGGTCATTCGGGAGACTACGTCTTGTAGCCGCCGGCTCTTGATCGGTATGGTCGTTCTTTGCAAGGATGAGCTATTGGTGCATCCTTGAAACGGATCTCCAGACTGATAGAGGAGTATCGGCGCGTTTCTAACCTCTTTCAATATGAGATGGCTGGTCGTGAGACAGAATAGATTAAAAACGTTCATCACGAATGCAACCTGGTGTCTCGAATACTGCTGTGCCGTAAGCTAGTCCAGAGAGTTGGCCAGCAAGTTACCCGTTCTGAGCCGGAGACATGACACCTATCTGTTACGTGGGTCATGCACTATTCGACCTATGTGGTCGGTATTTGAGCCTCACTGCTGACGGTGGTGGTTGAATAGTAGACAGTGATTCGTTGCGGACGAAAAGATAAGCTTATGGCTTACATAAAAAGCATAACATGCAAGGGCTGGTACTGCCCAACCTCAAAAGGTTTATGGAACCTTGTTCTCGTTTCTCCCGACCAGCTGGTTCCAGACGCGCCTGACAAGATTCAGTGATCTTCCTGCCATCTTCAAACCCACTTCCTCAGCGCCAAATGCAACGCTCGCAAGGCCGACCTCTTCCAGCCTGCCTCAGCTACCATTGTGCCTTAATCTAAGCCTTCTTCTCTGGCGCCTCGTGAATCTCGGTAACGTTGCCATCCTGCCCCAATATCTTGGCCGTAGTCACAGCAAGCGCTTCGCGATCCTGCTTCTCGCTTTCAAACAGGAATGTGAGCTCCTCCAATGTCTTGCCGTATGTTTCCGGAAACAGAAAGTAAATGAACACAATCTCAAAAGATAGCAAGGCAATGTACACAAATAGGAACTTCCAGTCAAGGTCCTGTAGCCCAATGGGATTGGTAAAGGACCCAAGCATGACGGAGCATCTGTTGAAGAGTTGAAACCATGAAAGGCCCTTGGTGGCGGACGTAGTATGGATAGCTCGACCATGTAGACGTAGTCAGGCGTGTAGCGATGTGTATGCGGGCTGTAGAGAAGATCATGACAAGAACTGCGTAACCAGTCTCTTTAGATCCAGTCATGCGGTTCCGAGCCTGTGCAATAGTCCACGCAGTGTATACGCATAAGAGACAGCTCGCGCATAAGAGGTACATCCTTCGTCGCGGGAAGCGAGGCGAAACACTGGCCATGACGAGTGCCATGAGGAAGCCCCAAGCTTCGGAGCCAACGTTGTAGCGTACCTGTGTGTGACTGTCTTCGATGCCAATCTTCTTGAGGATCGGTACGAGGTACTGGCTGATGAGATTGTTGCCGCTGTACTGCACAAAGATACCAAGTCCAGCAGCTACAACAGCGCGGTGTCGCATGCCTTTAGACTGGAAGAGCTCAGCCCAGCCTCTTTGACGAGACTCATTTTCTAATTCCAGCGCTTTACGAATCTCAGCGATCTCAATGTGAGGTAGCTCAGCAGATGCATCACCCTCAGCATGATACTTGATCAAGATCTCGAGAGCCTCTTCACTCCTGTCCTTTGAAACAAGCCACCTGGGACTCTCTGGCACCGTAAGAGCAAACACGATCTGAATTACAGACGGTATTGCCTGGAGGATCGATGGTAGGCGCCAAGACCAGTCACTTGGAATAAGTAGTGTGCGCACTACGATTCCTGCACCAAGGACGGAGCCTACTCCAAAGAAAGCGTTGAACATACTGCCGAGGAAGGCACGCTCTTTTGGATGGCCCAGTTCGCCGAGAAGGGCAGCCCCCGATATGATGGCGTATACGATGCCGTGACCGAGAAAGATGCGGCTGAAAATGAACATGGCCACTGCATGTATGTCAGCTCCGCGTAATACCAGGGATGTAAAACGTACAGTTTTGAGACAGCCCCTGCATAATCGCCCCAATGATCATAATAGTAGAGCCCAACACAATACTCTTACGTCTCCCCAGATGATCAGACACAATTGCCACAAACGGGATACTAGTAATAGCGCCCAGATTGTAGCAAGCAACCAGCAACCCAAGCTGACCTCCCTTGGGATGGCCAAAGTACTCTTGCCAGTAATTCAACGCCTGCATGCCGTTCATCATCGAGCTTCCACCGCATCAGCACACTGTCCTCACAACACAGGTATCGAACACCTACCTATCAAACCCAGACGTTGACTCAATAAACAGACAAAACGGAACAAGCAACAGATAAAGCCGTCGAAGATTCGGCTTATTCCACCACCTCACAGTATCCGCCGCAACAAGGCGTTCGATAATGCCATCGCCAGGACCCGCGACCGCTGGTGCCATATTTCACAACAATATCTCAATCTCAAAGGAAGTAGCATGTAAGAAGGCGTACACAGTCGTATCAGCCCAGGCTACCCCCTTCTAAATACCCCCCTCCATTCAACACCACCATACAGTACACACCAAAAAGCCAGGATTCACCGGCCCAAAACCCCGTGCAAGCGATTAGGAACATGCATACGCTCGTATCTATTCCCCTTGGCTTTGCGGGGTAATGCACCCCATGGGTTGGTTGATCGCATCCTTTGCTCACCTCGAAAAGGCTGACTGTTGATCAAAGCATGCAAGAGAGGGCAGTGGACGATTGGGTCCAGCGATTTTGTACAACAGTACACCAGATCATCTTTCACACGCCGTATCTCGCGTACCACGGAATAATTTGCCGCTATCGTGGAGTTTCCATATCTTACATGACTACACAAGTACAACCATCAGAAGAAAACGAAGCCAGCATCATGTGTATGTGCAAGTGTGTTACGCGAGGCTGGACTCAGTTGACCCGATGGCCCGCCCCAGGTCTGGGATAAAGACGCTAAACCAAGCGTGGTGCGGACCGTGTCGAAGAGAGTAAGTGGGCAGAATGCGGGGAATTTATCCTGAAATCTCTGGGCGTTTTCCTGAGCGAGCAAGTGCTTAGACGCGGTAAGCATCTGGCAAGATGGGGGGAGAAGGGATTGCCGTGTCTGGCGCGGAAGGGTCGTTCTCCAGGGCTTTCCCTGGCGGGTTAGCGCCGGGGTGATATTGGTAGATGCCCAGGTGAGCAGCCTTACTATAATACCAAGTTCGATAGTTACAGTCATTAGCACATGACTACCAAATAAACTTACACAGAACAGTGTCAGCAGTGGCGTCCGCATGTGCTCAATGAAACAATATTTATCCGTACCGGCATATCTGGAATCCAACACCGCAGTGAGACAAATATACTTTCTTTTCACATAGCCTGACAAAGCGTTTCGTTGGAGACAGAAAAGCAAACAATGTCCCTCACAACCAGCTATGGAAACACCACCTGTAGCAAACCGCTCAATATCGTACTATCTAAAAGCACCTTGAAAAGCGAACATCAAAGCAAACACACAAATTGCTGTCATGAAAAGGTATCATTTATGCTTTTAGACTAAGCTTCCTTCTTTCTACCATGTATAGTCATGGATGTTGGAAACCCCCCTTTCATAAGCAAAAAAGAGCGCGCCAACGCCACAAATCCGTAATCGTAACAAAGACATGACCTATCTACATAATTCCCTTAACCTTTTACTTCTGTCCCCAGGCTCAACCTCTTCCCAATAGCGAAACGCATTTTACTTAGCGTTCTCGGGGCGGAGGGAGCGGACAGCCTTTCCAGCACGCCAGATCTCAAGGTCGTCAATCTCCTTGAGCTCCTGGTTGTACTTCTCACGGTAGTCGGGCTGCGAGTTGTACTCGAGCGAGCGCTTGGTCTCGCTGCCGTTCTCAACTGAGGTGTAGAGGTCGTCGAAGACGGGCTTGAGGGCATCCTTGAAGCGCTTGCTCCAGTCGATGGCACCGCGACGGGCGGTGGTCGAGCAGGCAGCGTACATGTAGTCCATGCCGTTGGCACCGATCAAGGGATATAGCGACTGGGTAGCCTCCTCGACAGTCTCGTTGAAAGCCTCAGAGGGGCTGTGGCCGCGCTCACGGAGAACCTCGTATTGAGCGAGGAACATGCCGTGGATACCGCCCATAAGGCAGCCACGCTCGCCGTACAAGTCGGAGTAGACCTCCTTCTCGAAAGTAGTCTCGTACATGTATCCGGAACCGACGGCAACACCGAGGGCGATGGCCTTCTCCTTGGCCTTGCCGGTCACGTCTTGGAAGACGGCAATGGAAGAGTTGATTCCACGGCCCTCACGGAAGAGAGTGCGGACGGTACGGCCGGAACCCTTGGGGGCGACGAGGATGACATCGATGTCCTTGGGGACTTCGACCTTGGTGAGGTCCTTGAAGACGGGCGAGAAGCCGTGGGAGAAGTAGAGAGTCTATTCTCGTTAGTGTGACAGTCAACTTCTTCCGCATGTGAGTGCATACCTTTCCCTTGAGCTGGGGCTTGATGGCGGGCCAGGTCTCGGACTGAGCCGCATCTGAGAGAAGGTTCATGACAATGGTGGACTTGCCAATGGCCTCGTCAATGTCGAACAGGTTCTTGCCGGGGACCCAGCCATCCTGCTCGGCCTCCTTCCACGAAGCACCGTTCTTCCGTACACCGACGATGACGTTTAGGCCGTTGTCGCGGAGGTTGAGACCCTGACCGTGACCCTGGGAGCCGTAGCCGATGAGGGCAAGGGTGTCGTTCTTGAAGTACTCAAGGAGCTTCTCCTTTGGCCAGTCATCACGCTCTAAATGTTGTTGTCAGCTTCGCTCAATGACAACACATACTCTTCCGTGTAAACATGAATAAACTCAAACTTACCGTAAACAGTCTCCTTGGTTCCGGCAAAGTCAATGGTCTTGACACCACGAGTCTGCTGGAATTGGCTGGTGACAGCCGCCCTAGGAGCAGCCTTCTTAGCACCCGCACTCAGA